TACAGCTCATAAAACAATTTATTTCAAATTGTCTCAGTACAAAAACTTTAATTCATATATAATGACAAATTCTATACAAATATTTAATTACAATTACTCTAAATTACTCCAAAATACCCCAAATTATTCAAATTCTGTATTTGCATACTACTTACTAGAGTAATTCGATGAAAAGTCTACTTATTCCCGAAGTGAAATTGCGACACGCTTTTATTTCGTCGGAATGTCTGCAACATCTACAACAAGAGAAACTTATGCAAGATTAGCACAACGGAATAATTACGCGTTTACGAATGCATACGCCGGCTAATTACTGTAATTACGAGTACCTAAGACACGTAAGTCTACATGGTGAAATTATAAAAATTATTATTATGAACATGAAAACATGAAAATAAAATTAAAATACATATTTTAATCTTATTATAAATCTAAATTAAAAATTTTATGAGTAAACATCCTGGGAGATTGCAGGATATATTAAGTCACGTTTTTGTAATAACTAGAAAAATGGAAGGTACTAGTGTTTGACACAGCTGGAGATTAATTTTAACCTCATGAGAAAAATTTTTCGAGAGAGGAATTTGAGAAAATAGGAGAAAAGTGATTTTGTGTGTTTGTTTTCATTTCACGCCCAAACCAATCAACAAATTTTGTTGAATTTTTGTATAAGGATAGATTAAATAATGGAAAAGGACATAGGATACTTCTAGTTGTGAAAATAAATGTTTAAAGAAGTGAAATTGTTGATTAAAGTTTGTATTTATGATTTATTGAAGTTTTAGTGACATAATTTGAACATAGGTGGCGCTAATGTGCATTTAATACACAAACAGTAAACTTAGTACTTAAAATCTCGCTTATAATAACTATAATTATTACAACTATTATTACAACAATACTTGGTATTTAAACATTCAGGTGTTCATAAAACGCCCGAAAAATAATACTCATTATTACTTCTACAATAAAATATCAAGTTTACTTTTGAATAAGATTAATGATGATGGTGTTGACGTCAGTTCAAGACTTCTTTTCCTCTGCATCAATTCCACATCGAAAAGAAATCACACAGGTCGATTTTGTGGCATTCAAAGTTTGTTGGTGGTCCGTTTGTTGATTCAACACGGTTTGATTTGCTAAAGGCGTTAAAATTGATTTTTTTTCTTCCGCTCCGAAGCTAATATTAAGCATCTGGGTCTAACTAGACCGCAAATATGTGTGTGCTTCCAGTGTGTGATTGTAACTGTAATTATAACGAGAGCATTACAAAATATATACACACACACTGGCATATAAGAGTATTTGTGGTTTGATTTTATGGAAAACTCAGATGATGATGAATGGTTGTTTTACTTTTTTTAAGTTGAATTGTTTGAGTGTGGAAGAAATCGAATCAAAATTATAGTATAACGCCTCTTGAGCGACTTTTGTACGAGTTTTATTACAGTTTTTACTGATATTACAGCGATTATTGTTGGTGCAGGTATTATTAGTGAAGTGATCGTTACGGAAAGGTCGATATTTATTGTAGGTTGCTTTAAAGTTGATGGTGTAGTGCCTAAATAACTGTTATGTAAGGAAAGGAGCTTTTGGAAAGTGTTAATTACAAATAAAATGATTTTTTTTTAATTTTGGAAATTTACCTTTGAATTGTTGCAAAAAGTATTTTTGTTATTTATTTATGACTTGAGATATTGAAAAGTTTTCTTGAAATAACCTTAAAAGCGTCTGTTTTCCACTGTTTTGAAACACAAAATGTGGTACTTTATACACGGACGGCCAATGCCGTAACTTAAGTACTTTAGTCACGGGTGTTAGTCACAACCAACTATCTAATATTATTGCTTTTCAAATTTCTTATTACAATGCCATTAAAATTAAAAAGAAAATTAAAAATAAAATAAAAATTTTGAGTTAAAAATTTAGCTTTTATTTGAACACCCTGTATATTCACGTTTATAAAATTAACACTATTTATTACTAAATAATTTATATTTCTACCACTGTTAACAGAACATAATTATCTCTTTTATCTTAAAAGTTATCCACGTCGAAAGTTGAGCTTTTTTTCTGTCTTCGATTTTGTATCTTTTAAGTCAACAATAAAAACACAAGATAACAAATCACAAATCCCACTAATTTGACATTTTACACGCAATTAATTTACATGCGATTAACAAACCTTGTTTTAAATAATTCGAGTAGCTTTTCGCTTTGATATCAAAAAAAATCTCGGGCGATGTTGATGTACAACTCTCCGCACTCTATTCACCAATCACCGAATAACAAAATGACGCTCTTATCTGCGATTCTAATCTCCTCCAAAGACATTGCATATATTCAGAGTAACTTGTTAAAGTAATCGAAGTTAACCTATCAGATTTGGGAATCAATTTCGCTTGACCGCAACGAAATGAATTTCGAAGCGAGAGAAAAAAAACGTTGATTAGCATAAATTAATCCGAGCGAGTAATTTAATGGGAATTAAATTAATGTCCGCTTGCGTAAGCTCTAGCGGTAAGTGTAGATTATTTTAAAATAAGATTTCTTTTTAGAAATAAATTTTAGGATTTATTATTTTGAGGTATTTTTTGATGTTGGAAATTAATTTTAAAGGAGTGTTTTAAACTAACGTTGACGGATTGATTCACAGCTATCAATCATATCAAATGTTATTAATAAAGTATAGAATTTACGCCTAAGCTATTTTATATAATCCCATTTATTTGGTAAATATTATATAATTTAATATCATTTTTATTGAAAATGTGAAATTTTTAATTTTTTGAAAATTTATGCATGGAATTTGTTTATATTTTGTACATTGGTAAACAATATATTTATTTATATTTTAACTAAAATTTTGATTATAATATTATTTGTTTTATTATTTATTGTAAGTTAAAGTGCAAAGTTGAGTCAATTTTTTGATTTTTTTTACTTGAATGCCTAATAACTATAAAAATAATTGTTGTATTTTGTTTAAATTAAAACTGAATGCACGAAATTTCATTGGCCTTAATATTATGTAACGTTTATTAATTTGTGATAATTAGTTTATGAGTTATAAACAAATAAAATAAATTTTGAAATTTTTTCTCGAAAAAATCGGAATAATTTAAATTGTGGATATTTTAAACACTTTGTATATTCAATATACAAAAAAATAATTATAATAATATAATAATAAAGAATTAAATTATCTTTCTTTTTATGAAAACAAAATTTATTTATTATTAATAGTTTATTAGTTAGTTATTGCTTCTCAAAGTTTGTTCAATTTCCTACTTCACTTTCAAAATTATTCGTAACTTTATTTTCTAGTTTAATGCGTTTTTTGTTTCGTTTCCTAAATGATTTATAATGATTACGAAAAATTGGGTTTCATTATCAATTAAGCATCGTTTCGCACAGGATGTTTCCGATTAAGTGCTAAGTGCTCTGCAATGTCGGAAACTTTTTATTAAACTCTACTTGCTTGAAAAAGTAGTTTAACTAGATATTTCATAATCTAGTGCTGCTGATAATTACTTCTCTGTAAGTAAGTGGAAGTGGATGAGAAGTTGTTTTTCGGACCAGTTTTAATTAAAACCAATTTGATGAGCTATCACAAAATGCGTTCGTGGAAAAGTAGTTTTGTGCGGAGTTTATGTGTTTGATGGGTTTGGGTTTTTGATTGGATAAATTATGGCGGCTAGATTAATTAATGCTCGGATTCGGTTTCGGATTTCTTTATTTACCAATCAGATCGAAGCCTACTCAAAGTCATTGGGTAATGTATTACCTGGTAGTGGCTAATGAACAGATGAAAGTTGGAAAAAATGAGTTTGGAATACGTTTGCAACTAATGGATAATGGAAAAATATCGTTTTGATTGCTTGCACAGCTTGAATTCAATGTGAGATGATTTGTTCGATTTGTTTTTTAATTTGTAAAAAATGTTTTTAACTGAAACTTTAAGAGGAAACAGAATATAAACCAATCGATGAATATTGTTTAAATTTGGTGAATAGATAAATAATTTATGTGGTTTTAATTGTGTTAAGAGATATTGTTGTTATCATAATTATTACTATTGATATTAAGGCTTAAAATTGATGTTTTTGTCAGTTTTGACGAAAAATTTTGAAATTTTATTTAAACATCCTGTATTTTCTAAACTAATAGTAGTAGATCATTTAAACTTTTATGGAACATAGACTGATAAAGTACCTTTAAAATAAATTTTAGTCCATGATTCTGCGATAATTATTTTAGAAGATATTGTAAAATAAAAAGTTCCCATAAATTGACAAGAAAAAAACATACTTTTTTCAAATTGAATTTTCTCTAAACACCTTGTATAAATTTTTATTTTTTTGTGATTATTACAACGCACAATTAAATTATCTGCAAATCACTCTAATCAGAATTTTATTATCACTAATAGTTACTTAGTAATCATTCTTTAAAGTTGACTAAGTTTCATAATTTATTTCCAAGAACAAAAAAACGTATTTTAAGAATTTTTGGGATTTCTAATGAAAGTTGAGCAAATAATATGACTCATGATCAAAATTAGACCAATTGAAATACAATTTTATATGAATCAGATGAATTATTACCTCAAACAGAAAAACTTTTTTTTAATGAAACCAAGTTGTCATATAACAAGAAACATCCGGAATGTCTTCATGTCCACATTTCCAAGTGTCGTCAATGATACATCTCTTTTATTCGCACACATGTATCTTCACTCTGTGCCTGCCTGGTACTTTCTCCGCGTCAGTCGTAAGTGATTTTTTATTGACCAAGCAACGGGACATCAACTATATTCATGATTAGCCTTAAAAGTATTTGCTTTGTACATATACACAATCAAATATTATTACGGGTATAATGAGGCGCACAAAATTCGGCAAACACACTCTCTGATTATGTAAGGATAATTGGATGGACGTCAAATGAAAAAAAAAAGACAAATAAAGTTGTAAAATTAAAATAACTGCTTACATCAATTAAGTACGAATATAAAATTATTATACAACTTTAAAAGTTAATTTTTGATAATCTTCTTTGATGATATCAGCAGCTTTCTCCGCGATCATCCCAACAGGGAAATTTGTATGTCCTGTGATTAATTCAGGCATTATACTGGAATCTACTACTCTTATTTTGGGCTGTCCCCAAATTTGTAGACGTGGATTAACCACACTTTGCGATGAGTCATTGCCCATTTTACAGGTACCACTAGCATGAAAAATAGACATTGCAAATGTCCTGGAATAACATTCCCAGTAAGTAGGAGTACCAAACTCAAATTGACTACAATGACTTAACCCTAAGTCGATTATACTGAAACCACTTAAACTCCACGTCTGTAATAGTCTTTCTACAAACTGAACACCCTGTAGAATCGTTTTAATATCATCAGGATGTGATAAAAAATTTGGGTTTATTTTAGGAGGTGTTAAGGGATGGGTATCTTCTAGTTCAATTGACCCTCTTGACTTTGGATGTAGGATATTAATGAGTATGATTAGTAAGGATCGATTGGTGTTGATTTTCTTAAGTTGGTTCTGATAATCATCCATAAACCCAAATCTATTCAGAGTGATGTTTAATATGGGTTCCTGTGGGTTGAAACCATAGTGGAGTAATTCTACATTGGGGAGTTGATTGGGTACGGACCAAGTGATGCTGTTTCCTGTGTTGATGTATCCTTGATAGTTGGAGATCCCGATGGTTGATAGGTCTGACCCTGTTTTATTGGAGCAGTAGATGTCTATTTGATCTTTGAGGGTTACAGGTTCTTCAAAGTCTAAATCAGGCATTATTCCTTGTAACATTATAGGGATTACCATGTGGTCCATGAAATTCTGCCCAACTGGAAGGTTTACTTTTGTGGGTATTCCTAATTTTTGGAGTTGACCCCTTGGACCTATTCCAGATAACATTAAAAGTTTAGGTGTATTGATTGCACCTGCAGAGAGAATGACTTCTTTTGTTGATTTTATTCTTTTAGAGGTGGTAGGTGAATCATTTATGGTAACACCTTGTATAGTTCCATTTTGGGTAAACCATAAACCCGTTACTATCTTTTCTGTGACTACACATAGATTTTTTCTGTCCTTGATTGGTGATAGATAAGCTTTTGCTTGGGAATATCTTTGACCTTCATAAGTCTGGATTGGTGCATCTTTATACCCATAACCTCCACAGCTATTGGGATCAATCCCTAGTTCTTCTACAGCTTTACCTAGTACATTTCTAAATGGTGATGTGCTTGTGTAGTCTGTGGTTTTAATGGTTTCATCAACCTTGTCGAAGTATTTTGTGACATTCAACCAGTTCCAACCTTCATTACCCAACTCAGCCCAATGGTCATAGTCTTCAGGTGCACCTATTCTCAACGCCATTGTGTTGATTGTTGAACTCCCACCAAGGACTTTTCCTTTAGCCATTGAAAATACAGAGTTTTTGTAACCTCGAAGGTTTTAGGGTCTTGAGCTTGAAAGGACCAATCTTCTGGTGTTTTTTGTAGGGCTTCAAATAAACCAGGTATCTGAAATATTAATTTTAAGTTTTTATTGTATTTTGTTCAATTTTTAATGGTAAACCTCTGATAAATTTGATGGTACCCCACCAGCTTCCACAAGCAAAACATTCCAATCTGAATTCTCTGATAGTCTATTAGCCAAAGTGGAACCAGCAGTACCAGCTCCAACTATAATGAAATCAAATTCACGTTGTGCCCAATTTGGGCATTGTGGGTACTCATAATCAAAACTTAATGGACAATCTGTAGAAATAGTTAGATTAGTCCCAGAGTCTGTTATTAAGGGCACACCTAAAAGCCACGCCAATAAACTGTCAAACCACATACTTGTATTACACACTAATAACTCATTTCAGGTTGTTAACATTTATAATTTTCATAATTGATACGTTATCAAGTTGTTATCAGAATAACCTTATTCCCTGCTTATTATTATCATACTTTTAAACGTGACATGAAAATAATTTTTAATTGTTTGTTTCAGGTCAGTAACCATTTTATATCTACTGCCACCCGGGTTATACAAGGTAATTATAATCTTCTTTGATGAAATCTGCTGCTTTCTCAGCAATCATCCCCACAGGGATATTTGTGTGTCCTGAGATTAATTCTGGGATTACACTGGAGTCTACTACCCGCAATTTGGGTACTCCCCATACTTGTAATCTTGTATTAACCACACTTGTAATTGAATCATTGCCCATTGTGCAGGTACCACTTGGATGGTATATTGTAGTGGCAAAAGTGGTAGCGTAACAGGTCCAATAACCTGGACTCTCAAACATGAATTGATCACATTCTGGTATTTTTAGATCTACTAGTCTGTAATTGCTTAGAGTGTTGGTGTTTACAAGGGCTTCTATGAAGGACGCTCCTTCTAAGACGGTTTGGACATCTCTGGGATGTGATAGGTAGTTGGGTGTTATTCGAGGTTGGGTATAAGGGTCTGTGGTGGATAGTTCTACGGTTCCTCTTGATTGAGGATGCAGGACCTCTATCAAGATCATTTGGATGTATTTATCTTGGTTGATTTCTTCAAGTTGGGTTCTGTAGTAGTCTAGGTATCCAAATTTATCTAGAGTGATGGGGAGCATTGGTTCCTGAGGTGGGAATGAAAAGTGTATGATTTCTACATTTGGGCGTTGAAGATTATCTAATCTACTTCCGTTTTGCGTATTTAGATACCCTTGGAAGTTTGTAATGCCTAAAGTGTCCAAAATGGTTCCATTTTCACAGTATTCATTTATACGGTGTTCCAAACTAGTTGCAAGTCCTCTAAGAGGAATTATTTCTTGAATGAAAACAGGGATGATCATATGGTCCATGAGGTTCTTCCCAACTGGTAGGTTTACTTTTGTAGGTATGTCTAGATCCTCAAGATGGTCTTCAGGACCTATTCCTGATAACATTAAAATTTGGGGTGTGTTTATTGCACCTGCTGATAGGATCACTTCAATGTTTGCTTTGATTTCCTGAATTTCATTATTAAAGGAATCATTTACTGTCACACCCTGTATATTACTTTCTTCATCAAATAATATACCTATAACTTGCATTTCTGTAACCACACATAAATTTTCTCTATCCCTGATTGGGGTTAGATAAGCTTTAGCATGAGAATATCTTTGACCTTCGTTGACCTGTATTGGGACATCTCTATAACCAAAAGTACTTGACCCTGTTGTATCTATACCTAATTCTTGTATAGCTGTTTCCAGGGTTGTTCTCATTGGTAAATTACTTCTGTATCTGGTGATTTTTACCATTTCTTCGACTTTGTCGAAGTATTTAGTGACATTCGACCAGTCCCAACCTTCATTGCCCAATTCAGCCCAGTGGTCATAGTCTTCAGGTACACCTGGGACTGTTACCATTGCGTTTATTGTAGAGCTACCTCCGAGGACTTTACCTTTGGCCCATGAAGTGACTGAGTTCTTGTAACCTGTGGAGGTTATAGGGTCTTGGGCTTTGAAGGACCAATCTTCTGGGGTTCCCTGAAGAGCTATATACATTCCTGGTATCTATAAATTAATAAAATATTTTACATTGGAATAAAAATATTGAACAAAACCATTGTTAATACTTCTGATAAATTTGATGGTATACCACCTGCTTCTATCAAAAGAACATTCCATTCTTTAACCTCTGTCAGTCTATTGGCAAGAGTACATCCGGCGGTACCTCCACCGACAATAATAAAATCAAAATCTCTTTCATCCCAATTTGGGCAATGTGGATATAAATCATCAAAACTTAATGGACAATCTGTAGGAATGGGTATATCACCAAATATTTGCACCACAAATAAAAGGGTTAACCATTTAGTTAACCACATTGTAAAATAAGGTTCATATTTTTACCCAGGTCAGTGGTTTATATAATTTTCCAGGTAGATAAACACACAAAAAATTCCACATGACTTATTCCGTTGTTTTTTTAATTTTTAATTTGTAACCTTATTAACATAATAATTAAATTGTAAATTTAATATTATTCTACTGATAAATAAGTATCTTTAATAATATCGGCCAACTTTTCACCTACAATAGCAGTTGGTACACTTGGATGCCCACCCATTAATTCAGGAATGATACTACTATCACATACTCTTAAATTAGGCACACCATGAACCCTAAGGGTAGGATCAACAACTGATTTCAAAGGATCTGATCCCATTCTACAGGTTCCAGCATAATGAAAAGTAGTGGTTACAAACATTTTTGAATAACATTTGAAATACTCCCTGGACATGAATCTGAATTTATCACAGGGTTCCACCTTTAGATTACTCAATCTATAATTCCTCAAACTCTTGGTATTTTTTAGTCGTAGATATATTCCTATACCTTTCATCATTGTCTTCATATCATCAGGATGATCAAAATAATTCAATTGGATCAATGGTGGTTCTTTTGGGTTTTTGTTCTTCAATTCAACTGTACCTTTTGATTTAGGATGTAGGAGAGTTACCAGAGTCATTAACCATCCAACTTTTGAATTTATTTCACGTAGGCGTTTATTGTACTTTGGATGGAAGTGTGCCCCATTTAAATATGTATCGATTACTAGACCCTCGTTTTGAAATCCTTGGGTTGTGATCAATTCAATGTCTCTTGGAGTGGTAACCCATAATGTTGTGTCATTTTTATCTTTACAACTACGATTTTTAAAGTGATGGGTGTTGAAGAATCCGATGAAGGATACTATTCCATCGTTGTTGAGGAGTTGGCCTGTGCTACAGTAGACTGTTAAAATTTTATTTATGGGTATTTGTGATATGTCCTGAATTTGAAGAAAAATTGGTACGTGATAATGATCCTGAAGATTTTTACCAACTGGTAAGTTCTGTATTAAGGGTATACCTATTTTTTTAAGGTGATCTTTTGGCCCTAAACCACTTAACATTAGTAGTTTTGGAGAGTTGATGGGTCCTGCTGATACTATCACCTCTTTAGTAGCATTAATAATTTTAGGTCTGTTATACCCATTATTGAATTCAATTCCAACAGCTCTATTTGTTTTTGGGTCTATCACAACCCTATTTACAAAAGTATCCACAACCAGACAAAAATTCTTCCTTTTGATTAACGGTTGAAGGTATGCTTTAGCCATTGATAATCTGACATTATTCACAACATTCATGGGTTCATCATGAAACCCAAATGGTGATGGGCCGTTTATATCCAGACCTAGTTCACGAGCAGCTGATTCTATTTTCATCCTACCATTTGTAAGAACAACAGGGTTTGTGGTTTTAAGGTATTCACTGCTTTTTTTAATATAAGGTTCTACATTGGTCCAATTCCAAATGTCATTTTTTACCAAGTCAGCCCATAAATTATAATCATAAGCTTGACCTGGAACGTCTAGTAAACCATTAATTGTGCTTGACCCACCCAGTGCTTTACCTTGAGGTAAATGGATACGGTTATCCAAATGGGCAGTAGGGTAGTTTAATGGTTCGGAGAGGAATTTCCAGTTTTCTGATGTTCCCAAAAGGAATTGCGCGGCTGCTGGTATCTAAAATTAGATTATAAATACCATTTAGGGAAAGGTATTGGAATCACTAACCTCTGAAGCTTTTGATGGGTACCCCCCAGCTTCCACCATAAGAACATTCCAATCTGGATTTTCACTTAGACGATTAGCTAACGCACAACCTCCTGGACCAGAACCCACTATAATAAAATCAAAATCCCTTTGAAGGTAGTCATCACACTTAGGGTACGTTTGTTTCTGTATTGTGGGACACTGATTAAGTCTTAGAGACAACCCGAAAACACTCAAAATAGACGACATGAATCTATTAGGAAACATTGTGTTGTTTGTGGGAATAATTAAAAGTAACGCTATTTATATGCTATCAGCGTCTACCTTCAATAAAAGCAAATCAAGGTTTGTAATTTTTATTACGGGTTGATAAGCAGGCGGTAATTCACAACGAATTTTCATTCATTTTCTCATTTAATTCACAATGAATTTTCATTCATTTTTTTTATTCAACTCACAATTTATGCAATTGTTTATCCGAAATAAGTATCATACAAAATATAATAAGCTGCCTTTTCGGCCATCATGACATTTGTGGTGGTACCATCACCTGCTGTTATAGTTGGTATCACCGAACCATCAACCACTCTTAGATTATTCATCCCGAAGACTTTTAATCTTTCATTGACGACATCATTATTCATTGGGTCAGTACCCATTCTGCAGGTACCTACTGGTTGACCAGTTGGTCTTGCCAGGGCTTTCATGGTACAGTTCCAATAGGCTTCCGTTTTAAAATCATATGGGAGACAATTAGGTGAAGTGATATCAAGCAGTTCGAAATCCCCAAAACCCGTTGAGTTGGTATTGAGCATGTTTAACACATGATTTACACCCGCCATTAATACCACAAGATCCGTAGTGTTACTATCCAAGAAATTAGGATAGATTAATGGTGGGTCATCTATATTAGTCGAAGCTAATGAGAGATTACCTCTGGAGAATGGATGTAACAAAGTGGGATGTAGAATCAAAAGAGGGTTGAACATGTTTTTGCCTTTGATGAACCATTCGGTCAATTCATTGTATCTTGTTGCGTTGAGCATTAGGTGAAGGTGCACTGTATCATTTAAGGTGTAGAGTTGTTTGGTGATTGATAAATCCGGAAATTGATCTGATTTGGTTTCATTTACCAAGTTGGAATTGATGTATCCCACTTGGTTGATATTGGATAAGTTTCCGATTGGGTTAGGTTCACCTCTGCACATTGCAGGTACAGCATTGATGAAATCTTCAGAAAAGTTATACGATGTAGGCAAGCGGATATGAACCGGAAACTCCAAATGGTCATGTAGGTTTTTTTCCAACTCCTTCTAAAGGTACCATTACTGGTAAACCCTTTGCTAATAAATCATCCATGGGACCTATCCCACTAAGCATTAATAATTTAGGGGAATTGATGGTACCCGCACTTAGAATAACTTCTCTTGTTGTTTGCATAGTAAAAACAGCATTACTTGAATTTTTAACTTCGACAGATTTTGCTAGTTTAGTTTGAAAATCTATATTAATTTTTGTTGCCCTTGTATTATAGAGCACACATAGATTACTCCTGGTTATTATTGGGGCAAGGTACCCTTTGGCAACACTGAATCTCCTACCGGATTTTACATAAGCTGGAACTTCATAATAACCCATTCTTGACCCTTGCAGCATATGTAGTGGTAAAGTGAGATTTGCGAATGCCTCAGTGGTTTTGTTTATGAGTTCACTTGTGCTATGTGGGTAGGACACCTCCATGTATCCATTAGTAGCTGTTGAACCATTCAAGAGATTAATTTTTAATAATTCTTGGGAGAGGATAGACCAATTCCAGAGTGAAATGTTCCATCGATCAAAATCTACTGAGTTGCCTTCGTATTGTATCATGTTTGAGATTAGACTTGAACCACCAATACCACGACCTTGATGGAAGACACAACCATCAGGGTACCCATTACAATAGTCCCCAGGTTGAGTTTTAAAATTCCAATCATGTGCGCTTACGGGAAAGTTTAAATGTTGATATTCCATTGGCATCTTAAAAACATTGTTTATTTATTGTTTAAATTGAAGGTGAGATACTTACTTCCGAATAGTTACTTGGAGGCATACCAGCTTCTACCACAAGCACTTTTATCGCGCTGTTGTAACTTAGGCGATTAGCTAAAACCAATCCAGAAGTCCCTCCGCCTATTATAATAAAATCATAATTTGTTTGTGAGGCTGTTGTGATGGTACAGCTGCTGGTATAGTCCGTGAGGAGACTTAGAGGACATTGTTGAAGAAATATCTGCACTGTGATTGTGTACAGATAAGTTGCTAGTTGAGTTACCGTGGCGGGCATTTTAACAATATTAAATTTACAATTAAATTAAATTAAAATAAATTGTTAAAAATTAAAATAACCTAATTACGTCAGGATAAAGATTATAGGGATTATATTTATCGTGTTATCATTTTTATCACAATTGACGTAGAAGATGATATTTGCTTATTTAATTAATTTATAATTCATAGAACATGTTGAAACGAGTAAGTAATAATTTATTTTTAAGTTGCTAATGGACTAGTCATTAATGTAAATAACAATCAATTAGTTTTAAATACATGATTGTTGCCAAATGAATATATTGCTAATCATGTGTTATTTTTAACAACTTGCTATTTTCTATTAAGAAAAAAATCTATTATTCTAGTCATTTGATTATTTGTTGAACGGTTGAATGGTGTCCTTTCTTGAAGAATCATAGAATCTATCCATTTTTGTAGGTCATTTCAAGGTTATCCACACACAAACATATAACACAAAAAGTTTAAAGTAAGAAATAGAAACATAATAAAAATAAAATAAAATACAATAGGATCTAGAAGAGAACAAATACAACAATGGCTATAAGGATAACAAGGATTTTTTGATTCTTGGCGAAATCGGCGCCATCTAAAAAATATAAATTTTTAAATGTAATTAAATTAATTAATAATTTTTTGGTGTTTTATGCACTGTTTATAATATTATCTTAATCTTGAAAATTAATTAAAGTATCTCACTAGATTTCCACTCGTCCTTGATGAGATCCGCTGCTTTTTCCGCGATGGCAATTGTAGGAATATTCGTGTTACCGCTGACGATTCTCGGCATTATCGAAGCGTCAACAACACGCAGTTTATTTACACCACGCACTTTTAAATCCGGTGTAACTACTGAACTAGTATCATTACCCATTTTGCATGTACCAACAGGATGGTAAATAGTTGAACCTAGGTTTCTCATACTACACTTCCAGTAGTCATCCGTATTGAATTCAAATCCAAGACAATTGGGTATGAGAACATGGTGTAGTTCTGATCCTGCCATTGGAGTAGTCTTGATAATATCCTTGATCCAATCAACTCCTTCCAACATGACATTCATATCATCTTCCTCATCAAGATATCCTGCGTATAACTTAGGTGGGTCTTGATAGTTGTCTGTTGAGAGTTTGACCCAACCTTTGGATTTAGGGTTTAGAAGGGTTATTATTGTGATAAGGGTATCTGATTCACTGTTAGCTTCAAGGATACTGTGGAATGACATATTGTTGAAACCCATTTGGACCAGTAGACTTCCAACAAGTGGGTCGTTCTTAACTAGGTATAAATGATGTATTTGTATGTTTGGGTATTCGGAGTCTTTGCGGGTGTTGATGAAACCATGAGCGGTTAACATCCCGACTGTGCCCAGGGCACCTTGTTTCTTCATACAGTATCTCATCACTGCACCAGCATCCATTGGAAGGTTGTAAGGCATTTTGACGATGACCCCGACTGCGATTAGATGGTCTTGTAGGTTTTCACCAACTGGTAGATCTGCTATTGATGGTATACCAAAGGATTCAACGTGTTCTTTTGGTCCTACTCCGGATAACATGAGTAGTTTAGGGCTGTTGATTGCTCCCGAGGATACTATGACTTCATTTTTAGCGTAAACTTTGATGGGTTTATCGTTGATCATCACTTCAACTCCGGTGGCGGTTCCGTTTTCTATTATAACTCGTTTAACGTGACTTTTTACTGATATGAAGATATTGGGACGGGTTTTAAGTGGGAGTAAGTATCCTTTGGCTGCGCTGAACCTTTCCGCTTGATATATGGTGTTGTTACTATCGAAATACCGACAGGGTTTCGCGGGATCTGGGTTGACATCCATGCCCAGTTCTTTTACAGCTTCGTAAAGGGCATCTCTTGGTGGTGTGATGAATGGATTAGCTGAACTGTACATTTGACCAGATTCTGGGTTGCGGAAAGCGTTTAGTTTCTGGTAGTATTTTTGGGTTTCCTCCCAGTTCCAACCATCACCACAACCCTCAGCTGCCCAAGTATCATAGTCTCTTTGGTTACCTTCTATGTACAACATAGCGTTGATACCAGATCCGCCACCGAGGAGTTTACCTTGTGGCCATCTGCATTGACCATCTATGAAACCCATGCAGTGGTTACCAGGCTCAGTTCGGAAGGCCCAGTCTTCAGGTGTGTTTTGTAACAACAGAAACGCGGCTGGGATCTAGTTTAATATAATTTTTAAGTGATTTAAATTTGGTCCAATGGTTTAACCTACCTCTGAAAGCCCCGAAGGGTAATCTCCTGCTTCTAAGAGAAGAACCCTCCAATTTTTCTCTTCGGATAATCTACTAGCAAGTGTACTGCCTGCAGATCCACCTCCAGCGATGATAAAGTCAAACGTATCACCATCTTTTAACGCTCCTGATTGATCAGGTGGATAAAGATCTTTTTGCTCAAAGGACACTTGCTGGCCATTAGGAGTGTTAGCGCATTGACAAGCATTTCCGCCGGGGCGGTAGCGTTGGTGCACGCTGCCCCCGTACACATTTTACAATAAATTTTGAAAAGAATTTCTTAAATGATGTTAATCTGAGGATAGCACCAAGTTGTGAATAACAAGCAGATTCTAGTGAGTTGATGTTTTTATACGAAATGCAATGCGGCGTGGAGCAAACCGGTCATTATGTCATAATCGACGAGGAGCCAAAATAAATACTACTTTGTGTACAATCGCGATTAGTCATAAGCATTATTCGATTTTTTACGTATTGTCACACAGTCATGGTTATTACTAAATATTGCGTGTGCCTAGGGTATGGTAGATGGGTGAATATTTAATGCAAAACTTCCACGCCGAACAACGCACCCTGATTTCGTGGTTTTTCCGACCGGAACTAAGACAACATGAATTTTCGTTAATAATTTAAGAACATCTGTTGTTCTCCGGTGTTTTTTACAACTGATTTCCACCCGGGTATGAAACAGGCTTGTAATTACGATAGTTGAAAGTCTTGAAGAAAATTCTCTAAAGTTTTTTAATTTTCACTTATAAAGAATTCAATTAAACTTTAGTTTTGTTTTAATTCGTTTTCAATTCATTTCATTTCGATAAGTCTCAATTAAGTTCTCTTGCGTAATCAACGACTATAATTATTTATCAAGGTTTTTAAAGTCTCATTTCCGTTTTATTCATTTTTTGTGTTTATATATTTTTCTATAAATTGTTAAGTGCTTAATTACGTAATTATTGTCATTGGTGAACGTTTGACTGAGTTTACCAGTAGTCTAGGTCTTGATTGCGGTGCTCAGCACCCACATAACCATCATCATCGTAGTCTGAGTAGCCCCATTCGGCTTTGATTAAATCGGCCGCCTTCTCGGCGATCATGATTGTGGGCGCGTTTGTGTTTCCTGTCACCAGCGTGGGCATTATGGACGCGTCTATCACTCGTAGATGTGGTACACCTTTAACTTTGAGGTGTGCATCGACAACTGACATTGGGTCACTGTCTGGACCCATTTTACACGTTCCTATTTTAATAATAATGATAATATTTCATTGAGATAATTTGGGTACCATCAGTTTTTTTAATTGACTTACCTACAGGATGATATATTGTTAATGTATAATGCCTTGCTTGACATTTGAGGTATTCATCAGAGTCAAAGTCAAGGTGTGCACAACCTGGTATCCTAAGATGATTTATTCTGACGTTGTATTTTTCATAACTTCCGTATTAGTCATCAATTCCATCGCGATTTTCGCACCTTCAATTAACACCTCTATATCCTCTTCATAATCAAAATAATTGGGATAAATTAATGGTTGTTTCTTGATATCGGTGTCTTGTAATTCCAACCATCCTCGGCTTTTTGGTCGCATTAATAAAGGAATTACACTCATAGCATCTTGATATAATATTTCTTCATACACTGCTGTGTAGAAATCATCTGTGATCCCTACGATTCGTTTACTAAACAGCCCACCATCAGTGTTTTCCGCATAGGAAGCAAAGAATAACTGAATATCAGGCCAGTCATAAGAAGCGTTTGAGTATTTTGAATGCACAAACGCCATTGCTTCCACTTCTGGTAACCAATACACAGGACCTTCTTCATTGTGAATGAAAGCGTCTACGTTTTCTGTTGTGTAGATACTGGTTAGTTTGAATCCAAGAGATTCGTAGTCTTCAGGTGCGTCGAATAAATATGTAAGACCTCCCATTGCGACATGGTCCTGTAGGTTTTTACCAACACCTGGTAAGTCTACATATGTTGGTATGCCGAAATGAGCGAGGTGTTCGTATGGTCCTACGCCGGATAACATCAACAAGTGTGGTGATTGTATTGCACCAGCTGATAATATAACTTCTTTATTGGTGTAGACTGTTTTTTTGAGTCCGTGTTTGTTGATTTCCACACCAGTTGCTTCATAGGTAACAGGGTCTATGATTATACGCTCGGCGAGTGTAAACAGCGATATGTCTACATTTTCTCTATTGCGGGTAGGTCTTAGGTAACCTTTTGCTGTACTACATCTTTAATAATATAAATAAATATTTTAATATTTTGATGGTATTTCCTGAGCTGAACTTACCTGAGACCATTCCTCAGGGTACCATGACTCAAAGTAAACCCAGTTTGGTATTCTCCGTTGACATCTCTTACATGGTACCCTAATTGCTCCCCAGCATCCAGAAACCATTGTACTAATGGTGAATGGTACCTGAAGTCTTCCACAGTGAGGTATCCACCTGACCCATGGTAGTAATCACCTTTTAGGTCTTCGATTTGTATGTCTTCGGCTTTTTTAAAGTAGGGTAACACGTCTTTGTAACTCCAGCCGGGATTACCTTGTTTTTCCCAGGCGTCATAATCATATCGATTACCTCTGATGTATAACATTGCGTTGAGTACTGATGACCCACCTAGGACCTTACCACGAGGCCATAAACACTGATAGTTTTTCATTCCTAAACAGAAATATTCACTCCTTTCGGTTTTAAACTTCCAGTCTAATGGACTTAGTTGTAAAGCGGGGAACATTATTGGTAGGTCTGTTATTTCTGGGAATTCATCCGGGCCTGCTTCGAGGAGTAATATCCGCCATGATGGATTTTCACTTAGGCGGTTTGTAAGAACTGAACCTGCACTACCTCCACCTAAAAGTTGTTGTAGAAATAAAAATAAATTGATGGTGAGGCCAATGTTACCATACCAATGATAATAAAGTCATAGTAATCATCGATATCCTTAAATTTTGTATCTTCTATGCGATAGTCTTTGTCCAAAATATCCGCACGGTATTCCACAGTTTGATGGTGTAGGTATAACAGAAACCCTAAACTAGGACCCAAAGTTAACGCGATTCTGGTCACTGAGTACAAGTTCATCAAATGGTCATCGTGCGCCATTTTTATTTTTTAATTTTTAATTTATGAAAACGTGTTCATCATTGAAACGTGGTTTAAGCTAGACTGACTCAACATGTGTACTGGATGTCATTTGACACCAACTTTTGCTGATTTGCAGAATTTAAAAACCAAGTGTTTAAAAAATTAAATAGATTTATTGCGTTTAAATTACAGAATATATTACAATACTTATGGCTATAATTTGTATCCCTTTGTATCCTTCACATTCTTGAATGTTTCATCCAGAACTCTTTGATCATGTCAGCCCCTTTTTCTCCTATCATTATTATAGGTGCATTGGTGTTCGCACTGACCAAATTAGGCATTATAGACCCGTCTATGACCCGAAGGTTTTTAATACCGTAGACCCGAAGTTGTGGATCCACAACTGCATCTGGATCCCAGTAAGGACCCATTTTACATGTCCCAACTGGATGGTATATGGTCACCGAATACAAACGGATCATACATTCGTAGTATTGGTCTGAATGTTCGGGATAATGAGCACACTGTGGGAATTTCAACATTTTGGACCCGTAGTACTTGAAAGCTGGGGTATTACTCAGGGCCACACCAATTTTGACACCTTCGATCAATGTCTTCATGTCAAAATCTTCTTTGAAGTAATTTGGGATGATTAGAGGGTAATCAAAAGGGTTTCGACTGCGTAACTTGATGAACCCTCTACTTTTTGGTCTGAGTAACATGGGGATCACACTCCAGACATCTTTGTTGTTTATGGGTGCGAATACCTTATCGTAGAATTCATCTGATAACCCATGGGCTTTTTTCACTTGTGCACCAGCGTCGGAGTTTGTTGATCCGGAAACAAAGTGGAATTCTATATCGGGGAATTCTGTACCATTTGCGTATTTTGTATTGACGAATGCAAGACCCTCCACACCTCCCATGATGGTCAATGGACCATCACTGAAGAGTGCATATTGCATTACAGGTGTCACTGCATAGACTCTTTCTAATGTGATGGAGACTTCTTTGTTGATGAGGAATGTTAAACCTCCCAGACCTATGTGGTCCTGCAAATTGTGTCCTACCTTCAAATCTTGTATGAGAGGGATTTTATGTTGTTCTAAATCAGCTCGGGGTCCCACACCACTCAACATTAGTATTTGTGGGGTGTTTATTGATCCAGCTGAGAGGATTACTTCTTTCTGGGCGCGTATCCTGTGGAGTTTACCATCTCTTACAAATTCCACACCGTAGGTTACTTTTGTTGCTGGATCGATAAGGACGCGTGTTACTTGGGAGTGCATTGCAACGTGGAGGTTACTGCGCAGGCGTACAGGTCTTAGGAATGCTTTGCCTGTTGAACATCGGGTACCACGTCTGATGGTACCCTGCGCAATCATGAAACCACTTTGGTGTTCACCGTTTATATCACGATTTTGATAACCTTCAAAAAGTTAATAAAATTTTAAGAGAAAATGTGAATTAATGGTACCCTACCTAATTGTCGACCACCTTCAACGAAAGCAGCTACAAGTGGTGTGTGATAAGGTGCTTCCGACACTGTTAAGTAACCACCTGTCCCATGATAACCAGTTTGTGCCAAGTATGGGTTTTTATTATCCTCGGACTTTTTAAAGTAATGCAGAGCGTCTTTATATCCCCAACCGGGGTTACCAAGACTTTCCCAGGTGTCGTAATCCCGTCGATTACCTCTCACGTATAACATATAGTTTAGTACTGATGATCCACCGATTACTTTACCTCTGGGCCAATTACACCTGCCATTTTTCATGCCCAGACATGATTTACCATCTGGTTCAGATTTGTATTTCCAGTCTAGGCCTGAGAGTTGAAGGTATGCCGCCATTAAAGGCACGTCTGAGATTTCTGTTTCATCACCGCCTGCTTCCAGTAAGAGAACACTGAATTTGTTTATTTCTGATAATCTATTTGCTACCACATTTCCTATAAAATTGAAATTTTAATTATTGGGTAACCTTGGGTAAAACTGAAGACCTACCAGCTGATCCAGCACCTATTATAATAAAATCATACGCTTCGTTTAAAAGCTCTGTTTCCATATCGATGGGTCTCGATTCCGGATCCATCATATCAAGCTGAAAGTAAGCTATGGCTGCGATAAGCGTGGGTAGGATATATCCCAGGTTGGCTGTGACAGACCCTAACCCAGTTAGGGGTCCGAGTATTGCACTCATTGCACCTTAATTTAAAAAACACAAAATTACTTTTTTTTTATTTTACTTCTAAATAATTACCAAACACCATTTTATTCAATAAAAACTAAGAAATTTTTGAAGGTATTCCTTCCTAAACAACAGGTATACCTCGACTGTCTTTAGATTTAAATAATACAAAATAGCTTGACATAAGACTAGTATGGGGAGTAAGTGCCAGTACAAAAGGGAAAATTAATCAAAACACCCGGCACGTAGCCGATAAAAAGTTCACTTTCTTTTTGTTAAGTAACAAATCGCTGGAAATTCGTCATCGTCAGTCACAGACATCTTTGCTAAGTGAAGTGACTGTGTGACTATCAACTCGTAGTCATGATAATCAAAGGTACCATGCTTTACTTAATGGTCAACGTGATTTTGTATCCAACTTAAGTCACTTTTAAGTTTTCTAAATAGATTTGTATTCATTTCATATTCATTCAAAACTACTTCCTATGCCTAGAAATGGTTTAATTTGATGGTGAGACATTAGAATTTTATTGACAATATATTTACTATTACTTTTTGTTTTAAAAATTCATTTGTTTGTGTAAAATGAAATAAAACAAAATGAAATGAAAAATATATATAATTGTGTGTTGAACGGTGAAACTGCATTGCATCTGGTCAACAAACACGCGTAAATGGAATAATAGGTCACTGTTACTTCCACTCGCCTACGATTTGCGCTCTTAGTTTAAAACATTAACAATTTCAACAGTGACAATAACTTTTCCTTCAGGGAAAACTTAAATATTTAAAAGTAATAATTACTTACAAGTTTTGGCTTCTATTCAATCCTTTTAATTTATTTTATTAACTTTTTATTACATTTTATTTTATTTTATTTAATGGTATATCATGAAATCACTTTTCCAAAATCGGTTATTAACGAAAGTGTATTAAAGTAAAGTCACGTACGTCACTTTGAGAGTGTTTTGTCTGCTGTGTTGAGCAATACCGGCGTTTTGACATTGAGCATTCGAATCTCTGCGTGTGCTGACCGTCGATTTCTTGCATGTCCCACCATCAACTCTTCTTCGGTCTTCTTTCGGTCGACCGGCGACGTCATATCCAAGTCCGATCTAACGGCGTATACATTTTTACTGTTAACACGAGCATGACCAACAGTCTGCGTGCCTCCTTCTCTTGTGTCTTCGTGAAAGACACAAGAAACCGCTTTCTTGTTAGCGGTTAACTCGGAACGTGTTGATGCGCACGTCCGCAATCACGTTCTCTCTTCATTTTAGTCTTTTGAAACTGTAAGGAGTCAAGGTCGTTCAATTAAATAAAAAAAATTAATAATAAATAAAAAGATAAAATTTTTATTTAAAATGTTTTATGTTTACAGGAGGATGTTGTGGTTCAACCAAACGCGTGTCCATCGTCGGGGGTTGGGCGTGGGCATGGTGGTTGGTCACCGATGTACAAAGGCTTTCACTGGAGGTGATGACACTCAACCCGATGTGTGAAAGTGTCGAAACTGCCCAGGGTGTACCTCTGACTGTCACCGGGGTGGCGCAGTGTAAGATTATGAAGGCGGATGAACTTTTGCACACCGCTTCCGAGCAGTTCTTGGGGAAGAGCGTCAAGGAGATCAAAAGCACCATTCTGCAGACTCTTGAGGGTCATCTTAGAGCTATACTAGGTAAATATCTTATAACGAAACAACCTTGAACTTCAATTGAATTTTTATTGCTTTTTAATGACTATTGTGCAATATTTGACTCGAAAGCGTGTAAAATATGCAATCAGTTAGAAATTGATTGTGATGAAATTGTTTATGCATGAATAATATTATTTAAAACGATTTATTGATAGATATGAACATAACATGCGTAATTCATCCATCAAAACAATTTAAACACATTTATTGTAAAATTTGTAACGATTTAAACTTGAAAACACTGCGTCTAAGTTTAGACGTCAATAAATCCGTTAATAATCGTCAATAATCTGCTTGGAAACGGTCCACATGTTGAGAAAACTAAATATACACTCGCTTACATAACTATTAATAATTACTCTGAATATTTTAAATGATTAACACAAATTAAATCAATATTTAGCTGACTATAAATATCGCGTATTGTGATGAATATTTTACACCATTTCCAGCGTGTTTCTCTCGTATTGGTCACGGCTTATTAAAAGTCAATTAGCGAATGATTGCCAACGTCTCCTCAAGTCAACCAAATGACGTGTACGACATCGCATAAATACGTAACGAACGTTTGCGGGAACAATTGTACACTTGCAACTAGTTTAGTCGAGTTTTTGAGTTATTAAAGTGTCTGCGCGTGTTTGTTTCGCTCTGTCAGTCATCATATCCGCACGCGGATTATATTTCGCTGTTTTTGCATTATTTTTGTTTTAAATAAATTATACTTTTTGTGAGATGGTTGTATTGTACTCGTAAAGCTGAGCAAGCGTTTGTTACAAATACAAAAATGTGCGGGTTTTGTTTGAATCACCTGGTGGCTAGACGAAAATAAACCGAAACGTTTTGTTTTTGGGAAATATTACGGAAGACGGAAGACAGTCGGCAGTCTGGAAGTTGTTTGAGTGGTTGAAGGACGTTCGGAAATTATTCTTACATATATATTGAGTTTACATGATTAGTTACCGGTTTAGATTTGTTTGGAACGTGTGATAAGTATTTTTGTTTTATTTTGTTAAAATGTCGATTGTTGGACCTGCGTTAAGTTTGGGATTAACTATTGTTGGAACAGTCGCAGTTGTCAAAACGTTTGTTTATATTTTATTTTAATTTTTTAAATTTTTATTGTTTGGTGTAATTTTTTGGTTTTTGTTTTTAGGAACTCTTACAGTCGAAGAAGTGTACCGCGATCGAGATCAGTTCGCAGCGCTGGTACGCGAGGTGGCAGCGCCGGACGTCGGCCGGATGGGCATCGAGATCCTCAGCTTCACCATCAAGGATGTCTATGATGATGTGCAATATTTGGCGTCGCTCGGCAAAGCGCAGACGGCGATGGTGAAGCGCGACGCTGACGCCGGCGTCGCTGAAGCCAATCGTGATGCTGGCATACGCGTAAGTTAAACAATTAAAAGTACATTTAAATATCTTTAAAATGACATATTATTTATTAATATAACTTTAATAGTTTTTGAGTTATGAAAGTTTAAAGATTTTTTTGTTTATTTTTATTTTTAGGAAGCTGAGTGTCAAAAATCCGCCATGGATATTAAATATTCCACTGATACAAAGATCGAAGATAATTCAAGGATGTTTAAGCTTCAGAAGGCTAATTTTGATCAGGAAATTAATACTGCTGTAAGTTTACTTTAATAAAATTAATTTTATTCAATCCTCATTTTTAATTTATTTTAAATTTATAGAAAGCCGAAGCACAATTGGCTTATGAATTGCAAGCTGCCAAGATTCGTCAGAAGATACGTAACGAAGAGATCCAAATCGAAGTTGTCGAAAGACGTAAGCAGATCGAGGTGGAAGTGCAGGAAGTCATGCGAAAGGAGCGTGAATTAAACGCAACTGTACGTCTCCCAGCAGAAGCGGAATCATACCGTGTGCAGATGATTGCCGAAGGTAAACGTACACATACAGTACAAGCAGCTATGGCGGAGGCGGAGAAGATAAAATTGATTGGACAAGCCGAGGCGGAAACCATCGCTATTATGGGTAAAGCGGAAGCGGAGCGTATGAGGCAGAAAGCCGCTGTTTACCAACAGTATGGCGAAGCTGCCAAGATGGCGATTGTTTTGGAAGCATTACCAAAGGTAAACAAATTAAATTTTTATTTTTATTTTTGTCTTAAAATTAAATTTTTAAATTTTTTTAGATTGCTGCTGAAATTGCTGCCCCCCTGGCAAAAACCGAAGAGATTGTGTTGTTGAGTGGAAATGATAATACCACCGCAGATGTAACTCGCCTTGTCGGCCAATTACCGCCGGCAATTCACGCCCTCACCGGCGTGGACTTGTCGAAGGTTTTGGGTAAATTACCTGGAGCAACCACAACTGGCCAGATCACCACGCCTCAGGTTGCCGTCAAATAATGAACGTACCATATGCGGCCATAAGTAATTTTGTTATTTGACAACATACACCACTTATTGATAAAAGCAAAACCACACTAACCGAAATTTAAACAAAACTTAAAATCTAGGAGCGCCTTTTTGCGGAAATAAAATGATATTCAAGAGTTAATATTTTCACGGATATTTTTGTGTAGCACTGAGACATATTTGAAACAATTTACGTTACCAGCACACACAGACACACACTTACACGAATTTTCTTACTCGATGCGAATAAATACAAAATATGTGTTCAACTGTTCGACTTTTAGAACTCTACATACAATCTAAACTTAATCGAGAATCTTAACTATGAAAATCTAATATGAATGAGGACAAAACAAAAACAAAAAACAAATGCGTGTTGTAGCTGAAATAAAATAAATGAAATATATATTAGATCTAGCTGATGAAAGCTGAGTAATGAACAAAAAATAATGTTTAAACAGAAACTATTTCGAGTTATAGAAGTGTACACTGTGTATTTTTACATAAATCTTCAAGTTTTCGATGTTTTTGAAGCGTTTTTTGACGTGTTTAGTGCGCAGATTTCGATTCTTATGTTAACGACCAAGTAGATGATGATTTTCTCTGGGTTGGCTGCCGTAAATAATGTAAGCAGATTTTTAGCTGTCTCGATGTGAAACGTAACGCAAGAACACTTATTTTGTGTCTGTTGTTTTCTCGAATCTTTGCATTTAGCAGATGGATTTTAGTACTTGTAGCTGAATATGATATTTTTATACCTGATGAAAATTAAAATGCTACTCAAACGGAATGCTGTCGAATTCCACCTAAACAGGATCAGAATTTTGAATTGTAATTAAACTTTTAATGAATTGATTTTAATTCTAATAGAAATGATCTGATTTCTCATGAATATCGTTTGTAATAGTCTTGTACTTGTTTGCGTATTGATTTATTTGTTTGTTTGTAGGAAATATTGCGTTAGTTTAGTAACAAAATTAAAATATTCTTGTATTCATGTATATTTTTATGCCACTATGATTATTTAAACAATATTGTTTTTCTATTGTATTCTATACTCTGAACAACTTTTATTATCACACTGCGCATAGAAAATTCGATGTGTTATGTATTTTTGTGTTAGTTTTAAGCTGAGATTATTTTGTACGTTCACTTCTTATTTGCTTGTCTTATGGACTCAAAGAAATGTCATAAATATTATAAATAAACGCTATGAAATGTATTAAGATTATTTGTTTGCTTAATTTTATGATTTTCTTAATACCCTTATCCTCTCATTATTTTTTATTGAATGAAATGCGTCATGGAGTATAAAATTACCCAACCGTTTAACTGTTCAACATTTTAAAATATAGTTTATATTTATATGGGAGAAGGGTTATTATTATTCTGAAAACAGTAAAATGTTGATTAAATGACGTAAACTGCATTGTAACACGTTTTGCTGCACGAATTTGAAATATTCATTTTTTGTCTAATAAATGGAGAATATTTACTCGTAAGATAAAGTGCGATTACTGTATAAAAAAATAGTCTGATAACAAAATGTTACGAAGATAAAGTGTTTAGAATCCCGTTTCCTTGCAGAATCTGTAATAAAATGTTAAAGTTTTTGGATTTTATTTTTTGCGTAAGAAATGATAGAGAAAACTAAGACTCCAGTTTTTTGCAGTTTTCTCGTAAACTATTAAAGTTACAGAAAAATGCTTTTCAGATTCGTGTACAGGATAATATTCTACGTTATCTAACACCTGAAATTTTTCTATTAGCCAAATTTACGTAATAAATGAAAATGGTCAATAACTTGAAAACTAATTAAGATATCGCAACCAAACCTTGATTAATGATTTCCTGGCATTGTTTTACATCAGTTTGGAAAGTTTGGTGAAAATCTGAGTTGTGGTTCCAATTGGTCCATTTTAATTTCACCGCTCATTTTCCGAAGTTTTGATGATATCGGAAAACTGATTAGATATCATTCATCCCCTTGAAAAACTCTAACGATTGGCGTTTTCCATTTTCTTCTAGCGTAAAAAATAATTTTTGGGCCAAGAAATCGTCAAGTGTAACCTCTTGATCTTTTTGAGTGGTTTTTGGTCGACCTCGGAAAATGGAAAAACTAAATCTGCCATTTTAGAGATTCTTATCACGACATGAACAAAATGAAGAAAATTCTTCTCTAACTTTATTACTTTTCGAGAAAATCGTGTCGGAAAATTCGGAAAACACACCTTATATTTAAAGTTTTTTAACTGCTATCTTATCTAGGATTTGATTCTGAACGTCATACTGTTTTCGGTTTTTGTATATGTCTATTAGTTTCTGAGATAATTAATAATTGAATCTTGATGTGAGTACACATTTCTCGTAATGACATCTACAAGGAAAACCTTTGGTGATATTAAATAAAAAGTTGTATAAATAATGTAATTAGGAGCTTCGCTGTAAAAGGGTATTATTAATTTTTACTAAATATTTCAAATACTAATTAAAATGTCCGGCGCCTCCGCCAAATTTTTAAAAATTACTAATTTTGCTCAAAAAATCAAAAAAAAAACTTTTTTATTATATATTATTAAAGAGGACCATTTTATTAAATGATTATTCAAGAATAACCTATCCTGCAGAGAGTCCTGCATGGATCAAGAATCTGAAATCAGAGTTTTCGTAATCCTTTTAGTTTCCGATACAATCGCAATTTAAGTTCTAAAACTTGCGATGGTAGAGACGCGTCTTGACGGATTTGGATAAGTTTCAAGTGCAAATTATTTTTGAAAAATAGTTCGGCCCTGTTATTCGAGCAAAAATAATTTACAAAAAAGTTCGGCCCTGTTCTTCGAGCAAAAATAATTTCCAAGCATTTTTTTATTGATTTTCTGATAAAATTTTTATTATAACAATTAAAAATGACATATTTGGCTTTGTATTTCAACTAAAAATAATTATAATACAAAATGACGGTCTTTCAAAGAAATCTGAAAAATATAGTAAAAACTGATCATTTTCCGTGGGCATTTTAGAGCACTTCCAAGAGAATTAGAGGATGGATCAATAACTCAATTTGTAGAAACACTCTTCATCGATAAATTGACGCAGGAAAACCCCAAATTGCATTATTTTTACAGGAGATACGGGGTGTTTTCCACAGCAACTTTTTCAACAATTCAACTCCACAAATGTCTTAAAATCTACTTTGAAGGTCCACCTTTTGTGAAATTTTTTAAAACACGCTCTCGAAAACACCCTGTATCTCTGCTCTTTCTGAATGAATTTCATTGTTATTTATTTATTTGGTAGGGCAATAGTTCCTTTATCGTTTGATATATCTTTGAAACTTCTGAAGGCCCTGCAAATGCCCTAAATTCTACTTTGAAAGTCACCCTTTTTTGTAATTCTTTGAAACACGCCCTCGAAAACCCCCTGTATCTCGGTGGTTTCTTGTTTAATTTTGCCATTCTTTATGATATTTTAAAGAGAAAGAGTTGCTACTTTGTTTGATATATCGTGTGACCCCCTAAAAGCCCTAGAAATGCCCTAAAATCTACTGTGAAAGTCGCCTTTTTTGCATTTCTTTGAAACACGTCCTCGAAAACACCCTGTATCTTGGCTGTTTCTGGTTCAATTTGATTGTTCTTTATTTTATTTGGTAGAAGAATAGTTGTTTCACCGTTTGACATACTTTCTGACCCCCTAAAAGCCCTAAAAATGCCCTAAAATCTTCTTTGAAAGTCGACCTTTTTTGCATTTCTTTAAACACGCCCTCGAAAACACCCTGTATCTCCGCTGTTTTTGGTCCAAAATGATTGTTCTTTATTTTATTTGGTAGAGAAAGAGATGATTCATCGTCTCATATCATTTTCGGTACCCAAAAGGGCCTAGAAATGCCTTAAAAACATCCTTAAATGTTGGCATTTTTCGCACATTTTTTCATTGAAATCTGAAATTTTCCGGCGAAATTCTTAAAATTGATTTGAAATTATTGAATTCGTGCGAAGATCGCGCAAAAATTTTCAGCCTCCTCGCACTTCTGGGTTCCTGGTACCAAAAATCAATTTTTCCCTTAGTTTCGAGGCAAAATCGAACGAATTGAAAGAGAGAGAGAGAGAGAGAGAGAGAGAGAAAACAAAGAGAGAAAATAAATTTCAAATTCAGTCGAAAATCCCGCGAAAGTTTTCAGCCTCCTCAACTTTCAAGGATCCGAATAACACAAACCAATTTTACCATTCATTTTCGGCTCGAAATTGTCGTGCACACAGAGCGAGAGAGTGATATACAGTCAGAGAGAGAAAGATACAGTCAAAAATCCCGCGAAAGTTTTCAACCTCCTCGACATTCTGGTATCCGGATAACACAACTCAATTTTACCATTGGTTTCGGCCTGAAATTGGGTGCACACACACACATGCAACTTCACACGTACGTAAATAATAAAAATTTTAATTTTTAATAATTTGATTGAGATTCTGAAAGAGAAATAAATTTCGCATCGTTTATCCTAATAACATTTTCCTGTTTTTTTTTTATTTTTTAAAGAGTTATTCACGTTTCAAAAAATATATTATTTTAATATTTTATTTTAATTATTTTATTTTATTTTATTTTATTTTAAATATTTTAATAATTATTTTAATATTTTTTGAATATAGGGAATTTTCCAAGCATCAAGAATTTGAAGTTCTTTTTCTCCTATCCATTTTGGTTCAAAAGTTATAAGCATTCAAAAATTTATTTTAATTTCAAGCAAAAAAAATTTTAACCAAAAAGTTCGACCCTGTTCTTCGACCGAAAATATCTTAACACCAAAAGTTCGACCCTGTTCTTCAAGCGAAAAATATTTCAAACAAAAATAATTTCCAAGAATTTTTTTATTGTATTTTCAACAAAATTATTATTGTAACAATTAAAATTTACATATTTTGCTTTGTATTTCGACTAAAAATAATTATAATACAGAATGGAGTCTGTCTTTCAACAAAAATCTGAAAAATATAGTAAAAAATTATCATTTTCCGTGGGCATTTTAGGGCACTTCCAAGGTAGTTAGAGGATGGATTAATTACTCAATTTGTAGAAGCACTCTTCATCGATAAATGGACGGTGAAAAACCCCAAATTGCATTATTTTTACAGGAGATACGGGGTGTTTTCCGCGGCACCTTTTAGAAATTTTCCAAAAATAGCAACTTTTGAAGGGATTTTTAGGGCACTTTCCATGGGTTTAGAGGATGAATTTGGTACTCATTTTATAGAGGTACTTTTCATCTATAAGCTGATGTAGGAAAACCCCAAATTGCATTATTTTTACAGGAGATACGGGGTGTTTTCCACAGCACCTTTTAGAAAATTTCCAAAAATATCAACTTTTGAAGGGATTTTTAGGGCACTTCCAATGGGTTTAGAGGGTGAATTTGGTACTCATTTTGTAGAGGTACTTTTCATCTATAAAGTGATGTAGAAATACCCCAAATTACATTACTTTTACAGGAGATACGGGGTGTTTTCCACGGCACCTTTTAGACACTTTCAAAAAATAGCAACTTTTAAAGAGATTTTTTAGGGCACTTCCCATTGGTTTAGAGGGTGTATTTAATATTCACTTTGTAGAGGCACTCTTCGTCGATACACTGACGCAAGAAAACCCTAAATTGCATTATTTTTACAGAAGATACGGGGTGTTTTCCACGGCACCTTTTAGAAATTTTCAAAAATTTTCAAAAATTTTCAAGTACAATATCACGGCAAGAAACTCAACTGGTGTTAATTAGTTCACGAGATACAGGATGTTTTCCTCAGCATGTTTTTAATTTTTTAGAAAAATTGCAATTTTCAAAGGGCATTTTAGGGCACTTTCAAATAGTTTAGGGGGTTAGAAAAGTATGCATCATGTAGAAGAGCTCTTCAAGTACAATATCACGGCAAGAAACTCAACTTATGTTAAATAGTTCACGAGATACAGGGTATTATCCTCAATATGTTTTTAAATATAGCAAACACCAAACACAATTTTTTATGGGCAATATAGGGCACTGCCCCATGGTGCAGAGAGCTAAAAATATATATGTAGTAAAAAGAAACTCTTAAGCTGTAATATAACGGCAAAACATTCAAGATAGTTGAATTAATACATGCAATTCATTATGTTTTGCGCCATATTTTCAAAGAGTTTGGAAAGTAGCGATTTGTGATGGGTTCCAGGGCACTTTTGAAGAGTTAATGTTCTCGAATGATTGTTATAAATATCCTTTCTAGCTACAATATGTATTAATAAATATATAAGTATTCTGTTGCATTTATTTGTTTCTTTATTATTTGTTGCACATCTTTCATGTTAGTCCGATTTTTCATTTACAGATGTCGCTAAATACTCAGCATTAAACATATGTTTCTAGTTTGCATCACTCAGTATACCATCTAGGGACTTTCATGTTTTTATTGATTTCCGCTCTTATGTTGGCACCGCACTCGTGCATCTCCGCCAACAACACTAACTTGTTAACACCCGCTCGTCCCTCTCCAGCCAACAAACGCAGCGAGTCATTGTTGAAAACGTCAACAGAAGGAACACACCACAAGCACATCGCTCGTATTTTTCAACGTCAGGTTGATAGCTGTCTCACGCGCAGTTTTAAACCTGAACCCGAGTCGACGCAGCGAGCGCACACACTCACACGACCAGCTCGTGTATAAATTCGCCGTGTAACCACCACACTCACCACCCACAACCTGCATTCTGCAATCACAGCGATTCGCAGCTAACGAGAAATCCCAAACAAATTCAATCAGCAAGATGAAGTTCCAATACAAGGAAGAACATCCCTTCGAGAAGAGGAAAACCGAAGGCGAAAAGATCCGAAGGAAGTACCCCGACAGGGTTCCAGTAAGTACAACGAAAAAAACCGAAGCGAAATCATTAAAATTTCAAATAAAACATTGCGCAATCGTGCAACATTCACCAAATGTATTTCATTTTTTATTTGTCAATGCGTAATTAATACATTACTGCGACGCAAAACAAAAGTATCACGTCTCAGCCTCATCGGTGGCAGGTTTATCGATGTAGCAGTAGTTTAACATAATCAAATATTATTGTGTTTATTTGCGAACGTGCTAAGAACTAGTAAATAATCGGGTTCGATCGTCGTTTGTTTTGGATTGCACCACAAAATGGCCGCGGTGGTTCACCTACAGCACACCAACGCAATAAACACGTAGAAGCAGCGCGCGTTCTTTGTTGCACAACAAACAGGAACAGCTGACTATGATTTCAGGCAACGGGATAAACAGGATAAACAATTAACCACGCTTATCTCACGTTACAGTATATAAATATTGCACCATGTTGCAATAAATCTGTTCCTTTCTGATTATATTGTTAATAACTTATGCTTTGAGGTCAATCCAAGGCTTAGCAACACCGTATTTCATTTTGTCAATGTCTTTTTCGGTTTATTTTTATCCTTTTTGGCGCAATGCTCGTTTATATGTTATGAAATATCGTCATCGTGTGCAATTTATGTAAAAATTCGCGAAAAATGCGTGTGGTGATAAGCAATCTGTTGGAATATTTGCGTTTTTGTGGGTTTTGTACGGAAAACATGATTATCTATTTATGAATGTGAAATATGTTAAGTTACTAAGTGAATTTGTTAACTTTGTGTTGTTTTTTTGTTTTAGGTGATTGTTGAGAAGGCCCCGAAGGCGAGGATTGGCGATTTGGACAAGAAGAAGTACCTGGTGCCGTCTGATTTGACCGTCGGGCAGTTTTACTTCCTCATCCGGAAGCGTATTCATTTGAGGCCTGAGGACGCTTTGTTCTTCTTTGTTAACAATGTTATTCCGCCCACGTCGGCGACCATGGGCACGCTGTACCAGGTAAAATTGGTGCTTTTTGATTCAAAATTGATTTTTGATGTTTTTCGAGGCAAAATTTGTTAATATTTTGATATGATATCAAAGAGGCATTAATTGGTTATCTATATAAACAAAAATGATGTAATTTTTGTTAATAGTTTAAAAGTTATGGACTAAAAATGAAGGATATGCATGATTTAAATTGACGGTTTGGATTTTGCAGTGTCACGAAAAGTTGCGCAATTTAAAAGTTAATTATTCCTAATTTCCAGGTTGATGCCATGTAATAATTTGGTATTAGCTGAAAGAGAAACTATTCAATTTTAAACTTCCGCAAGAATATTGTAGTTACTATTGTTTAAACAAAAGTTATCAGCTTTAGTACTTAAAAAAATTTTTAATTTTTTAATTATTAATTTTTTTTAGGTATTTTCGTTTTTGATGTTTTTCTGGCCGGAAATTGTTTACTATCTTGATTTTATTTTAAAAAGGCACTCTTTATTTACATTTCTACGCAAATATTTTTCGTTTACGATCAATAGATTAGAAATTATTGACATAAAACTGCGAGAAATCATGAGTCAAGTTTATGATTTACATGACGAACTTACGCGCAAAGTTGTGCAACTTTGCGCTCAATTATTGTTCATTTCCGGGTTGATTCAGTTGATGATTTTGGTATTAATAGAAAGATAAACTAAAAGATATTAGTTTATATAAAAATTTCGATGTTATCTTTGTTTAAACAAATGTTATTAACAAAACAAAACTTTGTACAACTTTATGATTTAAATTTTTATCTTACAACTTTGACTTCGATTTTTTTACTTTTGAGTTATATTTTTACAAATATTTTGGTATCATATCAAAGTACAACTAATAATCTACTGAAATTTACATAAATAATTATTTTGTTGCTATTTTAACAAAAGTTATAAACATTTTTATAAAATTTTAATTTTTTTAATTTTTTGTTTAGGAACATCACGAAGAAGATTTCTTCCTCTACATCGCGTACTCCGATGAGAACGTCTATGGTCAGAGCGCCTAGAGCCCTCACGAGAAGCCCAGATCTTCGCGCACTCAATCGACAAGAATGCCGTTTACGTGCCGCCAATCTCGCCCTCGACAACCCGCGTGTATATTTACCATTCTACTTTGGTAACGATTATTAAAGAAACATCTTTTAACTGCGCCCCTTATATCTGATAATAATTCTAGTTTAACTCGTAAAGTACCCAAGTATGGAACTTAAATATTAAATTAATATGTCAAATCTCGATGAAAGCGAGGCATTCACAGGAAATCTCTCGTGTTTGAAGGAAACAGTTTCTTTCAAACATTTATTGACTTGATATAATTAAAGAAAAAAAAAGTTTTTAAGAAGAGGAAGAAGAAAATTATTACTTTGTTGTTTTATGCACATCATGAAACTGTGAATTCAGGTTTTATTTCTTTTTTTCTTTCAATACCAAAACGGAAAAAATTATTTATTTCTTCAGTGTTAAAGACAAACACTTTTCTTCTTCAGGTGAAGCTTTGCAAATGGAAAACTAGTTGTAATTGTAAAGTTAATCTTTAGATAATTCAAGCAAAACTGATGATAGCTTTTAGTAAGTAAATGTTAATCATAATACTTACCAGGGATTTCTCAAGCAAAAATTTAGCTACCTTATAAAGAGTTAGTTGTTAGACGGCACACTATTTTGGAAATGGTTTAATTTTGCTCATAAATTCTTAAGTGCACACATGCTGGATTAATATTGCATATGGAATACGATTATTAAAGATAGAAACTAATATATAAATGGGTAAAAAGCGTACATAAGTGTAGAGTTTATGCTGGACGATGTGTAAATGTGATCAGGAATAAGATAATGTGTAATTATTTATATGCGCTGTTGTCTTTAACCTGCTTATTGTGATTTTTTGAAAAATCGTGAGCGAAAAACTTTATTGGTAATTATTTATCATTTTAAAACATTTTTCGGTAATTATTTGCGTTTAGTTAAAAGAGGGACTAATTATCTTCTGATTCCTGAAAGAATTTTTGTTTTTTCTTTGTTTAAACAAAAGTTATTCACATGTTTATCGCGCACGACGTCATTAGACCTTTTCTTCATTTGTTTAATCAATTATCTGTTTCGTATCCATAGTAATGACCCAAAATCGCTCTCAATCAATGTCTGTGTTTATCCTGGCACTTCATTCAACTTTATACAGCGATCATACTCACTATTTTACCATTTTTTATACATTTAAGTGCGGTGTTTGTAAAAATAAGAAAAACCATGGAGTCGTTAAACTTTAAACCAGTAAAGCCCATTTTGCAGCCGACGTATCCACGTCTGCCGCCCGAGCAGACCGAGGTGGACTACCGGAACTCAAGACAGATCAACGTTTGTGAATTGTACGTAGATATTATTCATGAATTGTGTGAATTTTTGTGATGCGATTTCTATAACAGGGCCGCGCCAGAATGGGATAAACCAGCCAATTGCATCGACTTGGAGTGGGTGTATGCGAAGAGGGATTTGCGGAATGTGACGCAGTATCTGAAGAAGACGAGGGCGACTGCCGCCATCGAGTATGGCAAGAATAATATCAAGTGGCATGAGCTGCAGGAGAAGGAGGAGAATTTGCGGCAGAGTTTTATCAAGTTCGAACAAGTAACTGCATTTATTTATCGATTTTTAGGGGTTGTTTGAGAAGTATTGGTTGGGAAGGTGGTATGGGGTGTTAATGGGTTTAATTGGATATTGATTGATAGTGGAATCAAGGTCTTGGGGTTTGTATTATTAGGAAATATGATATAAACAAGATATTTACATTATTTTGTTTTTTTTTTTGTCTGGAAAATTTGATTTTAGGGTTGAATATTTTATACTCACGATATAATTTTTGGATGTTATATAGTGCTAAATGAAAGTAAATTTAATTGGTTATCATTTAATACTAAAATTATTGATTTTTCATGTTTATTCTAGAAGTTATAAACAAATTAGTTTCGTTTTGCAAAGTGTATAAAATTCGAAGATGTAACTGCATTTATTGATCAATATTTAGGGATGTTGCGTCTCAGAGGGGTTGTAAAAGGTAGTATGAGGCATTATGGGGTTTAATTGAGTATTGATTGATAGTGGAATCAATGGTTGGGGGGTAGTTTTATTAGAACTTATCGTAAAAACAAAAATTTATTGGTTTTTGGCCGGTTTTCAGAAATGTTTTGATTTTAGGGGTGAATATTTTATATTTTGGTTACAATTTTGTGGTCAAATTTAGTATCGAATGAAAGGAAATTTAATTGACTTCCTCTTTGTCTAATTAAATTTAATTATTAATTTATCATGTTTATTCCTATTGTTATTAACAAAATAACTTCATGTTGCAAAATTCTAGAAAAATCACAAAAAACAGTAAATTTTACTAAAATTCTGCTTTTCCGACAAGATAACACGAAATATTTTACTTTCCCATGAAAATATCACTTAGTATCTATCTTTACCCACCATTACCAACCCTTTACCACAACCTAATCAATAATTATCGCCTAAACAACTACGTTTAATATTTTCGTTTTTTGTAAGTTTGTTCTCGAAAATGAAGACAAACGCCGCAGGGCTCGACGTAAAATTGTCGAAGAGAAGCTGTTATTGGAACAAAGGTGCCACATGCTCAACTTAGCCCTTGCTGAACAACAGGGCCTTGTCGACGTCAAGCAGAAACTGGATCAGAAGACGCGGGAGTACCGTATTTATGAAGACTTTCTCAATCAAGTTGTGATTAGCGACCAGCTACATTACAAGACAATTAGCGATGTCATCAACAGATACATGATCCTGATTGAGACCAAGGATCAAGTTTCAGAGAAGAGGGCAAGGGATATGGATGAATTGGACCAGGCTAAAATGCAATATGTAAGTGGTAATAATTGCAAAAGCACAAAATTTAATTTCACAATTAAACGTGAAATTAAAAGAATTTCAGAGGTTTGGGGTTTAAGGGAGGGGTATTATATTATATGGAAGTACAATACCTTTAATTTGAGGATAATATCATGAATATAGAAAGGTTTTTACCAAAGTTATAGATATTAGAAGCGCAGGACGAATAAATTTAGTATAAAATGATGTCTTTACTTTAAGGGTTAATATTTATACTTTTCGGTAGGGTTTTTAGATATTTTGGGGTATAATTAAAAAGATAATTTTATCACCTACCCTCTTATACTATTATATTTTTGTTATCATTAACTTATCAATAGTTATGAAGGTTAATATGCAGGACGAATTAAATTTTGTTTAAAATGAAACTTTAAGTTTAAGGGTTAAAATTTATTACTTCCGGTAAGTTTTTCAAATATTTTTCTGTATAATCAGAAAGAGAATTTTATCAGCTATCCTCTGATACTAGTATATTTCTATTATCATTGTTTTATCAAAAGTTATGAAAGGGTTTTCACAAAGTTATAGATTAAAGAAGCGTAGGATGAATTAAATTTTCTGTAAAATGAAGCCTTTACATTAAGGGTTAAAATTTATACTTTCCGGAAGGGTTTTTCATATTTTGTGAATATAATCAAAAAGGGAATTTTATCAGCTACCCTCTCATACAACTATACGTATGTTATCATTATTCCTTCAAAAGTTATGAACTAAACAAACATTATTTTCTTTTTTCTCAATTTTTTTTTAAATTTTCTTTTAGGGTTTACTTTTGGACGAAAAAGACCTAGCAGTAATGATGCTAAACTCCCAACTAGTCGAACTAGTCGTCCGCCATGATCGCGCTCGTAGCCGGGCCCTACAATGGGAATCAATCGTAATCGAAATCAAAGACATCATCGAACAGAAACACATGGAACTAATCGGCGTCAAAGTCTCCATGTGGAATATGTACAAACAAATGTGTTCCCGCCAGAGTCAACCACAAGTCCTAAGCAAGGACAACTTCGAAGGACAATTAATGTTCATAAAGAAAACTCTCTCAGAACTAAAGAAAGTACGCCAGGTGGTGGAGAAACTCCTCGTCGGGAAGAACTACGTAGGAGTACCCAGAAAGAAGAAAGCCGCGAAGCATATCACCATACAAACAGAACCAGGAGCCAAGAGCCGAAGCAGTAAAATAGCTCGCGCCAGTCGACCAAGTCACCGACAATCGGACGTAACAGCAGGTACAGCTGCTATGAAAACAAATAGTCTTTTGAAAGCTGAGTCGAATGAGGAAGCTGGACCAGAACCGGAAAGGAAAAGCATCAACGTCATGGTAACACATTTATCATCCGCACAAGTCCAATGACCAAATATAAAATTTCAATAAATAAATTGAAATATTGACGTAGTACAATACTAGATACATAAATTACAGTTAAAAATATTTAATCTGTTGTTATTTACTAAATTTATAACCAAAAATCAAATAGTGAATTTCTTTGGTTATGAAAAGTGTTTGTATCACTCGTTATATTAAATCATCAATGTCACCAACTTTTCCCCCATGTCATCCGCATTGAATCCAACATGGGCGTTGACCGACCGCAAAATAAAAACAAACGCCCGAGGACGCAATTAAATTATTAAACAAATTGAAAATGTGACCCGCGTTCGTCTGCACACGTATCCTCACTCATCGTAGCTCTTAGCCACATTGTATCGCATCGTTACCATTAATCCAACGCTCAATGAAAACGCAACCAATTCAACACACAAACCAAGGTAACAAACAAACACAAAACAATCAAAGAAAAGATTTGATTGCAAGCGTGTGTTATCAGTTGTAGCGTGCAGTAGTCATGCCTTCCCTGCGCAAACGCGTCTCGAGTTACCTGCGGCAATTGAGCTTCCACAATGAGCCACGTGATAAGCACATCAACTTCATTGAGAATACATTCATCATTAAATATTTACAAGGGTAAAATTCATATTAAATTTTACTATTATTCTGTATATTTATGTGGTTTATTGTTTATTTTAGTGAAATTGTTGTGAAAGAAGGACCGCCTATTCATAATGGTAAAGTACCAACTGATTTACCATCTTTTGAGCTTGGAGTTTACAAAACTGGACCAGAAACAATTGTGGGATGTTTTTCCGGACCTGATGGAGGACTCACAGCCGTGAAACGAAAGGAGAAACATTTGTCTCTAGGCGAAAACGACATCGATTTTATTGATACTCAGGATGAACAAACAGGTTTGTTAGTTTTTCATTATATTCATTCATAAAATTCGACTAGAAAGGAAAAAAGTTAGGTTATATTGCATTCGGAAGTTTAACCTCAATTTTCGGCTGTTTTGAGAAGTAAATTGTACTGGATTTATATATAAATAGATAGTATATTTAATTGTTGATATAATCCTTCAAAAAATTTTAATTTCTATTTATTTGTTTAAAAGTTATAAGCAAAACAAAAATGATTCACGGGTGAATTTCATTGATTGACGTAATTTTGACTTTGTAGTCAATTATTTGCTATTTTAAAGAAAGAATCTGAAGATTTTTTGTTATAATTCGAAAGTTTAACTAATCGGCTTTATATTTCCGTTAAAATTATTGAATTACAATAATTTAAACAAAAGTTATAAGCAAAACAAAATATGTTCGCGTAAATTTTATTGATTGACGTAATTTTGACTTTGTAGTCAATTTTTGCTATTTCTGAGTAAAAATAAGAAGGTTTTTGTTATAATTTGGAAATTGAACTAATCGGCTTTATATTTCCGTTGAAATTATTGAATTACAATAATTTATACAAAAGTTATAAGTAAAACAAAATTTATTCGCGTGAATTTGATTGATTGACATAATTTTGAATTTATAGTCAATTTTTTCCTATTTTTGAGTAAAAATAAAAATATTTTATGATATTATTTGCAAGTTTAACTAATTAGCTTTATGTTTCCGTTGAAATTATTGAATTACATTAATTTAAACAAAAGTTATAAACAAAACAAAATTTGTTCGCGTGAATTTTATTGATTGACGTAATTTTGACTTTGAAGTAAATTTTAGGCTATTTTTAATTAAGAATCTGAAGATTTTTTGTATGAATTTGAAAGTTTTACTAATTGGCTGTATATTTCCGTTGAAATTCTTAAATTTCAATAATTTAAACAAAAGTTACAGCAAAAACAAAAAATATTTACCAATCTTTCCAAAATTTTCGTTGCCAACTTAAAACTGACAGAAAAAAATCCCTAGGGTAACCAAAACTAACCTAAAATATAAACTGTATAGTTTCGTAATATTAAACTCTAACCTAACATACTCTAAATCTCCAATAAGCAAATTATTCACCTAATTATTTCATTAACTCAAAGGGTTCTTCTCTATACTATCTCTTATCTTGATCACTCGTCCATGTTTCTGTGTTTATAGAGGTGGCGGTAATAACACAAGAAACCCCCCCGCCCAAAGAAACGCCCCCGCGCCACCTGGACAACTCCACAATGGTAATCAAAATGGCCGGCCAGGAATACTTCGTCACCAATCGGCGTAAATCGCACAGCAAATCACACTCGCTCGGCAGCCTCAAAGACTTCGACATTGAAGTGGACAAAACCAAGCGTCTACTGCGCACCTCCAACAATAACAACAACAACAATAACCACGCATGCGTATCGGACAAGAATACCACAGCGGACTCTGCCGGCGGGGCCTGTGATAAGAATAGGAGCGGCGCGAGCGCGCCATGTGATAATAATTTAAATAATTTAAGTGCGGACGATCACGACGATGCGAACAGCAATTCTAGTCATAAGGAGGCTTCGACGCGCGGCGCATTACATAGGAAACTCACGGAGAAGCAGGGTACGCATGCGCACAGTCTGGCGAAGTCACAGAGCGCGGGGAATCCCTTCCGGCATGGGACGGAGATGCGCGAGGGGCGCATTAGGCAACTGGCGGAACGACCCGGCAGTTAGTAACTTTCTCTAGCAAGACAAAAACATCTAGTGCATCCCAAATGTAATTCATCACGGTAGATTAGAAAAGTGTGTGTTTTTTGGTTTGATTTTGTAGATATTGTATGAATAACCTATATTTTTGGCTTGTGTGGACATGTTTTGCATATCTAGTAACTTTTTATGTTGGCACTACTGATGTATACGCTTGTTGCATGAAAATCTGTTCCTTTTGTGTGTTTATTATGTTTATATAGTCGAAAACTAAGGTTATGTTATATTTTCAGGTGAAAACGTAACAACTAGTCAATCAATACGCTCCAGAAGTCACGCAAACCTCCCACCTGAATGGAATCGCCAATCGGACTTTGTCTACGGCATTTCCGATTCATTATACGATAAAAATCTCAGCACTAAAGTGAAGAATGGTAACCCAATCGCTGATTGTTTCGGGATTATCACACGTAATGATTCAGCGATTCTTGCGGTTGCTGATGGTGTCAACTGGGGTAAAATACTACCAACTTAATTTTTTAACAAAAAAATAACTAAAACTATTTCTAGGAGAAAAAGCAGCGATAGCAGCTAAATCAGCCGTCCATGGCTGCCTACACTACCTAAACAAAACCATTTTCCTCGATACACGTCCCTTTGATAACCTTATCAACAAAACCAGCGAGTCTGGCGAGTCTAAAGAAACACCCATCCATGAATTCCGCACGTCCAGCTCTAAGGATATCTTTGTCTGCCTTCTGCGTGCATTCAACTGTGCGCATGACTTAATTTTAGAAAACAATGGTATGTTGACTACGCTTACGGTCGCCATTGTTCTACCATTGAAAGATCCTGGTAAACATGGCGCATCACATGTTGTTTGTGTTTGTAACGTCGGGGATAGTCTAGCGTATGTTTATTCACAGAGTCATGGAATTAGAGAGTTAACAAAAGGTAAAAAACAATTATAACCTAAGTTTAGTAAAAAACCTAACCTTATTTATGTTCTATTTTTTAAGGATCACATGATATAACGCTGAATCGTGACATGCGTGATGCTCTCGGTGCTCTAGGCCCCGTCGACGGAATAAAACCAGAATTAAGTAACCTCACGCTGAGTGTAACAACGCTTCAAACCGGTGATATTGTAATGGTTGCCTCGGATGGTCTCACCGATAATTTCGACCCGACTGTTTGTAAATTCGCAGTCAATTCAGAAGTAGCATCCAAACGTAAACCAAGCGGTAGTGGTACGACTGCACCAACCGGAAGTAGCACCACCACTGCATCCACATCAGGTACTTCATCTACAGGCGCGACAATTCCTCAGAAACCACCGCGTAAAAACAGTAAAAGACAGGGTACACCACCAAATATCAACACTGCTTCAACCCTAACCACAAAAACACTTCCTTTAACAAAACCCAAAACCAAACCCAAACATGAAGAAGTTGATAATCCATTGGTAGCACAATTTCTCAAAGACAATCCGATCCAGAAGTCTTCATCGTCATCGAACGCAGGGATTCCTCCGGCTAATAAAACTCTCACTCAAAGTCAAAGTCAAACTCAAGGACAGAAAGGTTTTGCTCTTTTACGATCAAAAACAGCGCTGGATTTTCGCTCGTCCAGTCATAAATTAATCCCGCGGAATCCCGACGGTTTACCTTATATAACCCCCGTGCAAAAGTACGAAATCACACTGCTTATGATCGAAGATATTCTGAAGAAGGGCATTTCCGGTAAGGAGCATTGCACAGTCACTGCTAAGAAACTCTGCGAGAATTTACTCAGTTTTACTATGAGTATCACTGCAGCAAAGAGACGCACGCTTGAAGATAACGATTTATACTTTAATAATCAGAATGGCGTCTTGGTGGAGGCTTCGAATCAAGAGAAAAAGATGCGTAGGAAACGAGCGTTGGAAAAAGTACAGAATCTTCCTGGGAAGCTGGATCATGTCACTGTTGTCGCTTGCAATGTGGGAAATCGGTGTTATTCAAATGTTTAAATGTAAGATTACATCACAGATCACATGACATCACATTGATAACAATTTGTAACAATCTTTACATGATTCGAATTATTTACGTAATTATAAGCGAAAAGAAAGATATTTATGCAGTTATATAATAATAGACACGCGTCGAAAAGTCTAAATTTTGTAAACTCAGTAAATTATTATATAGCGTACGCAGACAAAGAGCTTTAAATAACAATACAATAGAAGACAGAATATAAACTATACACTATACACTTGCTACAATTTTAACTGATGTAATACTTAAAGAAACAAAAGCTGAATTCATGTTTTAAGTGATTATTTTTGTTTCTTGATTGTTTTATGTGTTTTTTTTTTGTATGTTGTTGATGTTTTCGAGTGCCAATTTTGTTCGTATACGAAAATTGAATAATTGAATGTCTAATTGAATCATTTCAGTACAAAACAATCAGTTTTTGAAACTTGTGACTTCCATTTTGTGTTTTGTTGTGATGAGATACTGAGTATAAGAATAAAAATATGAAATGAGAACGAAAACATCCTGGTGAAGTTATGTCGGTAGAGTTTGGACAGACAAACATTCCCGAAATTTGCATAAATTGAATTTTATTGTCCACATTATCACGCAAGGCGTCTAGCTTAATTAATTTTGAGATAACTTGAGCTGGGCGCAATAATATTATAATTAAATTAATGAACTTTCGATTGGTTTTGGTTTGTTTATTGGTTATTTGCTAAGTTAATTGTTAGTTTTATGTTATGACTTGTGAATACTGTAATTAGTGAATTTTTAGGGTGATGGGATATGCTGTTATCTTAATGTGTGATGGACAGTTCAATTTGAGTGAATGTCAACCGCGAGGACACGACGTGACCTTACGCAATTGGTAATTACTCGTATGTTTATTCGTATTCCAAATTTAATGTTTTTACGTTTTTTGTTACTACTCGTAGATTGCGCATAATTTTAACTGTTATAAGCGAAGGAGTCAAATTTTTTTCATTAATGACAGTTATTAGATAAAAATTGCTATTTTTGAAAGGCATTTTTGGGAACTTCCAGATGGGTTAGGGAATTGAGAAGGTATGCATCGTGTAGAGGGTTTTTTGGACTACATCATACCATAAAGAAACTCTAAATAAGTTAATTATTACAGGAGATACAGGGTGTTTTCCGCGCCGTGTTTTAATTTTTTTAGAAAAATATCAATTTTTAAAGTTAATTTTAGGGCACTTCCGAAGGGTTTACGGAGTTGAGAGTATATGTATCATGTAGAGGCCCTTTAGAACTACAATATATCACGGAGAAACTAAATGTAAGTTAATAATTACTAGAGATACAGGATGTTTTCCACACTATGTTTCCAAATTTTTCGAAATATATCAATTTTTAAAGAGCGATTTAGGGCACTGTTAAAGAGTTAAATGAGCTTAAAAAAAGTGCATCATGTAGAGAATCTCTTTAATAACAATATGCCATAGAGGAATTCAAAATAAGTTAATTAGTCCCCGAGATAGAGGGTGTTTTCTGTAGCATTATTTTAAATTTGTACAAAATGTGCAAATTTGTAAAAAAATACCAATATTCAAGAGACATTTTAGGGTACTTCCGAATGTTTTACAGGATTGAGCAAGTATGGACTAATAGATTGTCTCTTCTGCTACAATATGACAATGAGAAACTTAAATTAATTGAAGTGGTTCTTAAAATGCAGGGTGTTTTCCAATACATGTTTTAATTTTTCTGTTTTTTGAAAACTTTTGCGAATTTAATAATCACATATGTAATTTTGAACCAGTTAAAACCCAAACAAATACTCGCAAAACCCATCGTCTGTACTGGTATAATAAAATAAAATATATTCACAAATCATAATATTATGACGATTGTCATAATAATTAATCGCCAAACGTATGCGCCGCAGTTCGTCATTCGTGGACAGTTACAAATTGCTTTCGATGGATGATAATGAAAGTTGAGCACGCGTGGCGAGTAAAACGCACGATTCACGTAAACTCGTAAACTCATTTTGCATCATTCATACCAATTCATACATTACAGCCGTCAATCCGCCAATTAATCATACAACATTGTAATTGTTGATTAGTTAGTTTTACGTACAATTATGAAATGTACAAATTAGGTTGTGGAAATTTACAGTGCTTCCAGACGCCGTTTGAGATTCTTTTTGGTTTTATTTGTATTTATATGAGAAAGTCGTAAACAAAAACAGCGCCAGACGATGGAAATTACATGTAGACTGAAAAATTGTAATATGGATTAATTTTCATTAAATTAGCGATTAATAAGTGTCAATTTATTTAGACTAACTGGAAATGTCTAAATTTCTTTAAAACCATGTGTAAATTTAAAGATTATGTTATAATCAGCTGCATTTAATTTTAAAGCATGTATTTACAGCTCTTTTCCACACAACAATGTAGAAAACCATTGTTCTTAACAAAAAAAAACTTAAGAATCGCTATTTTTGATGGGTATTTTTGGGCTCTTCCAGAGGGTTTTTGGGATTGAAAAGGTATGCATCGGGTAGAAGGTCTCATGGACTACTGCATACCATAAATAAACTTAAAATACGTTAATTAATATTGGAGATACAGAGTGTTTTCTGCAACGTGTTTTCAAATTTTTCGAAAAATATCAAATTTTAAAAAGAATTTTAGGGCACTTCCGGAGGGTTTCAAGAGTTCAGAGCATATACATCTTGTAAAGAGTCTCTTAGACTACAATATACCATAAAGAGACTCAAAATAAGTTATTTAATATAGGAGATATAAGGTGTTTTCCACGCCGTGTTTTCAAATTTTTAGAAAAAGATCCATTTTTTAAGGCAATTTTAGGGCACTTTCAGAGAGTGTAATGAGTTGAGAGTGTATGCATAGTGAGAGGGTCTCTATAACTTCAACATACCATAGAGAAACTCAAAATAAGTTAATTAGTACAGGAGATACAGGGTGTTTTCCACACTATGTTTGAAAATTTTTCAAAATATACCTATTTTTTAAAGGCATTTTAGGGCACTTTTAAAAGGTTTAAGAAGTTTTCCACATTATAATAAGATAAACCAATGTTTTCAACCTCACTTTAAAGTACGGAAAACTGGGTTTCCAAATGTTTTGACTCCAATAAACAAAAATGATCATTTTTATTAATTAATACTTAAAAACTGTAACAAAAAAACACGTCTAGATAATTTAAGCGCCACTTTCTAATCACTAATCATAAATTATAAACAAAATAAATTTGACTTGCATAATCTCCATCGTGCCACTGTGTGTTGTCACATGCGCATAGCAACATATGCTTGGCTGCAATTAACGATAATTTGTCCCATCGCTTAATAAGTTAATTAATTGCCCTCAAAAGTGTTCCATTTTTTGGTGGAAGATTCAAGATTCAAGTCATGGGTAATTATGTGCGACAATTTTGATAAGGAGCGTATATTCTCGGTGCATTTTGTGTGTTAATGCTGTTAATTAATTTTGTTTAGACTGGCGGCTGTGCGCTTATCGTCTCACGGATTATTTATATGCAATTATAATTTTATCAATTATGTAAGATGCATGTTAAGTGTGCAATTCAGCAATTAAATGTAATTATTTTAGAGTTTTGTTTTTGTGGTGAATAACAATTGATTGAAATTGTTTAAAAAACAATGAATTGGATGTATTTATAGGAAATTTATTTAACTTTTAGGAAGATGTACTGATAGATTATTTATGATAAATATTTGATTTTTAATAAATTATTTAGTTTAATGATGAAAAACTAAAAAATGCACGTTTTGAAAATCAATTTTTATTTTAAAGTTGACTAACTAATTATTGGTAAGTGATAATTAATTCAAAAATATGATAGTTTAAAGTAAATTTAACCAGCTTTAATTTTCAGTTTTAAAAATTTTGTTATAATGAAAATTATATATTTTATAAACAATTTTGTTGAAGATTTCATACCGAAAATAAGCAGGCGAAATATTTAAGAAATAAAATTCACTTTCAATGATAAATAATAATATTATGCAGAGTAACAGTTATTAACAATATACGTATTTTAAAAGATAATTTAATTCACTTTAAATTGCTGCTTCAAAAATTAATTTAGTTGGTTGTTATCAACAAATAATTCCCGAAAACCAAAAATATGAAAATTTTCCCACATTTCCCACATTTGTTTTTATTTTACCTCTAAATTAATCAATAATAATTATTATGATGTTTAATTCTGTTTTATTTATTGTAGTACTCATGTCCGAAGTTATTAATGGTTGTAATTCTAGATAAATTATTTATTACTACTATAAAGCAACTGCGTCTCGCAATAGTCTTCCAAAACGCTGAAGCAAAGTTTTTACGAATCGTAGACAAAACCAAGTAAATCCGGGATTGTGGGATTATACGAATATTCTAACTCACCAATTGCACAATCAATAAATAATTGATAATCATATATAATTTGTATAAGTATTAAATGAGGAAAATATAAATGATTATTTGACTTCTGTATTCATTTACGTGCAATTTATTTGATTTTATCATCAAATAAATCAAAAAATTGAAGAAAAAACGACAAAAATATAGAATTTTACAAGGTTTTCGGGGGTTTAGGGAGATAAAACCATATACATCGTATAGAAGATCTCTTGAACTACAATATAACAAAAAGAAACTCGAAATAAGTTAATTATTACCAAAGATACAGAGTGTTTTCCAGGCTGCCTTATTCAAATTTCTAGAACAAAAATTTTTAGGGCTCATTTAGAGAACTTCAAGAAGGTTTAGAGAGTTGAGAGTTGATACTCCGTGTAGAGGATCTATTAAACTACAATATAATGAAAAGAAACTCGTAATAAGTTGATTAGTACCAGAGATACAGAGTGTTTTCAAATTTCTAGAAAAAATACTAATTTTTACCAGGCAATTTAAAACACTACTTGAGGGTCTGTTGTTGTAACAATTTTATAATATAATGCGTAATTTTAAACCACTTAAAATTCAAAAAATCAAAACAAAAATTCCTATTCAAATTTATTTAAATTTATTTATGTTTCCTTTTTCTTCTTTTTATCAAGCCACGTGTATACTCGTATCCCCGTATTCAGTACTCCAAAAATATTCAAACAAAACTAACCCATAACCCATAACGTCAGTAATAAAAATGCCAACAAATCAGTCAGAAACGTGCCGATCCTAAACCACAATATGTTGCATTTAAATATAAATCGTAAGTTGTTTTTGTAATATGTGTTTTGTTAATTTTTTCAATCATACATAATTATTACTTCAATCTAAAATCAACGAGCGTGTGTGAGTGCGAGAGTGTGTATGTGTATGTTAGCGCCAATAATGATAATAATATAGTGATAATAAGTAAATCTATTTGCGTGTGTGAGTGAATTATAATGTTTGTGAATTATTGCGAATGTTATTATTATGACTATCGAAAACGGGATTATCTTGCAGTTTTGCACAACGTTCTCGAATAAGGGGCATCGTATGATTTTGGTCAAGTCGGTAATTGTTTTTGTTATTGACAATTATCAAATATTAACAACACTCGAAGGAGAAACGAGAAAAAGAGAAAAATTGTGTTTGTTTCGGTCAAATCTTGTGTTTAGAATTAGATTAGTACTAAAATTAGTAGTAAAAAAGTTAGTAGTACGCAAATAATTGCATATAATCACATTGTAGATGTGTTTTCAATCAGTGGTGATAAGCAAATAGAGAATTGTTATCAATATTCGTTGAAAATTGGCATAATTTACTAAGAATTTCGTAATTTTTAACGAATTTTAACAGAAAACTAACTGAAACGACGATTTTCATACTTTTTCATCATTAAATGTCATTTTACATTTGTTTCTAAGAGAATTTAATTCATTAAACAACGCTTTTTGTCTCGCAATGTCACAACAGGTAGTTGTAAACTACATAACCTTTTTTATTATCAAATTTTATGATTTTTATACGAATGAGAAGCAAATAACAAATTAAAAGTCATAAAAATCGGTTCATCAGATTATTAGCTACAAATACATAGTAGAAAACCAGTTTATATGCATATTTTTGACCGCTAGATGGCGCTAGTTTCAAATTATTCAAAATATTGTTAATAATACATTAAAAAAAACAACAAAAGAACAAAAACGACGATTACAAGCTTAAAATTTATGATATCAATCCCTACTAATATTATAAATGCGAAAGTCCTGATGTTTGTTACACTTTCACTCAAAAACTACTTAACCGATCATCATGAAAATTTGTACACATATTCTTAGTGGTCCCCGAATGGTTATAGGCTACTTTTTATTTAATAAAAAAAATTATTATTTAAATAAAATAAAGAAATTGTTTAGCCAATAATATCTCTGCATCTGGCTAATTGACTACTTTAACGCCATCTAGCATTCCAGCAATGAAGCTCAAACCTAAGTACTATAGTACCATCACACTGTATTATCACACTGTATTACCGACAGCTACGTCAACATCAAATCCAATTGACTACACTATGGAGACTGTACACTATACTTCCATAGACTATACTTTCAGCCATTTCAAACTTCCCGCCATTCTACTTCATTGTTACTTCTTCTGTGACTACAGACGTGTATGGAAGCAACTTCATTATTTTAGATATTCGCGAGCGAAGCCGCGGGTTAAAGCTAGTCAATAAATAATAATAACTTCTTAAATTCCCTGTAATTTGATTTTTACGTAATTTGATTAAATTACGTAATAAATAAGAAAAAACAGTTTTTAAAAATTTTCTTTAAAATTTATCATTTACGTATTCAAAATATTTATTATAGACAATAACGTCATAAAAACACGCCATAGACTTTAATAACAACCGCAATATTTTCCCCTCAATCAAAAAACTAAATTTTTATACTCTACTGATTACAACTCGTATTAAAACTTTAATTACGTCTAAACCAACGCAATTACGAGTATAAAACTTACACACTAAAAATACTCAAAACACATCTCTACTACATCCAATTCATAAACTATGTATTAGTATTACTATTACTACAACACGCACACTAATAAATAATTATTTTTCTAATGACGTTCGCAGTGTGCTCGTAATGTTTGCGAGTTGTAGTCGTAATTTGTCGGCGGCGCGTTTATTTGAAGCTTGCGGTTGTGATTTGGGAAGGCGCGAGGCGTGTCGAGACGCCGACACGTATGACGACGATCATCGAAGATCACCACGCCATACAGACGTTCATCCATGCCGAACGTAAAAATCGAACACGACGCGCCGGGCCGACACACCGCCTGATAACAGAGTTTATCTCTTCCTCTCATGCGCGCGCGCGCTCACAAATCAGAAATTTTGTTTATAGCAACAAGCCGCGGATGCTGCGAGAGCATAAATTCAACAGGCATGCATGGAGTGACCATCAGTTCATATCAAACATTGCTATAGTGAACAATATTTAATTTAATATAAATAAATTAATAAATTAACACGCGATAATTAATATTTTGAGAGTTTAGTTGATAGAATAAAAAATAAAGACATCGAAGAAGAGAAATTGTTAAAAGAAGAGTTTAAGATGAATTTCCTACGTTCGCATTCGGACATGGAGAGTGGAAGGATACGCACTGCACCCGGAGGACATCTACATGCCAATAGGAATGAGATTTTTGCGAGGACACCGGCGGTTACCAAAGAAATGCTCCAGAAGTTACAAAACGCTGAATTGGGACCCAAGAAAGCGCATCTTTGTGGTTATGACTTCAATATTAGGCAGATATCAAGTAAGTACACATAGGCAACCCAATATACACATATACAAAACCTAAAGTTAATTTACGTGTATATAGGCAACCAAATTAACATATATTGATTTTATTTACTTTTTATGATCGCGTGATAAATTCAAGTAGTCTATGTAATAATATATGAAATGAGGAAACAGTTAAGATAACATTTTTATAACAACCCGCGTAAAACACATAAAAATCGATGTATTAATTGCAATTGATTACTGATAACACACCCAACACTCGAATGAATTCGATGACACTCGAGCAGCATTAGTCTAACTCTCAAAATAGTTTTAATTGCATCATAAAACCGAAATCTAATTTCCTAGTTTAATTTAATTACTACACGAATCAGTCTGGGACTGATAAGAAAACGTGAAAAATTCATTCATTCAGTGATTGGTCAATTCGTGATGGGATGTTCAATGACGTTTAGCATTGACCAAATCATTTTTTTTATTATTATTATTTTGTTGTATATTGTAATATAAATAAAATGAAATTAATTGATGTCTGATGATGTCTGTCGGATGTTGTCATTAAAACGGTGATTATCTTATCGCACCGAACGCAAGTTTGTGTGAAAAAAAAAACGCACGATTTACTACTATCAATTATATGTGGGTCAATGAGTTTATCGGAAGCAATAGACGGCAATAAATTATTTTGATTTTTTTTTGTAGTAGTAGTGTTAGGAATTGTATGTTCGGGGACTTATATCACAAGTCAAAACATTGGCTCAATAAAAAATTTCATTTTTTAATTTTTTTGTTTAAAATAATTTTTTAAATTATTTTTGATGCCACAGATGGCAATTTATTTTAGCATTGGGAATGCTATGTTCGGTACTTATACCGCAACTCATATCATTGGCTCAATACAAATTTTTATTATTTTTCAGTTGATTTATTCTGTTATCTTATTTTTATTGCAATAAATATCAAAAATTATCAATTTTAGCATTAGAAATACTATGTACAGTACTTATACCGAAACTCATAGCATTAGCTTAATTTAATTTTTATTTCTTTAATTTTTTAAATATTTTTTACTCTTTCAACTTATTTTGTCCCCGAAAACTGTAAAAAATCAAAAATATTTATTTAGCATTGGGGATACTATGTTCGGTACTTATACCGCAACTCATAGCATTGGCTCAATACAAATTTTTATTATTTTTCAATCAATTTATTCTGTTATCTAATTTTTATTGCAATAACCAGCAATAAATTATCAATTTTAGCATTAGAAATGGTATGTTCGGTACTTATACCGTAACTCATAGCATTGGCTTGATTTATTTTTTTTTAAATTTTTTATTTTTAAATATTTTTACTCTTTAAACTTATTTTGTCCCCAAAACCAGTAAAAAATCAAAAATATTTATTTAGCATTGGAAATGCTATGTTCGATACTTATACCGCAACTCATAACATTGTCCCAACTTATATTTCAATGTATTTTCACGTTTTAAACATTTTCTTTGCGCTTTTTAACCTTCTAACTTATTATTTTGCTTCTTTCAGTTCTAATTGCTTTATTCTTCCTCTTTGCTTTGAGTTCTGGCATTGGTTACATTTTCTGGTACACGGAAATTTTCAGAAATGTTGTCCTACAAGTAAGTCTCACCCTAAACCCACCACCACAAAAACCCTTCTCAACACAATAAACTAAACATATTCTAATTTCTAGAATCTGGTCATCTCCAACCAATCAGACTTATACTACAATTTTGTAAACCCATCACCATCACTAGTACGCATCTACATCTACAACTACACCAACGTCCGAGAAGTAGCAACCGGAGAAGAACCCAAACTCAGAGTAGAAGAATTAGGACCATGGGTTTACGAGTAAGTATTAACTTAACCCCCAAAATCACAAAAACAAAAACCTAACCACAAAAAAAATTACAGAGACAGAATGCATCGTACCAATATAAACTTCAGCGATGATGGAACCTACGTCCGTTACCAAGAAGGTCACAGCTACAAATTCTCCCCTGAGCTCTCCAAAGGACGCATGCAAATCGACCGTGTGACCGTCCCCAATATCCCCATGTTATCCGGAGCCGCCATGTTCCGCCGCTCATACTTCCTCACCCGTTTGGGTATGTCAACCCTCTTTAAACAACTCAACGCTGAACCTTTCGTCACCGTTGGAGCCGACCGCTTCATCCTGGGCTACGACGATGAATTATTCACTCTAGCCCGAAATATGATGGCTCTCACACGTCCCTTCCCCTTTGATAAATTCGGTCTCCTAGCAACCAGGAGGTCATCCCCTGATTGGATAGAAATGTGGACTGGGAAAGACGATATTAATAAACTCGGAACCGTCCGAACCATCAACAACAAATCCCGAATGGATAACTGGGATGATGAAGAATCTGATAATGTGAATGGTGTTGATGGTGTACTCTATCCTCCAGAGAATATTCATAATAAACAAAGCGTGGATTATCTTTATAAGGATTTCTGTAGGAAGGCACCAATGGAATTCGTGGAGGAGACGAAAATCTTAGGTGGGACCATGCCTGCTTACAGATATGAAATACCTGTGGATGCTTTCTCTCATCCTTCGATTGGTAACCCGAAGAATCAAGGATATTGCAGTGCTGATGGTACCTGTGCACCACATGGGCTTTGGAATGCTACTAAGTGTAGTTTTGGTACACCTATTTTTGTTTCTCTACCACATTTCTTGGGAGCTGATCCTAAGTTGCGGGAAGCTGTTGAAGGTGTAACTCCACCGAAGAAAGAACTGCATCAGACTAGGTTAGAGTTTCATCCGTATATGGGTTTCATCATGCAGGGATGGAATAGGATCCAGACTAATATTCAAGTGCAGAAGAGTTTCGGGATGAGTGAATTGGGCATGTTTGAGGATGATATTATCTTGCCTGTTGCCTGGATGGAATTTGTAAGTAAAATATTTTTTCTAAAATTTTTAAAAAGGCTAATAAGCACTTAAGCGCCATCTAGATTTCAATTTTTTAACTTTAACTATGATAAAAATTTTAATCTTTAATTTAACACCCTGTATATCAATTTTTTTGATATTTTAATAATTATTCTCTAAGTAGAATCAAAGATAAACCTAATTACAAAAAATCATCAAAATCTTTCCACGCGTTCTTGAGTTATAAAAGATGTAACTAACATTTTCTTAAATTTTTTGTTCCAGGGTGCCAAAGCTGAGGAGCATCCTGATTACATCATGAAAATATTCAACGATTCCACATATTTAGTCAATGGTGTAGATTTAGGTTTTAAATTCGGTTCGATTCTCATGATGGCAGTCACAGCAATGTGTTTCTTTATTGTTTTACTCCGTAATAAGAGAAATAAGGTCTCCGGGGCTTCGTCAATGGAGATTATCAGTTAAACGTGAAGCGAGGTGTTATGAGGTGATAAGACTGATTTTTTTCTACTCAAATTCCGCTCAAATTTTCATATTTTTATGTCGTCATTGTCGTCTGTCGTCATAGGTATTTATTTGTGATCCAAATTGGATTTAGTTACAATTGTTGATTGTTGATGCTAGAAATGAGTCTTTAACTAGTTTTAAATGGGAAATACTCATGGTATCCGTCCTTTAGTACTCAATTGTTATCAAATGTTCTTGTTAAAGTGTAGCAAGTGTTGTTAAATGTGTAAAAATTTTGTTATTTTTATTGTTTGTTAATAAAATATTACAATTCGAAATGTTTTTTAATGTTTTTTCTTTGTATTAAACAAAAGATTAGAATTTTGAACTCAAGAGTTGAATATCAAGAGTGAAAATGTTTTTCAGGGTCGTAAATTAGCGAAAATCTTTGTTTTTACTTTTTCGCGGAGTGATTGAAGCTGTTTACAGTCGTAAATTTTATGCATAATACCCTTTATTCGGGTTATAAATATTTTGGTTCAACGACAGTCAATGTTTTTATTTTTCATGTTTTTTTACTGAAAAACAACATTTACTTCTTTTTTATATTTATTGTATTGCATAATTAGTTAAATAGTTGTAAATTGTTAAAATCTAAAAGAGCAAAAATTAACTTACGCCTAAATGTAGGCAACTTTAAAAACATGTTTACTATTCCAGTGCTTGTCAAACGTTACAATTATGCCAAAAAATTATCAATAACTCAAAGAATGGCTGAAGTTTTAATTTGTTTCATCAGTCAACAATAAAAAATTATGTTCTTGGACATAATTAACAATAAATTAAATCAAAAAACTGTTTTTATTTGCTTTTGTGATAATCTATTCCAACATAAACTCAAAACTCAAATTAAATTCAACATAAACCACATCAACACCTAAATATAGGCAACTTAATAAACTTATCCACTATTCCAGAGGTTCTCAAACATAAAAACTACATAAAAACCCAAAAACCATCAATTTTATCTCTTTACTTAAATTTCTCTTCAATTTCTTTATAATTTTATATCAAATTACCTCTTTTCATCTTTGTGAATCTGATTTGTTCGTGCTCACATGCGCATAGTATCCACTTGCTAATTCACAACCGCGTCTGACTTGTTACTTGTATAAATAGACGTTGCACGCCGGTCGTCGTAAAGAAATTTGCGACAAAGCCAACAAAGACATCTCGCAACGCATTAGCAACCACGAAAAAGTGTTACGTCCGCTCTGCTCTATTCTATATTCTATAATACGTGTGGATTTGATGGTTTTTGTGAGCACAAGGCATAGACGAGGCGAGACTCACAAAAGGTTGGAAAATATACATCATCACAACTCACAAAAATAACAAAAATAACAAAAAATCACTAAATTATTATTTTTAACACAACGGAAGATTTAATCAGTGATTAAACACATTCAAAACATATTCGTGCTTTCCTACCACAGGGAATGATTAAAAATAGAACGCGGGAATAAAATCAATTTCCCCACTTCCCCACTCATTTCTAAAAATAAAAATTATTTTCTTTTTGTGCATTGTGTGTTAAACTAACAAAAATTTAAAAATAAAACATAAAAAACACAAATTGAATGAAACACGTATTAAACTTTAATATATGCAACCACTATTACACTTCAATGTATATATGGTTGCCTATAGGTATGAAAACCGTAAGTATTTTTTAATTTTCAAAAATTAAGACGCAATTATGACTCATCTATCGATATATACACTTATACACCGTCTAAAAGCTTTGATCTGCCACACGCGGAAGTTATACTGGTTTCACACGTGTGTCGTACACGCACATTAAATTATTTATGCTTGTTGTGTTGATGGAGACACGTGTGATCTCAATGAACGAGATCATGTGAATTAATCGCCAAATATAGTGTTTGATTCGTGTTTCCAGTGCCAGGACACGCGTGAAATGCAATTAATTTACTACACACGCTTGACAGACATCCATAAAAATTAAATACATGTTGTACACACAATAAATAATCGCCCACTTTAATTTTTATTTAACAAAAAACATTTTTAGACTTTAAAAGTGTTTAAAAATTTACCAATGTCTAAATGGTGTAGATTCGTGTAGTTTTTAGTTATTCGCAGTCTAATTTCGTCGTTGGCTTGCGTCCAGCTAAATTTCCGTGCGTTTTAAAGCCATATTCTCAACGAATTTCACTCACGTTTTCTCTGAATGTTGTTAGACAGGAAGAAAACGAGTAGACACAAAACAAAACGCAAAAACAACTCAACTCGACGTGTAACTGAATAAAATTATAATGGAAAATATGTTTACTTCAATACTTATACTTAAATGTTTTTCTTTTTGTTTTTCTTTATGTAAATGCACTTGTACTTCCTTGTTGACGTTTTAATTCGAGCGCTTTGTGTGAATGCTTACTTGCACATTGTTTTTTGTTGTCGGTTGAGGTGAAGGTGAAGGTCTTCGGTGGCGTCGCGACGACCGATTTAACGCCGCGTCGCAACGGCGTAAAATAAAGTGCGCCGCGTGCTTTTCACCGCGCTCAGTGATCAACCAAACCTCGTGCATAAAACACTGACTAGTGAAGTGTATAACAAGTGAATATTATCTTAAACATTTAATAATTAATATAATTTGTGTTTTTGTTGATATACGGCTTAATCATTAAGTTACTGTGAGTTTTTTTAAAGAAAATTTATAAAAATTGATTTTTTATGTTTTTATTGTTTATAGACTGAGAATGCCTACCGAGTTTATTTCCAACCCTCTACAGAGGGAGCTAGCGGATTCTATTATACGTATGGTGCCTTTGGATGAAATTAGGATTTTGTTAGCATGTGGATCAAAGGTAAATGCAAACAAAGAAGTATAGCATGCCAAAAACAGTAATTTAGTGAAAAATAAAAGTAATCATACTTGGAAATCGTCCCTACAAAGAAATACTAATAATAACTTTGTGATTTTGCGTTTTTGTGTGGCTAAGGCTAATAAAGAGTTAATGTGCGCGCGCATGCGCAATGCGTATGTGGTATTGTGTTTTAGTAATGTTTAATTATAGATTTTTTTGTTTTTTTTTTCTTTTGTTTAGGTAAACGAACAGGTGACTCAGGGATTGATGCCGCTGCACTACGCCGTCTGGCAGCGGTACTACGCCGCCGCTCAGCTGTTGCTGACGCGTGGGGCGGACGTCAACGCGGTGGATGAGTGCGGTTACAGTGCTATGCACTTGGCAGCTGAGCACGGGTAATTATAATTTTAAATTATAGATTATTGCCATGTTAAAATCACTTTTCTTTTAATTCTAATGGTTTATTTATTCAGATATTAAAATATTTGGGTATTATTGGCACATAACCTCAATTTTTGTAATAACCTAACTTAAAAACTATTTATTCTTTACTTAAGTAGTAAAATTTACTTATAACAGGACGATTGTGAGTGAAAAACACGAAATTATAAATTAATTTCATATCAAATTATATTGGAAGGCAAAACACGCATTTATTCTTGTTTTAACAATAATTAAAGCGGGCTACTGAACACTGACGTCATTTCCTTCTTCATTTTCAACTAGTTTGTGTCTTGTATGTATTATATGTATCTAATTTTGCGTTTTATTTGTGTTTTTTAAAGTGATTTGATGCAAATTTACAAATTTCAAACAAAAATTCATTTTTTTATCAACATAACCAACAAGTTCAATAAAAATTAATAATTCCAGAGGATTCAAAGACCGTTTACTCAATTATAATTAAAACAATTTCATTTTTTCGAAAATTTTATTTTATTTTATTTAAAAACTTGATTTTCTTTTCTTTTTAGATTTATGGAACTAGTCCGTCTTTTACTGCAATGTGGCGCAAAAGTCGACTACCGTAAAACCTTAGACGATGATTTCCCGCGTACTCATCTGTGTGATGAACCTCTCCGCCTAGCAATCAGAAATAAGCACATGGACGTGGCTCGTTTATTGCTTGAGAATGGAGCGGACCCTAATAAGCGTTACTTTTTCGGCTCTGAGATTAATTTGATCAACGATTTGGACTTTTTGCAACTATTGCTGACTTTCGGCGCTGATCCGGATAGTCGTGATAGGAGTGGTCTTACACCTTTGATGAAAGCCTCCAGACAAGTTCACGTATGCACCTATTATTATATTAATCTTTTTTTTTTAACTATTATTAGTAATTTTTGTTTAAATTTTTGTTTTGTATTTCCAGGGATTACAAAATGTTCTTTTATTGTTGAAATATGGAGCAGATGTTAATGCTATGGCTGATGAAAGACATGATTACAGAACTGTAAGTATAGTTAATTAAGTAATTAATTAATTAATTAATTGATGGATTATTTATTACTAGTTTTGCCTACGACTTTGTCCCGGTAGTGTTTAATAAAAATGTAATTTGTTTATACTTTCTTGTTCTAGACATAGTATGTGTCAATTCTATCAATAAGATTCGCAATTTTATTTTAAAGAAATTAATTATATTAATTTCAATATTTTAATTCAACAATTTAACTATAACTATGATTGAATCTCAATTCCAACTTTTATCCTATTGAAAAGAGCTGTCTTTAGGGTTTTCCCGGCAATTATTCGAATTTTTCTCGCCGTGAAAACCTTCCTTGGACTTTAACGAACATTTAAAAAATAATTGGCCAAATTGGTCTAGGCGTTGTTGAGTTATGCACTTACCAACATATTTTGCTATTCATTTTTATATTATAGATTGTAATAATATTTTTTGTTCTTTTAAAGGTTTTGCATTATGGTGTGCTTTCTGGGTCTGAAGAAATCGTTGATTTGTTGATAAAACAAGGTTCGAAGCTTAATTATGACGATTGTGACAATATCGGTAAACCATCCCCACTGGATTTGGCTATTTTAAAGGGTGAACCAATAATTGTTGCCAAATTAATAAAATCAGGTAAGATATTGATATTTAAAATTAAAAAAAAACTAAAAAACTACAAATTTTAACTCAATTTAAATGTAATAATTAATATTTTGTTTAAATTACAGGTGCAAACGTTAATTATAGTTCTCCTTTAATTGGTACACCCCTACACGTCGCCAGTGCTGATAATATTCCAAACCGATATGAAATATTGAAGGTAAATTGCAAAAACACTTGTTTTAAACTAATTATTAACGAGAAAAACGTGTTTTTGACTTGTATTCTTAAAATATGCAAAATATTTTAAAGTTTTTGTGCCTATAAGATGCAAAATTCATTCAAAATTCATTGTATAAACAAATTTACGCAAAAATATTAGAAATTTTATTCAAAATTTAGAAAACCTTTAGATTTTCTTCGTTACGGAAAACATTTTTCGTTTCTGCTGTCGTAAAACTTCTTAAAATATTAAAATCTACTCAATTTCGACATTTTTAAAGCAAAAAATGCAATTAATTCTGTAGGATATATGCTACTTAATTTACTAACTAATTATATATATTATATAGTGACGCTCAAAGTATAATATTGACAGAAAAAAAATATAAAAATATTTTGAGAATGTAACTCAAAATAAACATTTTTTGAATGTTGATAGAATCACTGCGAAACTATATACTCTAATACTCCAATATTTACCAGACGTCTGCATATTAAAATATACACATTGAGTTGCATACATTAAACCTTTTAAAATTTAATTACAGATGCTACTTGAACACGGCGCTGATCCCAACAAAAAAGTCTTCAACAATGATGTGACCGAACGCAACACCCAACTACGCCCAGTCCTCGTCGAATATTTAGCATCCAATGAAAACCCAAGCATTGAAGTTGTCAACATCCTCTTACAATATGGCGCGAGAGTAAGCAAAACATAACCTCAAACATAACCTCAATCATAACCTAACTTTAAATCCATTAAATCAAAACTTTAAAACAAAAATCAATTTAAAATAATTAAACTAAATTTTACTCTTAATAATTATTTATATAATGCAGGTTGTTATCAAGACGCAGTTTCGTGACCCCGACGGTCTTCTCAACTGCCTCCACAATGTAATCTCCACCGCGCAACGCCCTATCTTTGACATGCTCCTAGAATCGGCTGAATGTTTCGACATCTTCCAAATACGCCGCAGTAATATCCTAACCTTTGATCAAAAAGACCGTCTGCTTAACCTCGCAACAACCCCGTTACCTCTCACACATCTCGTGCGTTTACATCTGAGGAGAACCCTTGGGAAACGAATGATGACCGCGGTTGATCAGATGGAATTGCCGAGATCTTTGCAGGAGTTTCTACGGTTTAAACAGGGGATGCTTATGAGGCGTCCGTCATTTTCTTCGGAAGTTGAATGATTTTGATGGATTTTATTAAGATTTTTATTAATATAGTGTAGGATATTTTGATTATTATTATTATATGCTCTTAAGTGTAAGAGTTTCATTTGAATTTGAATTGCGATATTATGGAACGACTGTAAATTGAAATTGAAATGTGATACTTTTATAAAATATTTTATTCGTATGTCATACGTACGAGTATTTCTTATGTAAAAATTAACATTGCGGAAGAATAAATTTTCTTTAATTTTAATCGCTTTTAAGTATTCGTCTAAAAATTACTGCTTATCACTATCTGATTTGTATTTTATTTGCAGAGTAGATGTTATCATGAGATCTAACACTAATTGAAACCAAAAATTCCAGGTAAAAGAAAAATAAAACATTTTTACCTAACATTTAGTTCTGAACTAAATTCATAGATGTCGCTAGCATTCACTTTCAAACTAATATATCTCACTTCTCAAGTGATTCAGATTCAAACTGGAATGCCTATAACCTCAAAGTGATTTCTATACAGAAAATTTCTCTGAATTTTCAATTAATTTAATCATTATTTCCTCCTTAGTATAATAAACATGTATCTTTCCAAAGCACAAATTATAGACCTTAAAATTTCGAGCATAACATGCAGATTGTGCCTGTCCACTAGGGAAAATCATTATTTGATCAATTGCGGTTTTGATAACACGGATACGAAATTGATAGATGTGTGGTGAAGGCACGAGAAGAACGTATTCGGCTACGTGATGAGAATTACGATAAAAATACGTTCAAGTGTTATATTTGTAAAATGATATTTTATGATGAGACGAAGTGTAAGAATCATCATGCGTAATTTATGATTAGTGTTATAATATTTTGTTAATTTTATGTAAATTATTTTCATGTTTTTGTTGTTTTGCGTCGAAAGTATCGTCAGAAACTGCAGTAATAGTTAAGAGTAATTAATAGGTAAGGGTGAATTGTGTGGGTGTCAGTGAATGTTTGCTATTATGTGTTGTATTGCGTGCTGAAAGAAAATGAAGAGCGAAGACTCTCTTCTCTTGGCCAGGAAAAGCATGTCTACGACGTCCCACTTCTGAAGTCTAAGAAAATAGAGATCGAAGACACATTATTGGTCCCTGGAAGAGGAGATCCACGACGGTTTTCCCCAGAAGTCTGCAACATAAATCAGAAGTACTTCGATTATACATATTAATAAAATAAAATTAATAGACCATTCGCGAACTCTTAAATTATTTGGCAATATCAAATAATAAATGATAAAATTATAAAATTTTGATATACCACTTCACTACCGGACTACCTCTAGAGGTTGAGGTGCATTCCATGATGGGTAAACACATCAGCACCCAACCCCCGAGGGTATTTCACTTACTCGTATTTCACACTTGCTCTTTGTAATTAGATTAACGCGAACATTAAACCAGTTTTAGAAGTGGAAGTGGAAGTGTCACATCCAGATGGGTAAACACATCGACACTCAACCCTCTAAAAAACCCAAACATGCCGAGAGGCTGGGGTGCATTCCAAGATGGGTTAACACATCATCATCCATCCTCTGAGAATAATTAAGCACCTCACTCCTATGGACATTTGTTAACTGCACTATTATTGAATAATATCACACTTGCACTTTGTGATTAAACCAGTCCCCGAAATACTCGTAGAAGTGCCTTCTCCTGATGGGTAAACACATCGACACCAAAGTCCCAAGAATATTTGAACACTTTTTTCACACTTGTACTTTGTGATGATTTAAAGGTGAAGGTGCCTCCTAATGATGGGTATACACATCAGCACCAAACACCCATTCATCTTCTTGATAGCAAAGTGGATTGGATTACCTTCAGATTGGAAGTGGAGCCTGCCATAGGAAGACCTCTTGAGTTTTGCATTCCAAATCAAAACATTCAACGTGCAATAATAATTAAATTAAAAAGATGCAAGATATTGAACATGACAATCTCATAAAATGACTATTAACTTTTGTGTATTGAAAAAGTATATAACTGCAAAATCATGATGTTTCTGTAAAAAAATATTAATTAAATATTTTTCACTGCACTCCCGCACTTAGTGTGTCGACGCAAACACTAAATAAACACTAAATAAGCACTAATAATTAACACAAAACACTGCATAATACTAGTATGTTGATATTAACACTCAATAGATGTATCATCCAAATTCAAAATTTCCTTTTCTTGTCCTGGGTTCACTGTTCTTGAATAATAACAATTACATACAACAACACTTACACTTTCATTGTGATCACTACCACTTATTCACTTATTTCGCACTTGCACTTTGTGTATAACTGCAGATTACTGGTGTTTCTGTTAGGGCAAAAAGTAAGATTAAATTTCACGGTACTCCCGCACTAACACTGCCACAACACTACATGAACACTAGATAAACACTCACGCACTAATAATTAACACACAACATTGGAAAATAAGTTGATAACCGTCCTTAAACATATCTTTCATCCATTGTCTCATTCTGAGATGTATCAATTATTCGTAACTGTACTCGTATATTGCTAATTTTCGATTTTCTTCAAAGTTCATTCATAAATTGTGTTCACTTTTAAAGTGGTGGTTACTTTAAAACGCAATAATTCACACTTTTATAATGGCACGAACTTAATTAATTCACACTATATAACAACGTGCACTGAACTCCCATACTACTCGTAACACTGGCTCAACACAACACAAACAGTAAACACTCGCGAGATTGTAATTAACGCACAACACTGCACAATAACTTGATATCGGCATTATACTCGTATTGAGCATTCTTTCACCCTCTCCATTAGCACGGATTATTTCATAACACTAACACCAACCCACATTAACAATTCTCTTCATCAACCTTTCTAAATATCTTTTATCGTAAATGTAGTTTTTGGTACTTTGACATTCTCATTATATTCTCCCTTCTTATGGTATTTTTATTGAAGTTGTTTGTTTGGATTCTTCTATTCGTTGTTCATTGTCCTTTTCTGATATTATATTACACCTTCAATTGTTTTCACAGTCACAATATATTCACACGAACATCACTCACTAAGGGATTGTCCATTAATCACGTGAGGCATGAAGGGGGGGGGAGGGGTTTGTTAAAAATCACGAAAAATCACCAGGGGGGGGGGGTGGAGTAAGATATCACGTGTATTTATTTTTTCGTCAAACGCACGATTTCTAAAGAGAAAAATTTTATTATTCTTTGTTGGGATTAAAATACACGTGATGATGGGGGTGGGGGGTGGGGGTAATCTTAAACCTCACGACGTATCACCAAGGGGGAGGGGGGGTCCAAAAAATGAAAAAAAAAGATCACGTGATTAATGGACAGCCCCTAACTCACAAATATACCTACAACAATTGCACCCACTCACTTTAAAATCATTTTCCACTTCTTTCTTCTTTGTAATCCAAGTTCTTTCTTATCAGATTTTTATCAAGTTCTGTTTTTTTTGCTGATTATTACATTATTTAGATGATTATTATGTACTCGCGTTCATTTACTTTCTTTCTCATTTTTGTCTATTCATAAACTTCACCCCTATCCTAGTTGTTTATTATTCTAGTTTGCTTATTATTCTTTTCTAAAGAATAATGGTCCTTTCTTTCTTTCTTTTCAGGAAATCCTTGGTTGTTTTCATTTTTCACCTACACACGCACCAACACATCAACACACTGCAATACTACACTTTACACTTCCCACAACACTCAAATTCCTTCACACACATATTCACTATTTAATTTTTTGTAATCTGTAAAAAATAAAGATATTAATCTGCTCCTGCGCTTTTGGTACTCGTATCACTCCCAATGTAATCTGTAATCAAAAACAGAAAGCTAGAATTGAATAAATATAATAAAACGAATTAAAATAAACAGTCCTGGAAAATAAAATATCCAATTAGACACAAAAATAGGATTTTTTGGATTTTGGAACTCATTCACACACAACAACAACAAAAATAAATAATAATAATGTACATAAATTACAATAAATCTGAAATAAAAAAAACACATTAAAAGGATAAAGGAAGGTCCTATTTCCCTGCCTAATGAATACCCATAGCTAATTTGCGATTCGCGATAATCCTGAAAGCGGCAAAAGATTAATACACAAACAAAATTCTAAATAAATATATTTCACATTCACACAGCTAAAGGGAGAAGGAAGCTTAAAACTAATCATAATTCTAATCATAATTGACCTGCCTATTATTCCCTACCTAAGTACATGAGATAGCTTTATGTTCACAGACCGTTTGATAAATTATAAGCGCATTTAACTTATTCGTAACTATCGCGACGCGTTTTCGATCTGTGATTACAAAACGAGTGCAAAACGGTTTTGCAACGCAAATACAAATACCTGAAAGTGACCGACTGCATACATCCCAGCGGCATGCAAATCGGCTTTTGGTAGACCAAAATTTAACACAACATACATAAATGCAATGAAATATAAAGTGCAATAAAATTCATTCATACAAAAATTAAATGTTCATTCAACAAGTTTACATTCATACTTAATTTGTGTGCAGATTGTCTCTGCATGAATAAAAACGCGATTTAAGGAGATATTTTGATTGAATAGAAGTTAAGTTTAGTAATTTTAAGAAAACATGTTCCAGAAAGGCTCGAAAACGCGAGTTATATATTAAAATAATGGAGAAGAACTTTAATTTCAATTCAAAAACTAATTTTAGATTCGATTGTGGTGAACACGATAGGCAACGGAACATACAGATTTTCAAATTTTAAAATTTCAACTGCGGAAGTGCAACGCGGTAGGCAACCAAACATGCATATCTGTAGATACTTTTGAATTTTTGAATTTTACGACACGAAATTGTTTCAATTTACTTGAATAAAAACCCGGTTTAATTATGCCAACGTAAAATAAGAAGTGTTCGCGGTAACACAATATATTTATTAATATTTTAAAATTAAATTAACTTTGAAACGCGGTTTATTTTGATGAAAATACGGATGGTACCAATAAGCTAACTCACTACTTAGACATCCGGCGCTTCTAGCAATGCTGGGTGGATTAGCACAATGACCAAGTACTGCTTTAGATATACAACTCCCAGATACTAGAGTTGCGTGTCATTCACAGCCTTCTGATCATGAGCATTACCACATCCTACCTTTTATCCTCCTATTTGAGATGACATGTGATCCTGGTTGTGACTCTGCATCATTGCTCTTGCTTCTTCACTTGCTTCACTGGACTTTCTTCCTTTTCCCAGAACTTCAATGCTGCTTTCATACTCGCGTATCACTTTTTGTTTACATATAATACTTCTAACTGTTTGATTTCATGTACTTTTCGTAAAACTTCCCGAATTTATAATTAAACTGACAAGATACATCGCGCAACCCGTTCATCTTAACAAAACTAGTTACATTTGCCAATAATACTTGTTACTTTACACTATTTTCTTTTAATTTCTTGCTGCACATCCTAAAACAAAGAAAACATTAGTTGTATGCAACCCTAAGCACATGAAAACTTTTGAACGTACGTTTATTGGTTATCCGTAGGCCACCATGGATGCTGCTGACGTCACCTTGAACCGACCAATGACAGCAAAAGACGCTGAAATTAGAGACGCTTAAAAAGCGTCACAGAAAAAATTAAAAAATGCAACTTATATTAAATTATATACAGCATCCATCCAAGAATACTGTTATCAATAACAAGTTCTATTAAGGTGGATGCTTGCAATACTACACATTCTACTATTAGTACTTTATTTTTATATTTTTTTAAAAATTACTCACCAAGCGTGCCCTAACCGACAAGCGTTGCACAATCACTACTTGTAACCGATTAAAATATTAATCAATGCGTAGATTTCTTTAAAGACAACTCTTTGATTGAAAGATATAACCTAATCTTAGGTTAGAATAAGCCCGTTACTTTTGATTATTTAAATTGTATGAGATTTTTGCAGATTCAGCAGGAGCACCGACACCAACGATGCGCACAGCTCAAGAGGAAAAACGGAAGTGAACAATGGCTGATGATGCGATTCTTTATGTCAACAAAGTGGTGGGGGTAAAAATAGTTAAAGACTTTCAAATTACTTTTTAATTAACTTGCTAAAAGCATATACTAAATTAACCAGAATAAACAACGATTTTTTCATGAATTTTCATACTATTTTCCTAATTTTACGTGCTTTAAAACTGCTACAATTTAATTATTATCGTTTACATGTTAATCTTATGAGAAAAAACTATTTCAACAAATAATCAACGAAAAGTCTTATAAAATATATCAAAATATACATATTTTAACGTGCTTTCCAACGGTGTATTACACTAAGCTCTACGTGAAAAGATTAGTTAATATATCGTTTTAAACACTTGACGTTGATTTGACTTTTGAAGTAAAAAAACCAAACCGTCGTCAGCGAAGGACGTTACGTGAATTACTCACAAAATACACGTTAAAACTAAAATCTAAGCTCAGATTCGAATTCCTCAGGTTATTTAACCCTCAGACAGTGTTTTCTTCAAGAATGCAGTTTTAATTCGTAAGTTACACACATTGGAATATTCGAATCCAATTGGATTGCAACTACTAAGTTTACAAGTGGATTAAAGCTTACCTGCGTGGATTAACGTAAATCCAAGAAGGCCAATCGATAGATCGTCTAAAATACTATAAGTAACGACTTATTTCAAGTGCTGACACGTTGTGTGAAAGAATTGGTTGATGTGTTAAGTTGTTGTGTTCCTGAACCTCACTTTACACTTTACTTGCACTCTGAGAGCCTCAGAAGGTAAATTACAACACAGAATCAGGAAAGTATGGCTGAGGTAGTTGGATTAGGGCTTTGACTAAGTTCTACAGGCTTTTGTTTGAGCTGTTCATGTTTATTTTAAGTGTTATTGTGTGTTTTAGGTTGGATTACACAAAGTCAGCTTCATTGATGAGTCACAGTGTTTATGGGGGCCCACAAGCTGAAATGTTGCAAGAATAAACAGTTAAAAGCTCTCACAGATTGTAAGGATAACATAAAACGGTATTTGGTAGAAGATTAAACAAGTTTTAATTCAATTTAAAGAAGTACACCTTGGAAAACATTTGAATGTAAGTTGGTTACTTATAAAGATGTTTCAGGAGGTTTGATGTGATAAAACACCTGCAGGAAGTTTATTTACTTAAAAAAACAATACTTCTACATTGTGTTGTTATCGTTGTTATTCTACAATTGCTCTTATTCAGCGGAATGTGACTGATAACCTGACAAACCAGTTTTTGTTTATATTTGGTGTGATATATTTCAATTGAGAAGGAAATATTCAATTGTGATGGCAGGAGCTTATCAAGCAGGTCTAAATACATCTAGAATACTACTTAATAAGAATTAATTATGTACTATTTCAGGGCAGACAGAAATAATTAGTGGAAAAATATTTTTTATAGAAAGTGATGGATTACATGATAACCATTGATTGACAACTGGTTATCTATATATCAGAAGAAGTAGAATTTAAATACCTTTCTAATGATACCATACAACATCTTCTAAAGTAAAAATTACGAAAGTTATTAACAAAATTAGTTTAAAATCAAATTAGTTTCCTGTTTAACATAGGCAACCAACTATACACCAAACTAACATTTCCAATTACAAATCACTTTAAAAACCCATAAATAACTGACACATTCTATTCTAACTTTATACATCTAATAACTCTGTAAACCTTTAACATATTTTTATTATTTCCAGCAGTAATCACGTCATAAACTTAATGACAAACTTCATTTTCCACTTCATTTTCTGTTCATGCTTGGTTCGTTAATCTGGAATTAAAATGAATGTCGCCGTCTATAAATATGGGCATAAAATATTCACAATGGGGAAAGAAACAAGTGTTGGGCACGTCATAGTATCAACATATTGTCGTATGATTCTGCGATTATCCCCCCTCGGACGCGAACATCACCCTTAAGCCAACGCAAACGCCTACGACTTTGACCGACTTTACAAGAGTTATTTATACGAATTCAGTCTTGATATAATTACAATATTATTAATAACCACTGTAGTTGCGCATTTCCATTAAGAAATTAGTGTTTTACACGTGCAAAGGCGAAATTCATTGAATTATTTGTAAGTTATTATAGAAATTGAACAGTTTTTGGTAAAAATTTGCGTTTTTAGGTCATTTTTGATTGTTTTAAGGAAAATTAAATCAACATAACTGAAAGAACAATTAATGCGCTTTATAATTATGCAAAGAACACAAGAATTGAGTAAAGCATTAACGAGATATTCACTGTTTTGTAAAATATGTTTTGTTAATTTTTTATGCGCGTCTAACTTTATTTACGATTTTAGGGTAGTTTCCGGTCTTTTAAAAATCTGAAAAAAATTGTGCTTAAAGAACAACTCGTATACAATGTTTTTATAAATTTTCATAAAAATCGGACCAGAGATTTGTTAGTTACAGGCTGTTTTTTAAAATATTTTTTCTAAAATTTTGTAATTTTAATAATTGCGTAACTTTATTTAGTAATTTAAGGGTAGTTTCCGGTTATTTAAAGGATAGATATAAATAGTATACTAAAGTACAACTAATAAGGAATCAATTAGTGAAATCAGAACTCAAATATCTTAATTTAAACAAATGATACAGCGTTTTTTAACTCATATGTTGTTTCAAGTTAATTAGAAAAATAACCAGTATTAAAATGTCATTTTAAGGCGTTTAAAACATGTTTCCACCATAATTATGTCCAAAAACAAAACAATAACAATCCTACTACAAAACAACAAAAAAATCATCAAAATCCACCCACTCAATCAAAAGTTACACAACATTTAGCAACTAATATTCTAAAACCTCATCGTAACTAATAAATAAGTAAATAATCTCTATTGGCATTAATCTGCAGTTAGACTGCTCTAAAAATTAACGACAACCAAATGAGAATCTAATGATTCTTCGTCTGTGTGTAATACTGTGTGATACTGCGATGCTTAATGTTTGAAAATCGACTGATTCGAGCGATGAACTGATAAAATCATTAGCTTCACACTGCCACCGCCACTCGTGCTCGTGCGTACTCATCATGTGTGTGGGAGAAAAGCGGGCAAACGGAAAACTATCGATTCGAAACGGCGCGTGTGCGTCCGCGGCTTTTCCGAATGGGCGAACATTTTCATCGGCCACAGCGGCGGCACATCGTTTTGCTGTGCTGAATAATTGACGAGCGAACCAACTGATATTCTAGAGCTGGAAATCTATCTGCTTACAGAATACATACAATATGTTCAACATTATTATACATTTCAGAGAATTGGTGATTATTTATTTGTTTTTTAGTTGTAGAAGAGTGATTTTTTGTGTTTCAACTGTAAAACATTACAAGTGTTTTAAATCCAGTAGTAATTTGATGAAAATATGTATTATTTAAACAAATTCTGCGCGTTTTTGTAAAAATTGTTTATTTTTAGGTAGGCAACCCAATAAACACGTTTTAAGTGTTGCTCATATTGCTGCCAAAGTTAACGTTTTTAGTTTTATTCATAAAACATTACAAATATTTTAAATCAAGCATTAATTTCTTAATAATTTATAACATTTAACAAATTCTGCGCGTTTTTGTAAAAATTGTTCATTTTTAGATAGGCAACCAAATTAACACGTTTTGAGTGTTGCTTATATTTCTTCCAAAGTTAACGTTTCTCATTTTATTCATAAAACATTACAAATATTTTAAATCAAGCATTAATTTCTTAATAATTCATAACATTTTAACAAATTCTAAGCGTTTTTATATATATTTTGTTTAATTTTTTACCTATGCAACCCAAAATACATGTTTTTGAGTGTCGTTAGTGTCGCCCTCAATCGGCACTAACTGAAACTAAAACTTTTGACGGTATTTTGACAGATGTCAACTAATAATAAAGATAACCTAAGTTTTAAATGTTTTATAACCTAAAAAACCATTAATTTATTATCTATTACGAAGGTAAGCTGTGTCACGTTTCATTGAGAAAGTTTTACGAGCTCTTCTTCGCAATACAAAGAGTAAAACACTAAAAAATTACATAACAAGAACAATTTCATTGAAGATGCTATAAAATCCTTCGCTATAAATCTCAAATACTTACATTAAGTGTTATCCAATTAATTTATGTAATATGTGCTTCCTAAATTGACGCTATTCCTATTTTTTCCTAATTTATATCGACGTATTGTCATAATAACATAAATAATACAAATGAGTTGATTATGGTGTTGGTGCATATTGAGTTATCATTGTTACCAACCAAAAAACCGGTACAAATTCGAAGTATTTGTAATTATAGCTCTTTTTATGCACAAACAAATAAACATGACAAACATAAAAAATACAACGGATATAAACGTCATTGTGAAGTGTCTCAAGTAAAAGCGCAGTATATTTGGCTTTTGTTGGCAATTGAATTAACAATTTTAAGATATATGGGAAATATTCACATAATTGTTAAGGAACTTGACATTGCAAATTGTATTGTTTAAAAAATTCAAGTTGGACAGAAGATATTAAAATGTAAAAATGTAAAAAACAATTAGATTTAAACGTTGTTGTCATAAATGAATTTGTTTTTGATCTTTTGGGGAAACAACGACGGTTTTATGACGTATTTTACTTCCTGACGTCTAAAAACTTCAACATTTTGCTCTATTTCTTGTAATTTGAAGTAAACAATCTGTTTTCAATCAAATATTTTAATATTTAGGTTGCAAAACACCAACATAACCAAAAACATTAGCAATATGACGTGTTATCAATGATAGGCAACCAAATATACACATTTTGTTAACTTATTATAATAAGATGCGTAAAATATTCACATAATGGTTAATTGTTAAGAAAAACAATAAGATATAACCGTTGTTATGATAAATGAATTTGGTTTTAATCTTTTGGGGAAACAACGACGGTTTTATGACGTATTTTACTTCCTGACCATTGAAGACTTCAACATTTTGCTCTATTTCTTGTAATTTTAAGCAAACAATCTGTTTTCAATTAAATATTTTAATATTTAGGTTGCTAAACACGAACATAACCAAAAACATTAGCAATATGACGTGTTTTCAATGATAGGCAACCAAATATACACATTTTGTTAACTTATTACAACAATATACGTAAAATATTCACGTAATGGTTAATTGTTAAGAATAACAATAAGATATAACCGTTGTTATAATAAATGAATTTGGTTTTGATCTTTTGGGAAACAACGACGGTTTTATGACGTATTTTACTTCCTGGCGTCTAAAGACTTCAACATTTTGCTCTATTTCTTGTAATTTGAAGTAAACAATCTGTTTTCAATCAAATATTTTAATATTTAGGTTGCAAAACAGCAACATAACCAAAAACATCAGTAATATGACTTTTTATGACTTTTCAACGCTAGGCAACCAAATATACACATTTTGTTAACCTATTCAACTTTTAGATACGTAAAATATCCACATAATTATTAATTTACAGGAAAACCATTAATATTTAACACTTGTTATGAGAAATAAGTTTGTTTTTAATGGTTTGGCAAAATAACAATTGTTTTATGACTAATTTAACTTCAAAACTGCAGAAAACATAAAATTTTTGTTCTATTTTCTTTTAAATTTACACAAACTATCATTTTTAATGAATTATATCAAAATTTAAGGTGCATAACCTTTAAAAACACCATCATAACCAAAAATATCATCTATATCGTTTTTACAACTATAGCGTTTTTACAACGCTAGGCAACCAAATATACACTTTTCGTTAACTTATTCAACTTTAAAATGCGTAAAATATTCATATAATGATTAATTGATAACAAAAGAATAAGATTTAACATTTGTAATAATAAATAAGTTTGTTTTTAATGTTTTGGCAAAATAACAATTGTTTTATGACAAATTTAACTTCAAAAATGCACAAAATAACAAATGTTTGTTGTATTTTCTTTTAAAATTACACAAAATACTAATTTTCATTGAATTTTATTAAAATGTAGGCTGCATAACCTTTAAAAACACCATCATAACCAAAAATATTATCTATATCATGTTTTTACAACGTTAGGCAACCAAATATACACTTATACACTAAATATTAACTTATACCGCATAAAATTGACCACAAATGCTAACAAACACACATTATGAACACATATCCACGAGTATGTACCTATATAACTTAACATGTGGTGTGCAGCGCATACGAGTAATCGCAAGTTGGTGCACTTTAATGGTGATACTCGTACCGAAAGGATAGAAAGTCGTCGAGTGCGCGCAAGGAAGTCCAGTCTGCGGCGCGACTTCGACCGACACGGAACGTATCCTCAAGAGTAACAAAAGTAACAAAAAAGTAACTAGAGTAATACGAGTGTAACGAGCGCGTACAATCACAGATTAAGAGTATTTTTATTTATATTTTTATATAATTTCAAAAATTATCAGGAACAATTATTATTAGTAGTTTGTATTATTTTTGTAATCAGTGTTAAAATAATTAAGAAATTAGTGAAAAAATACTAAAAGTGCCTGGGCGAATTAAGGACTCGTTATATTTTATACTCATGTAAGTTAATTAATTTATTTATTTAATAATAAATTGTTTAAATTTTAAGTTTTGACTTTTAAATTAATGAATTTTTGTGTAATTTGGTGATAAAATTAATTGAATTCGAAATCGGTGATAAATTGGATAATTCATACACTGTTCCGGATTATTGTTGATTAATTGAGTGTAATTATCAATGGTTATTGAACAATTATGCAATTTTAGCTTTAAACAAAAATTTATCATCCTCTTTTGTCATGATTGTGTGATTTTATTTTACTTATCGCGATTGTTTTACTAATTTGATAATAACTTTTAAAATATTTGTGATATTTACATAATTCTTTCATTATTAGGTTTCCAATTAAATTTTGCATTAGAATATTTAAGAGATTTGTTGATAAAATTAATATGCAAAAAGTTTTGACAATTAAACTTTAATGTGTAATAATTTATTAAATTGACATTAATATACCTATAAATTTTAATTTTTAATTGTTTTTTATTAGAATTTTGACATTATTAGATAAACATTTTATTGTTTGAATAGTATGTGAAAGAATTATTAAAATAAGTCACTTAGTTTTCTCATAATTGAATAATTAACAAAAACATTTTACTTTTACTGATGCGTCATATATTCTTCAATTCAGTTTTTTAAATATTATGTAAAAGTTATAAATGTTACATGTTTATTTTTATTGGTAATTGATTCTAGTTTAAATTCTACATCTAATGATGAAAAAATTATGTTTCTGTGATTATTGTACACAAAGTTATAAACAATTAAAATTGGACTTCATAATAAAACTGAATAAAATTGACTTTATAACTTTTTATATTTTTGAGTTATCTATAAAATTTCTAGTTGATTAAACGTAGATTGGATAGTGAATTTAATACTTAATCATTAATATCAACATTTATTAAAATATCTTAATGACTTTTTGATTAATAATTAAAAAAGTAAAATAAATCAATTATTTTTCATACTACAATAATAATTATTTTTATTCATTACTTAAAAGCTAATAGCGACACTCTTATTATTCTTCCTGATATATATTCTGCTTTAAATTCTTAATAAAACTGCGTTTAAATTTTTTTATTACGATTATTGAACAAAAAGTTATAAACAATTAAAATTCAACTCCATCAAAAAAATTTTAAATATTAAATAAAAATTATATAAAAACCCTCTTTATATAATTATATTATCAATAATACAATACTATAATATAAATAAATATATAAATAATATTATTCATTATACATTTACACAATTAAACATTTCACTTCAGAATTCATAGTAAAACTAAAACATAATTAGCGCAGACTCTGTCCTCAGTTTCATGTTTATGAGATAATAAGTCCTTGATTAGTAATAATGCATTGTAGTAGTGTAATATAAGCAGTGCATTTATTACTCACATCACCAGAGACAGCTTCGAATAGTAAATCTTTTAAAGTGTTCCAAGAGTATTCCAAGAGTGCGAATTAAAATGCAAGTTCACTTGGATTGATTTCAACATTTGCCACTCTAAGTCAAGGCAAAACAATGCGCACGATCGGCGTACTTAATTGAATGCAATTTATGCATGCACATGAGTGTTACTCAATGGATCGCAAGATAGCAGTAATTAAAAGATTTGTTTACTTCGTTATAAGAAAATATAAGGAATATCAAAGGTGGAGCTCATGTTATAGTTGATTAGTTATAGTTTTTAGTGAATAACTCAAGAAGTAATTAGGTTATTTTAATTATTTCTTCAGGAGTTTAGTAAGAATTAATTTTTTTAGCATAATATATAAAGATATAATTGATAATATGTTTCAATGAAGAGTTATAAGAGGTTTTTTGTGATTTTTAATGTTTTAGATGAAAATCAAAGTTTAATTGTTAATAACTTTTTGTTTAATTGAGATTTTCGTAAAATTTTAAAATATTTAGTTGTAGAATTTATCTAGGAATCGTGTTATAAAATAAATCACATTCTAACAATTAAACTTAATTAGTTATTGAGTAATTAATCAATATAATCACGTTGTGTATACTCATCGATTGAATAATAGTGAAAATATTTAGTTTTTTATTAATTACTTAAAAACTAATCAAACTACCATAATTATATTTTGTGCAAGCACTTAGTTATAAATTTTACATCTAATTATTAAAAAATAGTGTTGTTATCAGTGTTTTATTAAAAGTTATAGGCTGTTTTGTGGAAAATATGTTTAGAATGCATTTTTCACTTTTAACTGTTAATAACTTTTTATAGAATAATTGTATCATCAATATTTTTAAACAAATTGATGAAGAATTTAATTATGAATAGAAGTATAAGAAAATATACGTTATAGCAATTCAATTTAGTTAATTATGAGCTAATTTATAAACATTATCGTAGGATTTTGATTCTCTGCTTGAATAATGGTCAAATTGTTTAGTTTTTAATTAATTACTCAAAAACGCGATAAGTTACATAAACAAATTTTGGTGTATAGATTCCCAGGTAAATTTTATATCTAACTTTAAAATGATATAGTTAATAACTTATTTCTATCAAAAGTTTTAACAAATTTGTAAAAGTTTGATATTCTTATTTATAGTCAAACTTTAATTGTTTATAACTATAAATCTAGAGCACATAGCAACAAAATCCAAACTTAGTTTATTGTAGAATTTAATTAAGAATAAATATTTGAAGGAATCATAAAATTTAAACAATTATCTTTCGAGTTATTAATCAAAAACTAAAACAATACACAAATAATTTTTGCAAAAACTGAAATTTTCATAACTATAACCTCAAATAAGCCGAATAAAAGCCTATAAAAACATCAATCTACTTTATAAACAAATTAAACGCAAAAAATAATAACTTTTATTATCATATACATTGTTAAAATGTGTTATTAACACGTTTTTCTCTTTATTCTCAAACTTTATATATTACGCAAAAAAACTAGAACACATAAACATAAAAACACAATTTAATTAACACATGATATGAATTTCTACTCTCCCTATAAATTATAGCTTACTCCTGAGAATCAAAAAGGACATTGGTCGGTGAGACCGCGCACATCGGTGCCTGCCCGGTGCTTGGCTGGCTTTAAATTAAATATTTCATTTCGTTATCGAGCGCTCTAGACTACTCCGGACGGAGTTTCGGATGTACTACTTAAACGAGCACATTACAAATTAGATACGATACATACAGTATTTATTTCTCACGTAAAACTTAATTTTAGTCACTTACCACATGATAAATTAATTTTACAACGCGTACTGTAAGCTTAAAGAAAGAAAAACTGCAAGATAACCTCTAAAACGTCAAAAAATGACATTTACGTGAAATGACAGAGAGTATAGTTAGTAATTTGGACACTAGGTGGCGTTAGTTACTCTTTAGTATTAAAAATATTCATAAAATTTGTTAAAACGTTAATTTTACATGTTTTTGGCGTATTTTTGTTTAAATTTAAACTAAAATAATATTTTTCAGTAATAAATTATGTTTTTACATAAATAAACCACTTTTAAAACAATATTTTCTTATTTTAACCGGTAGATGGCGTTACTTGATCAATTAAACATTAAAACTGAAGAAATTATTGTTACACTTTGTATATTCCTCTATATAAATACATATTTCACATTCTTCAGCACTCAATACTTCACATTTTGTACGCTTTGATGTCGCATGTATAATGATCTATGAATAATTGAATGTATTAATGAATAATCACTAAATAGCAACGCAGACACACTCGTAAAATCATAATAATCATCTTAATCGATAAAGGATAAGACACAAAATGATAAAAAGTACTCCGTATGGAATTGTGTCAAGTAGCACAATACAACAGCGATTGAATAAGAGAAGTTCAACACGAAATCAAAAGTTAAAAGTAAAAAGTAGTTCACGCGAAGTAAATCACGACTAATACGCCTTAAATGGTTAATTTATAGTTTGGTAAACGCCGAAATTAAATGTGTTGTGGATTATGATATAATCATGCGGTGGAATGAATGAATTCGGAGAGAATTTAAGTCTTTCTTGAGTAGTTTAGTGTTGAGTTTGAGTTTAAGTCGGTTTAAGAGCAAGTTGACTGCTGCAGAACTATTCAAACACTTTCATTTCGCGTTGAATGAACAGGTGAATGATTTCCTGTTTGGTCGGTTAGGCTGTGCGTTTGCTTAAAGTCTGAAATTATTATTTAATAAAACGTCAAAGTTTAAAGTATGACATGGATGACATAACTAAGTGTTTGGTGTGTACTACTTAACATTTTCAATGATTACGATTGAACTGGCCTATATAGAGATATTTTTTAAACAGTGGATTAAAACTGGTTAAATATTGTATAAGTTTTGTGAGTTTCAATGGTGTAGTATTTGTTGTTAAAAAGTTACAGGGTGTTGAAGATTATTTTGATATTTTTGTGTAATTTTTGTAATTTTGTTGAAAAATGTTGTTTAAACAATAAAATTTTATGTTGTTTTATTATGGTGCCATAAACAATTAAATTGTTAATAAATTAGTAAAAGATTTTTGTTTAAAAATGTAAAAGTTACAAGCGTTTAAAGTTTAGATTAATTTACAAACAAAAATGAAATTTTTGATTTTGTTTTTTATTACATTTTTAAATACTACATAAAAATTAATTAAGTTAGAACAATTTTTTAAACGTCACATTATTTCTGCTTAAATTATATACAAAAATATTAAATTTTATGTTGCTGGCATTTGTTGTTTAAAAGTTACAGGGCGTTAAAAATTATTTTAATATTTTTGTGATTTTTGAGATAAATTGCAAAAAAACAATTATTTAAACAATAAAATTCCAAATTGTATTTATATATTCTGATACAAAGTTAAATTAGTAATAAGTTAGTTAAAAATTTATTTATATACGATAAATAATAAAAAAGTTATACGAGCATAAATTTGATGTTTTAAAAGTAACAAAAATTAAATTGTGCAATTGGTTACATTTTTCACTACTACGTCTAGACTATTACAGGTATAATATTTATTTAAACAACAAATTATTCCAAGTTAAATTATCTATTAAAATACTAAATCACATATATCTAGTGTTTATCGTTTAAAAGTTACCGGGAGTTAATAATTATTATTTCAACCAATATTTGTCAAAATCATTTTTCCCCAAAAGATGCTTAAAAGACATACATCTTCTTATTTTCAGATAAAAATTTATAATTATCCTGAAAGCCCATTAAATTCCTAATATATAAACAAAAAAATTATTTATTTTCAATAAAAATTGTAAAAGTTACAAGCGTTTAAAATTGCAAATTCTCCAGCACGCAGTTAAACTTGGTAATCAAACAAAAACGTTAAAAAAAACATCTACTCTCGGCCGTTTGAAACAAAAACAAAACACGATAGCAACAATATGTAAACTGCAGTGCTTAATTACGAATATTATCTATCATTAAGCCAAGTTTAAAGTTTGTGTCACTTTTGTAAACGGCCTCTACAGGAAGTTGAAACATGAAACTCGCTTGAAACTTTCCAAATTGAACGCAATTGAAATAATTTGCCAATTTCGTCGAGGATTTTTATTGTTATCGCCATTTAAGTGCATTATCAGTACGTACTCAAGTATAACCGAAGTGCGGCCATCGAGCGCCCAGAGAACTGAGATCTTAAACTTTCTATTTGTTACAAGAGTGACGAGATTCGCTCGGAGTGGGAATTGAGTTCTAATCGCGTTAGACACATTGTATGTACCTACCAAAGCAAAGCGGCAGCAAGGAGTCAAAATTAAGAAAGAAAGTTAAGTAACGCAATCACGCAAAACGCAACACAGATTGGATAATGATGTGATATATGTGTACAATATTAAGATTAAATGATTAGTTAACAATGTGTGTTAAGAACAGACTTTTTGTTGACGTAGGAGATGTTAATCTTTTTATTTTTGGGTTTATAGAGTGTGCGAATCAAGAAATTTGTTTTTAATTTTGATAAAAATATTTTTATTGATTAGAAAATGAGTTTTTGTAGTGATAAATTATTAATATGTTCTGATTGTTAAGAATATTCAATGTTGAGAGCTTGTAACAAAGTGTTTTTAATGACAAAGAAAAATATGCAATAAAAAGATGAATAAAAACAATAATATTTGTAAATACTAAGAGAATAATATTGAAACATAAATTTTAGATTGTTTTTAATTGTTTATAACTTTTTATGTACATGTGAAGTACTTTTGAAAGGAAATATTGATGTTAAAGACATAAAAAAAACATTAAAATGAGATTTTTCATCTTTTGTTGCCTTGATAAACTCTCAAAAGTATCTAAAACAAGATAAAATTGTTAACTGTGTATTATATTAGAATATTTAACATTTTTACGAACAATTTTGTTTGTCTATCATAAAGTTTTCCTTCGTTTAAATACAAAACAATAAATTTTTGCTTTTTTCAATTTTTTAAATAAAAATTTGATTTTTGTTAGTTTTTAATGAATAAATAATTAAATATTTTGGTTAGTATATTATTAGTATATTATTAGAATGATTTTTATGATTATGTAATGCGTTGATTGTTGATTATTGACTAGTTTTAGTGCTTATACTCGTGCTCGAAGTAAAGTTAGAGAAGTCCGAGCGAAGCCAAGTTTCACTTTGACAGATGTGAGATGGTCATTGGTTGATGACTGATGGAAGATGAAAGATGAATTGCATTTCCTTGTTTCTAACATGTGTGTGGAAATATAGACTTTCTGAAATATATCCTGTGTTCATAAATAAATATTTATGAGCTATTGAAATATTTAAAAATATTTTTCTTTTGAATTTTCTGTTTTTTGAAGAAAATTTTATTTAATAGTACTTAGAAATTACTATAAAGTAATAAAATTTATATTTTATATCCGGTTTTTATGGTATTTTTATAAACTACAATCATTTTTGTAATATCTCTATTAGTTTATAAATAATTAACAATTTTCTAAAGTGAATTCGCGACGCAGCTGCTTTGCGCGCCAATAGCAGTGAAATACTCTATATATGAAATACAGAAATATTCTGAATGAATTTTACTAAAAATATTATTAATAATTAAATTCTATAACAAATTAAACGATAATTTACATCAATTTAACATAATTTGACAATATTTGAGTTAAAATGTTTATAACTTTGTTTGGGATTGCCTTACAAAATAAAGTAAAGTTTACCTTAATAAAGGTAAATAAAGAATTTAATTAAGAACAAATTTGTAAATTAACAAATTATTTAAACAAATATTTTTGAAGTAATTGACAAAAAACTAAAAACATTTTTAATAGTTTTTAATCAATTTCTGAAGTGACTTAACTATAACTGTGAAATACTTTAGTTTTTAATTAATATCTTAACAACTAATAAAGATAATTTAATTATTTCTTTAGTACTTAATTTAGTATTCAAATTTGATCGAATTTCACTAAAAATATTATTAATATTAATATTTATTAACAAGTTAAACAATAATTTATATCAACTTTACATATTTTTTGACAAAACTTCATTTTAAATGTTTATAACTTTGTTTGGAACAATCTCAGAAACAAAATAATCATTAAAATCGATAAAAGATTTAATTAAGAATCAATTTGTAAAAGTTTGATGAACTTTGCACAAATAGTTTTCGAGTAATTGACAATAAAACTACAAACATTTTTAAGACTTTCCCGACTCAATTAAAAAAAAAAACACCTTAACTTTAACCGTATATAATTGATCTTGTACATCACTTACAAACTCAAATTTTTAATTACACAATCAAACAATCAAACAATTATCAAACATTAGTAACAACGCAATAAAAAATACAAACATTGTCCACAAATCTAAATAAAACGCATTTTTTATCATCAAACGGAAACAAAACCAGAAAACTCTATAATCCCACATCACTAATTTAGTGTTTAGTTAAATAACACACATTTATAAACATTTACAAAAAAAATACCAAGCACAAAACCCAAGATTACCATTCATTTACCCAAGAAAGTAAAAGAAAAAACATAAAAATAAAACATAATTAAATGATTACACATCAAAACAGCTCATAAAAAAAGATGAGAAAATTACCCAAATTAAAAACACTTGACATTTTAACCAAAGTAACCAAGTAATTTTAAAAATTACACAATACATTCATTACACACGTAATATAATTATAGAATCCTTCATTATTTATTATTCATCACATCAAATAATCAAAGTGACACACGTCAAAAAAATAAAAATATTTTTGATTTCAGAAAATTTTGATTAATCATCAAATAAAATGGGTGTAACAGCACAACCTCCACAGCAAATCACCGACCATCACCTCAAACATCCCCCTAATGAGACCAACAACAATAAAAACGTTGTCCTACGCCATAACTCCATCAACAACTCTTTGAATACAAAAAGTTTGTACATATCCAACGCTGAAGAACTAAAAATCACCGATTTCTATCGTGGATTAAACATATTCATCACGGGAGGCACCGGATTCGTCGGTAAATCAGTCATTGAGAAACTCCTACGTACTTGTGATGGCATCGGCAATATCTACATGCTTATCAGAGCAAAACGTGGTATGAATGCCTTGACACGTCTCCAGGAATTATTCAAAAACCCTTTATTTGAGAAAATCAAAGAAAAAGATGAAACTCTACTGGAGAAAATCATCCCCATTGAAGGGGATGTTTCTCTTCCGATGTTGGGTATCTCAGAGGAAGCTAAACGTCTATTGGTTGAGAATGTGCATGTGGTGTTTCATTCAGCTGCGACTGTGAGGTTTTCCGATTCGTTGAAGACAGCGATTGTGTTGAATACGCAGGGGACGAAAAGGATTTTGGAGTTGGCGATGGAGATGAAGAAGTTGAAGAGTTATGTGCATGTCTCGACGGCGTATAGTAATTCGGATAAGGATAATGTGGATGAAGTGGTGTATGAGCCGCCGGCGAATCCGTATCATATGATTAGGTGTGCGGAGACGTTGAGTGATGAGGCCATGAGTCAATTGGAGAAGTTGGTGGTTACCAAGCATCCGAATACTTATACGTTTACCAAGGCGATGGCGGAGAGTATTGTGCAGGAGTATGCTGGGAAGTTGCCCACTGCGATTGTTAGGCCTTCGATTGGTGAGTTGGGAGGTCGAGTTTTGAGGGTTGTAACTTTGGATGTTTTGGGGTTACGGGGGTGTGGATGGGTTTGGAAGATGTGGAATTTTATTGGGGATAAGTTATATTGTAGATAATTTATTTATCTATTATATTGCGTTTACAGACTTTGATTATCTTTATTGGTTTATTAATTATTTATGTTTTTCCATGATATAAGCATAAAGTATATCTATACAAAAATTGTAGGAAATTTAGTCAGTTTTAAAGCCTTATAACTCAGTAAATATTTGATATATAACTAAGTGCTTTGATCTAGTTTATTTAGAATTTAATTATTTATATGACTAACTACTTATATTTTTATAATAATTTATATTTTATTGATTATTTAGAGTTTTCTGTGAAAATTACTAAAAATTGCAATTTTTGTGAACGTAATTTTTACACCCTGTAACTTTTACTAGAGGAAAGCTAGAAGTTTGTGCTAGGGCTCAAATTATGGATAATTTATGTATCCATCAACTTCCGTTTATGGATTTTAGGTATCTTTTATCAATTTGTTTTAAAATGAAAAAAATTAGCTCATCTCCAAAATATTTTGTTCTTATTTCGTTTTGAAAATTTTGTCATTTTTCTTTTGCTTATAACTTAGTCAATTTTTATCCCATCATTAAAAGATTCAGTGTAAAAGATGAAGAATTTAATCGGTTATAAGTGTAAATTTAAAGAATTCTATAATAATTAATATTTTAGAAATTATTTTGATTTTACTATCAATTTGATATAAAATAGTAATTTTTGTGTACCTAACTTTAACACCCTGTAACTATTTTTCTATAGTATCTACAAAAACCAACCTTATGCCATATAAAAGACAATTTAATGCTTTACAAAGCACAATTTAATCCATATCTCTATCTTAATTACTTTCTAATAAAAATAAAATTTTCTAAAAAATTTCAATTTTCTTCATTTTCTAGTTACAAACGCTTGGAAAGAACCCTTCGAAGGTTGGATAGACCACTCCACTGGTGTGACAGGCATCATGATGGAGATGGGCCGTGGTGGTGTGCAGATCGTCTATGGCGATTACGACAATCAGATGGATATTGTTCCCGTGGACTTTGTGACCAATACACTGATAACAGCCGCGTGGCACACAGTGGCAAAACGCAGCAATACGATGCGTATCTATAACTGCACCTCAGGGCATGATAACAATATCACATGGGGTGAATTCAGCCAAATGACAGTTGCGTCTGCGCGCAAGTTTCCCTCAAGTATATCACCTGGTATCCGCAGGTTATCTTCACGAAGAACCGATTCTTCTATTATTTGATTCAAATGTTTATGCAGAGGGCGCCAGCTCTGCTGGCGGATCTTTTGTTGATCTGCACAAGGAGGAAACCTATGTAAGTTAATATTTTGGTATTACAAGTATTTATTTAGGGGTTAGAATTGAGGTTATGTTGATTTAAGTCAATGATAGACGTAGAAATTTGTCGTATTTTGTTTGTCAACTTTGATTGCTTATAACTTCGTTGATATTGCAGGTAGGAGTTTGTTTTAAAGTTTAAATAATAGAGAATTTAATAGTTTATTGATATCCGTTAAGTTTTTATTTGAAATATTTTGCATTATTTGGTTATTTTAAATTTAGTAAAACATGTTTTAAAACTTGTTAAAATATTAGTACATTTTAACACCCTGTAACTTTTTCCTATAAATTATATTTTTTATTTTAAATTTCACTTGATAGATAATTTAATTATCTACATACTGCACTTTAAAAATTTCAAAAAATCAAAAACTCCAAAAGTTACAAACAATTTTCTACGCAATTTCAAATTACAACTTAAAATTTACCATCACTATAACTTTAAGTCACTTTAAAAGTGACTTAAGTCATCAAAACTACTATTTCATACACACAATAAATTCCCTAATGTAAACACTAATTTAACTTATTTTAGTCTTTAATCAAAGTGACTTAAGTCATATTAAAACTGATTTTTAATTATTTTGTTTTTGTTGTAGAATGTATCGATTTGCGAAAAAGTCGAACGCAATGTAAAGATCGGCGAGTTCTTTGTGAGCTCCAAGTTCAAATTCGACGTGAACAACCTCGCCGAGCTCCAAGGGGACGTGCGGGCCGCCGCCGACGGTGACAACTTCCCAATGGACGTCTCCAAACGGCATCTGGATTGGCGGAAGTACAACGAGCTGTGCATGCTCGGTATTCGGCGGTCTGTGCTCAAGGACGACATCAGCAGCCTGCCGCATGCAAGGCGGCGACTTAACGGGTAAGGAAACTTGGCTTAAGTAATTTTACTTAAGTCATAAAATTTTTATTATTTTATTCTTATATTATTTGAAGTTAAGGGTTGGAAAAAGCTGTATAAAAGTGACTTAACTTAAGTAAAGTGTCTTAAGTCATATTACTTAAGTCACAATTTTTTTTTTTATTATTGAAGCTAAGGGCTTAAAATTATTTTTGGAAATTTTTAACAGTGACTTAATTTAAGTATAGTTTGGTCAAAGTGACTTAAGTAAGTTTAAATCGAGCAGAAGTTGCAATTCGCGTTCAATTACAAGTTCAATCTGAGGGTTCAAGGCGCAAAAAACTGCATTTCAAGTGGTGACCTAGAAGAAGTTGCTTAAGCAGGTTTTACTTAACTTAAGTCGTACTTCCAGACACATTTATCTTACTTTTGTTTTTTTCTTTTAATCATTCAATGAAAATCTCATAGAAATCACATCATTTCAGCCAATTAAAAAACATTCCACTGACTTAAGTCACATTACTTAAACTTTTTTCCTTAAATTTTCAGATATTATTGGTTAAAGAAAATCCTCCAACTGCTCAGCGTGTACGTCCTGTTAAAGATGACCATCTGGTAGTCATTAAACAATCAACAATCAAACCTTACTTAACTCTTATTACTTAAAATAGTTTAACGTTATTTTTAAGCTATGTTTAAGTAAAGACAAAAACAAAAATAATTGAGTTATTGAGGATAATAATATAATAATCAATCAACCGTCCATTAATTATTACTTAATTAAGTACGAGTAAGTTTAGAGCATGATAAGTGTACTTAAGTATTATAAAGTGTCTTAAGTGTACTTAAAAATTTTAAACGAATGTATTGTTATTGTATTTTGGAGAGTTTAATGTGTCAATGGAAATTCATGTTGATTGAAGCAGTTGAATGGTGTATCACCACGTTTTCGGGGATGTTTAAAGTGTTGATGATTAAGGGTTGTACTTCATTCTATGGTCAATTATATATTGTGTATGATATTTATAAATTGTCATCAATATACTTATTGAAAAGTATGGTTTTATGTTATTTACCGTGTAGAATATGGAAAGGTATAATTTTTGTGTGTTTGTTCTCTTTTCATGGTTATACTATTGAAGCAATTTTGATTAAATTTGGTATGGGGAGGGGGTTGGTGATGGAAAAGGATATGAGCTATTCATAACCTAAATTAAAGTGGAAAAGAGCGAAATAAGGGATGAAAGTTTTTTTGGAAGTCAAATATATTATTTGAATTAAGATTGCATTGAAATACATGTTTTTTATTTATTTCTATTTTGTTTATTTCAAAAATTATTTCTATATTTTTTTCTACAATTTTTTTAATTTAAAAATTGGCAATTTTTTAATTTATTATTACATTTTTTTCATTTAATTAGAAAATATATTTTTTAAATTATTTTAATATTAGAGAATATACTGGATATATTGTATTTACTATAGAATATACCAAAATAGATGACTTTTGTATGTTTGTTGCCCTTTCACGCTTATACCTGTCAACCAATTTTGATGAAATTTGGTATAAATGCAGATTAGGACTTGGAAAAAGCCATGAACTACTTTTTGTCTTGAAATTTATACTTTGAAGAGGTAATATAGATGATGAAAGTTTTCATACAAAATATATATGGTGGTAATTTATTTTTTGAGAATTTTTACTAATTTTCCGTACTAAATAGCCCCGGAAAGATTTTTAATTATAATTTAATATTAATAAATAAGAAAATCAAACAAATTATCTTCAGAAATAATATTTATTTAGTGTATACTTTCAATTACAACTCATTTTCTGCCGAATTGTCTTCCCCTTCCAAATCAAAATTCCAGTTAGTTGATGTTTCTGTTGATGTGTTATCAGTTACTTCTTCTGGTTCAGCTGCGTTTGAAACAATCTCTGTTGATATCATGTCTGTTTCTTCTTCTGTTTCAGGTATATTTGTTGTCGTTTCAGTTGGTGTATTATCAGTTATTTCTGCTGATTCAGTTACATTTGATGCAGTTTCTGTTGATGTATTTTCAGTTACTTCTTCTGTTTCAGCTTCATTTGTTGTTGCTTCTGTTGGTTTGATTGTTTCAGTTGTCTCTGTTGTTTCAGTTGGTACTTCTATGTCTTGTCCTTCACTTGTTATCGCCCCTGGCATGGTAGGTGTAGGCTTACTCGTATGAATCCCTTTACAATTCTTCTTCTTGGAGAGGCGTTTCTTGCAATATTTATCAAAGGTTTTTAGAGCCCCACAAATGTCCACTGTAAACAAATATGATTATAATTGTGATTAGATTTGATATAATTGAAATTAATAATTATGTAAGTATAATTTATTTTACCATCAGTGCTTTCACTAGCTACCCATTCGGTTGCAATTGGTTCCATCAGTTTACAGAATGATTTATGGTAACGGCGACTTTCTAGTAATCCGGATAGTACTTGAGCATCAGCTATAAACATAAGTATCTAATTTTAGAATTATTAAATATATTTTTTTTATGGTATTGGATTGATTGGGAAAAATGCGCATAATTTTTTTAATTATTTTTGGAAAATCCATAAATTTATGTTGTAAGTGCATTTATTTGTGAACAGCAGCAGCGCATGTTTTGGTCTTTTGCTACACAGTATGTCTAATGCGCAGACGCATGCTCCACCCTGAGAGTAAAACCCGTGACTAAAGTACTTTATTGCAGCCTTGGTCATCCGTGTTTAAAGTACTACTTTTTGTTTTTGACACCATGGAAAAAGTAGTGCTTTAAAAGTGGAAATTGAAAAAATAAATACGTACTTTCTGGAGTGTACAAGCTGAACACTACCAATGCCAAAACAAAAGCGACCTTCATTATTGCAAGTTATTCGCAGAATAGACTCAAACACAATTGGAAGAAAAGTCATTTGTATAAATTATATATAGTTTAAAAAAGTAATAAAAAAACATGCTGCAATAAATATTTCTTGACTTTTTAATAACACCTTTCTTTAATAAATTATATTATTTATTAGTGTAATTGTGTAAAAAACAAAAACTGTGTAAAAATTTTAGGAAAGTTATCAATCAAATAATAATAATTATTATTATTAGTAAGGTTATATTGAATTACGGTAATATTCTCATTATTTGGCACTAAATTTAAAATTAAAATCAAATAAATAAAATAATAATGAAATGTAATGATGTTATTAACTTTAGCATAAAATTATCGAAAAGTTGCCAAAACTGCATGTGACTAAACCTCGTGACTAAAGCATTTTAGTCAACACCTTTATTGTCCGTGTTTAAAGTGTCACTTCCAACATTTAAAAACAATAATTAAATGACAATAACTAAGGAAATTTTAAATCTGTTAACGCAAGTTGGTAAACAAAAAAATTATTTATAACTTAATCACAATACCACACAAATGGTTAACTTTACTCTGCCTATATAGTTATAGGGTGGTAAAAATTAAGTTTATAAAAATAAAACACAAAACACAATAATAATCATTCAATAATTAAAATCAATCTGTATTTATTCGTGTACAACTCTAGTAACATTTCCAGATTTCTAAATGATTAGTTTTTAGCATGACCCTTGCTCTTAGAGTGGGCCTTGTTGGCCTTAGACTTGGATTTAACTCCCTTGGATTTATGGGAAGCCTTAGATTTATGATTGGCCTTGGATTTGGATTTAGCTCCTTTAGACTTATGGTTAGCCTTGGACTTAGAGTGAACTTTAGCTCTAGTTGCCGGAGTGGATGCGTCAGGAGTTTCAGTGTTAGTTGGGTTTGGGGTCTCAGCTTCAGGGTTTCCAGTTATTTCGTCTTGAACTCCAGGTGTTTGGTCAGTATCAGTACTGAGATCGGTACTGGGATCCGCGGAGGGTTCTTCAGTTGATGGGTTACTGATTATGGTACACTCAGTGGTAACACCTTCAATAGGTCCTTGGGTTGATGGATCGGTGGAGATTGGGATGTCGATTCCACAATTTGGAGTGGAAGGTCCTTGGTTATCTTCATCACCTTCTCCATTACCATTTCCATCTCCATTTCCATCACCATCTCCATCTCCATTACCATCTCCATTTCCATCTCCATTTCCATCACCATCTCCATCTCCATTACCATCTCCATTTCCATCTCCATTTCCATCACCATCACCATCACCATCACCATTTCCATCACCATTTCCATCACCATCACCATTTCCATCTCCATCTCCATCTCCATCTCCATCACCATCTCCATTCCCATCACCATCACTATTTCCGTCTCCATCACCATTTCCATCACCATCACCATCCCCATCTCCATTTCCTTCATTATCTCCATCACCATCTCCTTCCTCATTACCATCACCATCACCCTCCCCATCACCTCCAGGTCCTTCAGGAACACCATCACAATTTGTCCTCAATGACAAATTCTTATCACATTCCTTGTCGAAAGCCTTCAAAGCTCCACACATATCCGCTATAAAAACAATTGTTTACAAATCATAACTTTTAAATTAAACTATAAAAGAAAAACTATCATACCATCAATTTCTTCACCAGAAACCCATCCCACAGCAATTGGTTCCACCAGTTTACAAAACGAACGATGATGACGCTTATGATCACCTCTAGCTCTCACCAAAGGAGAAATCGTTGCTGCATCTGTAACAAATCATCATATTTAGATCATAATCAAACATAATCAAACATAACCTAACAAAATTTTATAACTGCTATTTTTTTTAAGGTTGGAATTCACTTACTTGATTCTGCATACAAGCAGCACACCACGAACGCAAAAACAATAGAAATCTTCATTGTTACTACTTGTCAAGTAATGAACAAGAAATGAAACAATAATTCTGAGTCTGAAGTGTATTGCAGTTTATATAAGCCGAAAAGAAATGCAAAAATTTTTTGTTAAATAGTTTAGTATAGTTAGCAGAGTCAATTTTGGTTAAAAGTATTCTAAACCGACGAAAAACGCATTAAACTTGCTTCTGAAAATGTTTAAGCATGTTAGAATGGAATTCGCAGTTATTATTTTAAATAGATTTTTATCAAAAGGAATTATTAAGTAAAGTTAAGTTAAGATAGTTGCAGTTGCATAAACATGTAATTTTCTTGTTATTTAAAAATTTTCCAGGAATTAAAATGAAGTATAAATTAAAAAAATTAAATTATGCATTGAGTAAGCAAAAATACAACAAAACACTTTTTGATATTAGTGGAACCCATTTTTCTACAACTGATTCTGCGTCATTAATTATAATAGAAAACTTTGTATTTGTGTTCTTTTATTCTCCCGCAAGATAATCCATATACGCAAATATGTTTGTCTTTTTTTAATGTAGTTTAGTGCCTTTTTAGAAAAGTTTTCACTTCAAAAAGTATCCCATTACCTTCTCCTGGCCCTAAGCTACCTCTCCACCAATTTTTAGCTAAATTGGATTAGCCGTTCTTTAGTTATAAGCAAGGTAACTAACACGACTTTATTTTATATATATATATATATATATATATAGATTTGCTTGTTTTTTTCTATACCTGACGCATTATTTTCTAAAACCCCATTCTAGTATAACCTCTTTTCCTAAAAATGATTCTGCATTTTTTGTTTTTGGCAGACTTAGTTTTAAATTAGGTTTTCCATTAAAATATAATTTATTCTTAGAATTTGCCTTGCTAATTGTAGATTTTAACCCATTTTTAGATTTTTGATTATTCTTAGACATAGAAAAAACCTAAGCTCCAGCTTCAAGAATTCTAATTTATAATCCCTACTAATATTATAAATGCGAAAGTCCTGATGTTTGTTACACTTTCACGCAAAAATTACTTAACCGATCATCATGAAAATTTGTACACATATTCTTAGTGGTCCCCGAATGGTTATAGGATACTTTTTATTTAATAAAAAGAAATATTTTTTAAATAAAATAAAGAAATTGTTTAGCCAATAATATCTCTGCATCTGGCTAATTGACTACTTTAACGCCATCTAGCATTCCAGCAATGAAGCTCAAACCTAAGTACTATAGTACCATCACACTGTATTATCACACTGTATTACCGACAGCTACGTCAACATCAAATCCAATTGACTACACTATGAAGACTGTACACTATACTTCCATAGACTATACTTTCAGCCATTTTAAACTTCCCGCCATTCTACTTCATTGTTACTTCTTATGTGACTACAGACGCGTACGGAGGCAACTTCATTATTTTAGATATTCGCGAGCGAAGCCGCGGGTTAAAGCTAGTTTTACATAAATTTTTATCTTTAAGGTAAGAAAAAATAAAATAAAATAAAACACTTTTTGAAATCAATCTGTGTTTATATTTCTGCAACCGTAACAACATTTCCTAATAAGTACACAATTCCCTTACTCAACCACTTTTCTAAATCTGATATTCTCCATCTACATCATCATCTCAACATCATCATCTGTTTTCTTCAGAATTAGTTCTTAGAATGGTCCTTGGCTTTAGAATGCACCTTACTCTTAGAATGCACTTTACTCTTTGAATGAGCCTTGTTAGTAGAAGCTCCCTTGGACTTTTGATTAGCTTTGGACTTGGACTTCGACTTGGACTTGGACTTGGACTCAGAATGAACTTTAACTCTAGTTTCCGGGGGTCCGTACGTAAAGTCATCATCAATACCAAAATCGTCATTATAATCATCAGTTACTATATCGACATTATTAATGTCACACATTCTTAGATCAGCGAGGTTATAATTTGGACATTCTTGATCAAAATTGATCAGGACATTACAGATGGTACCTAAAACAAATAAAATAATGTAAATAATAATTGTATATGGTTTATAACTTTCAAAGGATAAAAATCTCCAAAAACACAAAAAAATTGAGAGAAAAAAGAAAAAATATGGTTTTGTGCAACACTATGAGCAAATTCGCAGGTGCAAGCTCCACCCCGTGACTGAAACGTGACTAAAGCCTAAAGCCCGTGACTAAAGTACTTTAATCACAGTCTTGATTGTTCGGGTTAAAAATACCACTTTTTGTGCTTCAAAACCGTAAAAAACAACCGTTTTAAAAATAAAATTAGAAAAAAAAATGGTTTTTAACGTACCTGTTGTATCTTCTTGATTAATAAACAATCGGAAAACAGGAGCAGCTAAACTGCATAGAAAAGATTTGAATTCCGCTTGGCCTCCATACGGAAAAGCATTATAACTTGGTAAGAAAGGAAATCGATCTATCAAAAACATATTAATTTTAATAATTTACACAATTAATTGTTTATAACTAATAACAAATAATTATTACGTCCAAGTGTTGCTGCAAAGCAGCCCACGACGATTGTTGCAACAAGAGTGAATTTCATGTTGATGTGTTTACCAAATGGCAAATTGAACTGATGAATTAGCAATTTGTTCATGTATTTATAGTGGAATAAAACATGGAAATATGCTGCTTGTAATCGTAAATGTTGTTATTGGTAATTAAGTGCTGGTGATTCGGATGGTAACAATGCAAAGAACGCCGAATTGAAGTCATATGACTTTGAGATATGACAAAATCACATGGAAATTGAAATGCTCGTATAAGGAAATATAGTATGATGGAAGTATTACTTATGAACAAAAAGACATGTAATAAAAGTGTTAGATTTATTGTTTATTACATTTTCTTAGAAATTGATAAGTTATAGTATAGTACTCATATGTTAAATATCGAATAAGGAATTTAAATAAAATTATTTTCTTTTTTTTTTTGTATATCAAGAAATAAAGCAATAAGATTATTAGGTTATGTATTAAATAGACCTTAAAATAGTTTAAAACATTTTGAAATATTTATTTGAACTATAACTTTCGATTTTTTTAAAATAAAATGCTCTTTGCTGTTAAATTTTGATATGTTTTGTGTCTATTTGTGAGATTTTGTTGCATTAAACTAGGTTATGTTTGAATGCTTTAAGTTTTTATTATTTTTATTTGTTATTTAAATGTTAATAATGCATTATTTTCCTTTCAAATTATTATATTAAAACATTAAACATATATTTTTCACATGTTTTATACAATAAATAAGATAATTTTTCAAGAATTGTTAGTTTAATTTGTAAAATATTACATTTTATCATGTTTCTAACTACATTTTCCTGAAATTCTTACATTTTGAAAGTTATTTGATATACTGTGTAATGGTAAGTATTAAATAATATATTTTCATAGAATTAAATACTCTATTCTAGTCTCTAACAAAACATAACCTACTTTTAGATCTATTTTCTTCTTTCTTTTAGTTTTATTTGCATTTTAATCATTTTTGACTACATTATTTAATTAAATAAATAAAAGATTATTTTTCTCAATATTCCAACACCTTTATTTCCCTTTTAACAATAAAATAACAACAAATAAAAAATAATATTCCTGTAAGAACTCATCAACTCATAATCAAACAAATCCACCTAATATCTACACATTACTCAAAAACCATGATCTACCAATTAACAAAACTAACAAAAATACCATTTTCTATAAGTCCATTTATTTATTGTACATTATTTATACTTTTAACAGCTTAATGCTTGCTCTTAGAAGCTGCTTTGCTCTTGGAGTGAGCAGACTTGCTCTTCGAATGTGCCTTATTCTTGTTATGAGCCTTGCTCTTAGAATGAGCCTTGTGGGACTTCGACTTGGACTTAGCTCCCTTGGATTTATGGGAAGCCTTGGATTTATGATTGGCTTTAGACTTGGAAGCAGCCTTGGACTTAGCATGGACCTTAGCTCTGGTATCCGGGTTGGTTTCATCACCACCTTGAGTTTCATCGGGGTTGGTTACATCGGTATCAGGGTTTTGGGTGTCATCTCCATCAGTATTGGGATCTTGACCATCTTGACCATCAGTGTTTGGGTTTCCATCTTGGTCACCATCAGTGTTGGGTTCTTCAAATGGATTATGAGTTTCATTATCATCATTATCTTGATCTTGATCTTGATCGTCTCCATCTTGAGGAAGCTCAAAAGGGTCGTTATCAACATCACCAACGGGTTCCCTACCTTCGTCGTCTCCTTGTCCTTCATTGTCGTTATCATTATTAACCACCTCGCAATTCTTTTGGGCGGCAAAGTTATGATTTGGGCATTCTCGGTCAAAAGAGATCAGGGCATTGCAGATGTCGCCTTAAAAGGAATAAAAAGCAAGGTTAGAGATGTTATGTTGTTTATAACTAAAGAATAAAAGATTTTTTGAGTGTTTTTTAACCTCAAATAACTATTAAAACATCAAAATAGTTCAGAAAAACACAAATTTAAAGAAGAAGAAAAGATTTCTAGGTTAGGTTATGACATTTGACAGCTGATTTTGAAAGAATTGTTATTTATATCAATCACGGAACCTAATCTAACCTAAAATGCTTAAATTTCAAAATATTTAAAGAAAAAAACAACTTTTAGGTTGTTATGTCGTTTGACAGCTGATTTTAAAATCACTGCTTTCTATATCATACTTCTAACATAACCTAACTTAAAACACTTAAATAATTCTATAAACAATTAACTTACCAGTAGTATCATCCACTTTAGTCAATTCCTCAAAAAGTGGAGCAAGAATTCTGCACAAAATGCCCTTGAGAGGATTTGCTGGTCCATAACCAATATCCTGATCATGGCCATAAGGTCCCCATGGATCTAATCAACAATAAAATACAACAGTTAAATTAAGTTAAGCAAAACTTTTTTTTTAATTAATTAATTAATTAATATATTTATTACGTCCAAATGATACTGCAAAGCAGCTCGCCACGACCGTTGCAACCAGAGTGAATTTCATGTTGGTGAATTTACCAAAAAAAGACTGAAACTGAACTGATGTTGAATTGGCAATTTGTTTAACTATTTATACTCGTATAAAACGTGTTAAATACGCAGCTTATCATCGCAAATGTTGTTATTGGTAACTAAGTGCCGGTGATTCGAATGTGAAAAATGTGAAGAACGCCGAAATCTTGTCAGTTATATGATAGTGATATGACGAAATCACGTGAAAATGGAAATATAAGTATTGTGAGGGAAGTGTTCATACCTACTAGTTATGAACAAAAAGACAGGTGATATAAGTAATAGATTTATGGTTTATTGCATTTTCTGGAAAAGTGATAAGTTAAAAGTTTAATATGTTCAGTCAGTAAATATGAAAATTCATTTTGTTTTACTTTATTTTTATGTTCTTCGGGAATGTGAAGCATTTTTGAGGTTAAACATAAGTCAAATGTAGTTCGAAAATAAGAAGCTATATAATAAATAAATAAATAAATAAATAAATAAATAAATATGTATGATTTTAATATTGTTTTATTGCTACACTCTGTATTTTTTAGATATTTTTTTGTTGTATTACTTCACGTGTCAATCACTTTGTTTTTTGTAGCTAGAATTTGTTGTTGTCATATTATGTCTGTTAAATTATATTGTGAGGTTAGGTTAGGTTATGTTAAAGTTTTATAAAATGAAGGAGTTAAAAACTAAAGCATTAAAACGTAAATATAAATGATCAATAATGATTTATTTAATAATTTAATTCAATACATCAATTTTTTAGTAATCAGTTTTAGATATTTTTCTAAAACTCCACCATACTTAACCTCTTTTGTTCCTCTGTTTTTAATTCACTCAATTTCAAGCATTTATACTGTTATTATTTTTGTCTGAAAAAACATAACCTAGAATTAGATCAATACAAAAACATTTTTTTCTTAAAAATCATCTAACAATACAATTTTTTCCTAAAAACATTACTTTTTCTAATTTCTCTTAAATTTTCTAAAATCAGATATACCTACTAACGCCATCCCTACATCAATAGGCATAAAGTTATGTCAATACTAGCTTTAACCCTTGGCTTCGCTCGCGAATATCTAAAATAATGAAGTTGCTTCCGTACGCGTCTGTAGTCACAAAAGAAGTAACAATGAAGTAGAATGGCGGGAAGTTTAAAATGGCTGAAAGTATAGTCTATGGAAGAATAGTGTACAGTCTCCATAGTGTAGTCAATTGGATTTGATGTTGACGTAGCTGTCGGTAATACAGTGTGATAATACAGTGTGATGGTACTATAGTACTTTGGTTTGAGCTTCATTGCTGGCATGCTAGATGGCGTTAAAGTAGTCAAATAGCCAGATGCAGAGGTATTATTGGCTAAACAATTTCTTTATTTTATTTTTAAAATATTTTTTTATTAAATAAAAAGTAGCCTATAACCATTTGGGGACCACTAAAAATATGTGTTCAAATTTTCATGATGATCTGTTAAGTAGTTTTTGCGTGAAAGTGTAACAAACATCAGGACTTTTGCATTTATAATATTTGTAGGGATATAACTATTTGCAAAAACATAACCTAGAGTTTGATAGATATAAAAATATTTTTTTCTCAGAAATCATCAACTTAACACAACAAATTTTCCCTAAAAAACAATATTTTTTCCAATTATTTTTAAATTTTCTAAAATCACGTCGACTAACGCCATCCCTACATCAATAGATATAAAATAATATTTAAAAAGCATGATATTACGTTATTTATAACCAAATAACGATTGATATCCAGGATTAATATTTATGATTTTTAATTTCAAAGATTTGTCTTTGTTCCAAATATCAAAATAACTACTAAAACATTAAAAATATTCAAAAACAAAACAATTTTTAACAAAATAAAACTCTCAATAAGGTTATGTTATGTTAATTGATTTAATATCGTACCAGGATAACTAATCAACAAATAATATAATAAATTAAACACTAACTTTATTCCAACACCGTTTATTCCCTTTATTAACAATATCAACCTCCCCCAAAATAGCAACAAATAAAAAATTATATTTCTGTAAGTCTCAACAACTTATAATCAACCAAATCAACACATAATATCTACACCTCACACCTCATCACCATGATCTACAAATTAACAAAACTAACAAAAATATCATTTTCTATAAGACCATTTATTTATTGTATATTGTTTATACTCTTAACGGCTTAGTGCTTGCTCTTAGAAGCTGCTTTGCTCTTGGAGTGAGCAGACTTGCTCTTGGAATGTGCCTTATTCTTGTTATGAGCCTTGCTCTTTGAATGAGCCTTGTGGGACTTAGACTTAGACTTAGCTCCCTTTGATTTATGGGAAGCCTTGGATTTATGATTGGCCTTTGACTTGGAAGCAGCCTTGGACTTGGCATGGACCCTAGCTCTGGTATCCGGGTTGGTATCATCACCACCTTGAGTTTCATCGGGGTTGGTTACATCGGTGTCAGGGTTTTGGGTATCATCTCCATCAGTGTTGGGATCTTGACCATCTTGACCATCAGAGTCTGGGTTTCCATCTTGGTCACCATCAGTGTTGGGGTCTTGGTTTTGGTCATCATCGGGGTTTTCGTTGTCGTCAGTTCCTGGTTCTTGGTTTTGGTCACCACCATCATCACCACCATCATTACCATCATCATTTGCACCTGGGCATTGATTGGCGGTAGATAATCCAGCATCTGGGCAGATTCTGTCAATGACATTGAAGATACCACAGAAGGCATCTTTATAAACAAACGAAAAATAATATTTAGTAACAATTAAATTATTTAAACAATTAATATTAATACTTACGATTGCCAGGATCTGCTTCGTACATGCCGTCACCGAAAGAGGTCACTAGACGGCATAGTAGGGATTGTGGAGGTCTATTGTCAGCAGGATCTGTCAAATTTGAAAATTTAAATCAAATCTTTAATATTTTACATTTATTTTCACCCTCAATAACAAATCACTCATTAAAACCTTAAAAAATCCTCGAAAAACACGTTAAAAACAAAAAAGAAGCTTTCAATTGAGGTTATGTATATTTTATGACGTTTGACAGCTTAGTACTTACGGGCAAATGTGGCTGACATGCAGCACACTGCAACTACAGCAGAAACAAGCGCGAATTTCATATTGAATGTGCTTTAAACTGAATTTAAACTGAATAATGGCGCACGACTAATGTCTAACGAGCACCTTGTTTGCGTATTTATAGGCGAATAAATGCGCTTATCACAGCGTAATTGGTTAATTTTATTTTCGCCGTGTGCTTTTCCAACGAAGGTATGCCAACCACGCCGAAATTTTGTCATACTCGTAGGCTGTGATGTCACTGCAATGCTTCAGGAAAAAACTGACATTAGTTTACTAACTGATTATATTAGCAACAAATACTTGTTTAAAACTTAAAGTTTTCCTATAAACTCGTAATATATGTTGTTTGTCTAACATAACATAACCTAAAATGCATAGATTGCAGACAATGTCCATATTTTTAGGTTAAAATTGATTTTTAAGGTTATTTTAAGGTTAGAAACTTGTGTTTTACTTAGTAACACGTACTATACTATAAAGTATGGTTTATAACCTTTTTCTAACCTATTTTATTAAAGCGTTTTTGATATAATTGTTCAAACATTGATGTATTTTCTATTTTTATCTACAAAAACATAACCTATATCTTTTAAGTAGCATAATGTAGCCTAAAATGCGTAGAACGAGGAACTTTTGTCATTTTCAAACTAAAATGTGATTTTATAATTATTTTAAGGTTAGAAATTGATGTTATACTAAGTGGAACGTGCCGCATTATTAGATGTCATTCAGAATCTGTTTCTAACCTATTTTATTCAACTATTTTAGATATAAATGTTCAAACAATGATATAAATAGCATTTTTATCTGCTAAAACATAACCTATGTCTTTTCAGTAGCATAACATAGCCTAAAATGATTAGAACAAAGAAATGTTGTCATTTTTAGGTTAAAATATTATTTGATGCAGTTTTTAGGTTTGAAATTGATGATCAACTTAATAAAACGTACTGTATAATGTTTTTTAAAATAATTATAAATCATACTTAGAAAATAAATTATAGTTTAACGCAACGTAAAGAAAATTAAATAAATTTTTAACATTTTGAGCGTTTTTATGTGTTATTATTACAATTTTCTTCTAGAAGTAATAAAAGTAAACACTCTACTAAAAAACGTACGTTTTTCAAATGTTTTTCGACATATTAAACCAAAAAAATCAGTATTTTTGTATTATATTACATTTATATTATAAACTAGCTTTTGCCCGCGACTTTGTCTCGGTAGTGTTTAATAAAAATGTAATTCGTTTTTACTCTCTTGTTCTAGACATAGTATGTATCAATTCTATCAATAAGATTCGCAATTTTATTTTAAACAAATAAATTATATAAAGAATAGCTAATAATGCACTTCAGCACGCCATCTCGGATTCAACTATTTAACTGTAACTATGATTGAATCTCAATGCCAACTTTTATCCTATAGAAAAGGACTGTCTTTAGGGTTTTTCCGGCAATTATTCGAATTTTTCTCGCCGTAAAAACCATCCTTGGACTTTAACAAACATTTTAAAAAAAGAATTGGCCAAATTGGTCTAGGCGTTGTTGAGTTATGCGCTTACCAACACATTTTGCGATTCCATATTATAGATAGATTTCTTAATTTACTTTATTATAAAAACGTTTTAAAAACGTCGATAATCCACAAATATTCAATATATTTTTAGCATTTTTACAATTATTATCATCAACAATTGAGTCATAGTCGCGTACGTTAGATAATATTACTAGTACTACGTTTTGTTTGCTTTATCTTCACAAAAATGTAAAAAATCAAAGGAATCTTAAGGATAAATCCATAAACTCGAGCGTAGCAACAAAGCACTTGTGCAAATATATTATTTTCATGTGTTTTTATGTTTTTACTTTGGATTTTCAGCATAGAAAAACATTTAAAACGCATTTAAAAGTATAGAAATGCACTCTTATGCCCTTCGCAGGGTCACTACTCTTGCAACATGCATGTTTTCTACATGTTTACAACAGATAATAACAAGCTACATAAATGTTTTACATATTGCGACATATTTTTACGCATTCTAACACTTTTGAAGACATTTTCTTGTGTTTTTATGTGTTTTTATGCGTTTTTATGCGTTTTATACGTTTTCACGAGTATAAATATGTCGGACATGGGTGGACAAGGCATCAGTCGATCAATACATGTTTTGAGAACATCAACAATCACCTAGAACATTCAAGAAATCAATTTTTTCCAAATCAAAATGAAATTCGTTTACTTTTTGTCTGTTTTTGTCGTTTTGGCGATGCAATATGCATCAGGAGCTCCTGGTTTGTATAAAATACATTATAATATTTATATTTTGAGGTTATAAATTATTTTTGGTTATGTTTTGTTTAGCTACCGAGCAGGAATCTCAATCACAGCTTGATAAAGTGGCTGCTGCTCTGCAACACATTCAAAATATGGCTGATGGTTTACCGCTGATTACTAACATGACGCAACAAGTGTTGACCGAATTGGAATTGTTCCGTGGATCCGGATTGTTCTTTGCTAATCCCTGCTCGTTCTTCCAGGGTATTTTCCGTACATTCTATTGTACCATTGCTTCTTTTGATCCACAAAGGAGTAACGCTGCCGTTCAAGGTAATATAATTTTTTTAATTTGTTATTTTCAACGCTCTGTAACTTTTGATACAGATCAGGTAGAAGTTTCAAATAAGTTTCATTTAATAGATAATTTATTTCTTTATAAGAATCAAGTTCAATTTATTTTTTAAATTAATTAAAAGTAGGGAATTATTAACTTTTAATGCAAATTGTCATAAAATAATTGTAAAAAAATATTATTCATATTTAACACCCTGTAACTTTTGATGCAGATTATCTAGAAACCTCAAATAAGCTTCATTTGATAGAAAATTTATCTGTCTATAAATATCAGCTTTAAAAATTCAATATTTTCAACTGATAGTAGATTATTTTTAAAATTTAATTAAATTTTGCTTTTTGAAGTTTTTTATTTAAGTAAAAAGTAATGCTTAACTTTAACACCTTGTAGTTTTGTCTACACGGTGTTGACAAAATCAAAAAAAACCTTATTGGATAGATAAATTATTCATTTATAATAATCACTATAAAATTTATCAAATATTTTATTAAAACTAGCATATTTTAAACTTTTTCCAAAATGTTGCTAAAACTCGTTCAAAAAACTTTGTTCAACTTCTACTTCCCGTAACTTAGGTTAAAATCATCCAAATTTATTCAAATTTTTCTCATTTGATAGATAATTTAATAATCTATATACTATTATATTATTTATAGGAGTTCTCCAGTTTTTGAATGCCAACAACATGTTCTACAACTTTGCGTCCAACTTCTTCTGCCCATTCCAACTTTTTGGCGGTGGTGGTAGCTCTGGCAGCACCCCTGGCGGTGCCCTAGGTGGAACCACTGCAACCATCAACTGTGCTAACAATGGAGCCACTGGAAGTTCCGGTTTCACCGCCAACCTGGACGATCCCTCTGTATTTATGACTTTGTAAACACAGCAAACAAAACTAACGACAACCACGATAAAACCTTGGCAAAACATGGCAAAACTATACAAAATGTTATTATTATTAGTTATTTATTAGAAACTGTGTTCATGATGATGATTTATTGATTCTTACTGCAATAAAAAATTAATTATACAAATTAATTAGTTTCATTATATATGAATTAAAACAAAAATTTAATTTTTTTCAATTTTGAAAGCAATTTTCGAGCTTTTGTAGGCATTTTAAAAAGAAAAACTTGATTATTTGCGATAGAGAAACTCTTCTTCTATAAACTCGTGAAATCCAGATGTAAATTGGGTGAATGAATCAAAATATATAGGGTTTTACAAAAAAAATTGCAAAATTTAGGTAAATTATTCTACTTTAAAGTCAATTTTAGATCATTTTCCCTCCCCGTAAAGACAAAAAAACATAACAAATGCATAATTAACTCACCTGCTATCAAACATTAATACTAGCACAAAAATTAATCTATAAAATCGCCAAATTCAGAGTGTTTTACACTTTGCAATCAAAAACTTCATAAAAAACACGCGTAGATTCAATAATATATTTACCAGGGAATAATAAAGCAACTATCGTGTTATTTATTAGTTAAAACTAATATTTCTTAACATACTGGGTGTTTTACTTTGACAAACATTTTGAGAGTCACTCATTTAAATAATAAATGTTTATTTGGTTGCCGTAAGATGTCAGCGCGTACTGAATCAAATTTCAGTATAACTTTCCACCGCCAGATGGCAGCACCCCACCCTTGTAGATCAAGCCGCGTCCTGTAATAGTTCTTTCGCCATCGTCGAGCACACGCAGTAAGTTCCATTCCGCATAAAATCCAATAAAAATCTTCAATCATCGGCGAAAATACGCATCATTTCTGCGTACAATCGCGAATTAATGATAGTTTAACATCTCACGCAACAATCGGTAAAGATATTTGGTTCAATATAATTGAAACATTCAACACTTTGTCGATTGTTATTGCCGTGACAATTGTTAGGTTAACTTTGTGAAAACAGACGTGTTTGAAAAGTGTTGTGTGGTGTTCCTGTGAATGATTCAAAGTGCTAATAATATTGTGGTGTTTTAGATGGCTCCCACACCTGCGAAGCCCGCTGCGGGCAAACCCGCCGATAAAAAGGTGAAGACCGACAAAAAGAAGGCGCAGATCCGCCCGCGGAATCAAGACTTAGGTAACGGCATTGTGCGCTTCTCACGCACTCGCATGTACCACAAGAAGGCTCTGTGGAAGTTCATGGGCAAGAAAGTCGACGCGCCCAAGAAGGAAGTGAAGGGATCCACTGTTGAGAAGCAAATTGGTGGTGATAAAAATGGTAAAACACGCATGGTTGCCATCAAGAAGCATCGTGCTTTCTATCCCACACTTGACAAGTAAGAAAAACACCAAAAAGTATCAATAAAAATACATTTTGTATTATTTTAGGATCAAGAAGCGCCCAGCTAAGGGTTTGTTCAAGCGACACAAGCGCGCAATCCGCGATACCCTTACCCCCGGCACAGTTCTCATTGTTCTCGCCGGTCCACACAAGGGTAAACGTGTTGTCCTCTTGAAACAGCTCTACTCTGGTTTGTTGTTGATCACCGGACCCTTCAAAGTGAACGGCTGCCCGCTGCGTCGCATCAGCCAGCGTTACGTTATTGGTACCGCCACCAAGTTGGACATTTCCGGCGTGCAGCTGCCTGAGAACATCAACGACGAGTACTTCCGTCGTGAGCGCAAGAAGCGCGCGAAGAAGGAGGAGGGTGAGATCTTCGCCGCCAAGAAGGAGGCGTACAAGGCGAGCGAGCAGCGTAAGGCTGACCAGAAGGTGGTCGATAAGGCGATCAACGAGGTTATCCGTAAACACCCCGAGAGGAAGCTGTTGTTCGGTTATTTGGGCACCATGTGGGGACTCAGGTCGTCGCAGTATCCCCACCGGATGAAGTTCTAGAGTTTTTAGACTATTCATTTATAAGAAGACAGAAAATGATGATGGGGGAATAAAGCGATCGCGGGTTTATTAAAGAATTGAGTTTTTTAATAAATCGTGCGACTATTTCGTTCATCAAGAGATATAATTTTGTCACTGTGTCCTTTGCAACACATCCTTGATTTTATTTTCATGCTTTGTTTGTCAATATAGGTGTTTTTTAGTGTTTTGTTTCAGGTTGAACTGAAGAAAGAATTTTATTAAGAGGTAATTTATATTTTTGTTTGTTTATAATTTTTGTATTTTGTGAGTTTATTTATTTCTTGTGCTTTAAATGGGAAAATTACATAATTTTGGTTTTATTTTACAGGTTTTGGGTCTTTTCTTGATAATAAGGGCTGTGGACAGAATTTGTTTATAGAAGGTACCATTTTATTTATTTTTTTGTTTATTTCAATGATGAATGCTTATTTAAAATGATGAATAAACTTAGGACACCTTAAGATAAATAATGATAGCAACAAGTTAATACAACCTGAATAATAACTTGTATTTATCTATATTTCTTGATAAATATGGACAAATCACTAATTATTATTTTGCTTTTCAGATTTGGTCTTCTACTGTTGGAAACCATCATAACTCATTAAAACTTGAATACAGAAAAGGTAAGATTTGGTATTTTTTATTTATATTTTGATTCTTTGTTTAAATAAAATGATGAATAAACTTAGGACACCTTACGATTAATAATGATAGCAGCAAAGTTAATACAACCTGAATAATAACTTGTATTTATCTATATTTCTTGAAAAATATGAACAAATCACTAATTATTATTTTGCTTTTCAGATTTGGCCTGCAACTGTTGGGAATCATTGTAGCCCATTAAAAATTTGGTACAGAAAAGGTAAGATTTGATCATTATTGTTTATATTTTAGTTCATGGTTTAAACAAAATGATGAATAAACTTAGGACACCTTACGATTAATAATGATAGCAACAAATTTAAAAATACTGAAAACCATTGCTCATTGTTGTATATTTTCATGATGTGCATTCACAGATTACTAAATTCTACTTTATTTTGCAGTTATTGGACCTGCCAATACCTGTATTATTCCCTGCTGCTTATGACTTTGTTACTGAGGAGGTAAGATTTTAGTATTTCTTGTATATCTATTTAAATTAGTGTTTAATTAAATGATGAATAAACTTAGGACACCTTAAGATTAATAATGATAACAACAAAGTTAAAAATACTGAAACCTACTTCCCATTGTTGTATCTTTTCAATGAGTATTCTCAGACCACTAAAATTTACGTTATTTTGCAGTGATTGCACCTATCATACCATGGATCCTAACAATGCAAGACTTTGTTATTAATAAGGTAAGATTTGATCATTTTCTGTACCTATTTTAATTAGTGTTTAAATAGAATGATGAATAAACTTAGGACACCTTACGATTGACCATGATAGCAAACAAGTTGATAAATAGTCTGATATTAATCATTTTCATCAACTTTTCTGCTTGCAAACTTTAATGGAAATTTACTAATTTTCATTTTATTTCACAGAGTTTATTCATTTCTTGAAGAGCACCAAGGTTATATCCAGCAACTGTTAGTTTGAATGAGGTAAGTTTCTTATCTATCTCACTTGCTTTTATGTCTTGTAAGTAAAATGATGAGTATACTTAGGACACCTTACGATTGACCATGATAGCAAACAAGTTAATAAGTACTGAAAACAACTTTTTTAAACTTTGTAATTGATTTACTTTGATTCTGTTACTGATCATCAGGTTATTTCGCAGATTTTCTACTTTTCCCACGGAAATACACCAAGCCATAGATTTAGATGCAGTGAAGAAGTAAGTTTCTCTTATTTTTGGCATGCTTTTAGTTTTCTTGTCAGTATAAATATAATGATGAATATACTTAGGACACCTTACGATTAACCATGATAGCAAACCAGTACATGCACTGAAAATAACTTATTTTTGCCTTTGCAATTAATTTATATTGAATCTGTTACTAATCTTCGCCTTTTTACAGATTTACTACATTTCTCTTCTAAGAGCATCACAACTGCGAAGTTTCTACTGCAGAAGGTATGTTTTTATTACTTGGTGAATGTTTTTGGTTTTATTTACTGTTAAAATATAATGATGAGTAAACTTAGGACACCTAACGATTGCCCATGATTTAAACAAAGTTAATTATTTCTGAGATATTCACTTCAATGTTACCGACGTACACGAAGTGGTGAATATATTACTAATTTAAACCGTTTTATGTTATTTTAGTGGCTGCAATGATGATGACAGACACACTTATTAAACGGACTAATCAGGAAGGTATGTTTATCTATGTTAACTATTTTAATAAAGGGGATTGATTGAACTTTTGAATTAACATTACTCTGTACCCACGAAAATTACCTATGATATTCCTGGATTAACTAAACAGACCATGGTCTTGTCTTCTGATCTAAATGTAATTGTTTGGTGCACAAGATACTCACCTCCTTTATATTCCTTTACACTTTTAAATGTTTGCGTTGAAGTCATTAACACCTTCCACATTATGTGATTCTCATCTTACCTGTTCTTCAGGAGGCACTGAAAATCAACAGCGACGTTCTTATTTATCCATGCTTGTGGTTTTCATGCACTTCTAGGGCTGATTTGTAGTTACTTCGAACTAATTGCAAGTATTTGTCAAGTTTCGTTCACTACAATCACAACTAGAAAATTTGTAGGTTATAAATTTGAATTTCAAATGACATTTACTCGGCGTCCTGTGATTGGTCGTAGGGTCAGCCATCATGGAATTACTGTGACGTCACAGAATAAAATCCATGATGGCCGCTTTTCCGGCACTCTGATTGGCCGTTGCTAAGCGCGTCGATTCAGGAAAATTTCCCTAGCAACCAATCAAAATCGAATATATTAATAGCGCGAAATTTGAAAGTGTTCAAACTTATTTCTACGATTACTTGTTTCAATTCGATGTTATTTATTCTTACATGCAGAGAAACACTAGAAAACAGACAGGTGTTAAGAAAAGACAATATTGTGTATATTTTAACATGTTATTGTTATTGTATTGCGTCTAATAACGCTGTCGTTGTAATAGTTGACTTGTAATAATTCTCCTTTTTTGCTTTCAGTCTCTAAATATTGCTCCATATACGCAATTGAGTGACATAAACGGTCAATGAAATAATAAAAACACTTATTATCAGTTATTTTTCTCAAGATTATTCATGTTTACCCCAGAAAATGAGAAAATAACAATATTTATGTTTATATAACTTTATTACTATATTTATTTAATAATAATTAACATTTAATGACGTATACTTTTATAATTTTAGTGAAAAAAGCAAATTAACACATTAGAAATACCCTAAATCATTCATAACTCGTCCAACTTTGAGTATAATTTCATCCTTAAAGTCCCATTTTCTCGCTTCAAATATTTTCCTTTTTCTACAATCGATCTTATCATCTGGGCATTTATCTAAGTGTTGTTCCACGTTGGCAATTGATAACGGTACATCATGGGACACAATCTTACCGGATAGACTCATAAACGGATAGTGATTATGTATCATAACCATTGTTTGAGTATTAAATAAACATTTTATACTAACAGTTTGATCTTTTTCAGGTTTAACACGATATACACTATTTAAAAACGTCAGAAAACCAGGCAAACCAAACAAATTTTCATCCCCAGTTGAGCTGATTTCCTGAATAAAAGGTACTCTTTGCAATACATAAGCATCTTTATCCTTGGGCATGTCTTTAAGTACCTCCTGAAGAGTAGATTTACTGGTATCTTTAACCATTGGTATTTCATCAAGTTCCACAGGTATGACATATTCATATCGATACATATTCCGTAAAAGACAATCATTGAACGCTATCAAATCAAATTGTATGTTATATCGTGGTGATTGATGGAAAATATGTTGAAGGTGAGGCGAATTAGGATCATTCCCTGCCAGGTGTAACTTAGCTTGAGTTATGAACCCTTTCTGGGTGTAGTAATCTAATACTTTTTGAGTAGACTCATGCAGATGGTACACCGTCATGTAAACATGTTGCACACCCATTTGTTTCAACCATTCTGCCCATTCTATCATCTGCAGAGACTTATCTTCAAATTCAGACACACCCTTGACACAAACACATATTTTAGCATCAGGTGTACCTTCTGGTATGTTCTCATCATGTTCATAAGTGACTTTTAGTAGATTAGTTGCTTTAGCACAGGGTTTACCAACCAAAGACACTGCTTCAGGGATATATTGATAGTTTTCTGGTAAGACACATGTCAACATGTAAGGATGGTAGGTAGATTTCTGTGGTTTACCCCAATAGTCCCTCCAGAGGTAATCCACAGCGAATACTTTAGTCATAATGGGTTGTTGTGAGTGTTTGGACCATATTTGACAGTAAACATCAGGAAACAATAGTTTATCATTGATTTGAGTATCAACTGAGACCATACCAAGTATTCTAATGACAGACCCAAGTTGGTTTGCATCCCTGTTGTCTAAATATGCAGAATATAACTGAAAACTTGCATCTGGGAGTGTTAACAACTGCCAGTCAACATTAACAAACTTCAGGTCGATTAATTCAGGTATCTGGGCACAGGTTTCGTTGTACCGCAAGGTCTTACCTTGTTTTTGAACTTGGTCATACCAGAAATACCCTGCTAGGTTTACCTGCTCTTTAGATAAGTTTTCATAGAATGTTTCTTCATCTATTCTCGTTTTTATTGGTATATCAACATGTTGAACCAGTTTGGGACCAAACACAGTCTTCAGGTGTGTCCGGATATTATCCACAGGGGTATACCCGTTGATTCTGGTTATATCAACTATTAATATTAGTAATAATAGTGAAATTAAACATAGTAATAACGCAAAGACAATTTTTTGTTTCTGGCGCATGCAGCACAACAGCGCGCGCACACGCATCATGGTTGAATGATGTTATCGCCGATGTTATCACTGATTCAACAAAGAATGCATGTAATTAAAAACGTGATCAACAATAAATCGTTAGCATGTTTTTTCTTCCCTACTATTTAGTCAAGTTCCATTTACGATTATTTTATTATATTATATTATCAAGAGATGTTATTATCGCAAGGCCGTAAATACTTTCTGGTGTGCAGTATCGGGATCACCTTCTTAGTGTACCTGAATTACTTCAGTTTACTTGGTAGGCTTTCAAAATGGAAGGATTACACACGGGTGAAAACCTGGGAAGGATTAAGCGAATTACAAGAAATAACTTCATTGGCTCTCAAAAGACCTAACCTACCTGTAAAGTTCTGGTATGCCCATCGTCAGTTTGATATGAAATACAATGACACGTGTGCAAACTTCCCGGATATCACAGAAATAGAATATGTGCATGAATATTGGCAGATTTTGGAAACACCTGAAGGTAATGTCAAACTTATAGGAGCATACCTTGATGATAGACCTGAGATTAATACTGTGAGACTGTTGACAATGATTGATAAACGACATCCTGTGAAGATGGATACCTGGTGTCAGTTTTGGTTCCATGATCAAAGACAACCTGTTATTGTCCCTGTAGAAGAATACTTTTATGTTTGGAATGAATATTGGTACCAGAAACCTGATGGTGAGTTCCAACCGTATTTATTGTCATGTAAACTACCTCCAGAGTTGAGTTTTGCGGTACCTTCAAGTGTTTCCCTGGTCAAAAACTTTTGTGATGATGCAAGTAATAGTTTAAAGGTAATCTATGAAAACCTGAGAAAAAGAAAGGTTTTGCTGTGTGTACCAAAGGTGTTAACTTTGTGAATGACATCACGGTGAGGCTAGTAGAATGGATTGAATTCATGGTGTTACTTGGAGTGGAAAAGATTTACATGTTTGATATCTATGCTAATCCCCAAGTACAAAAATTGTATGAATATTATACAGATAAAGGTATTCTGGAAGTCACACCTTTAATGTTACCTCAGGTACAGTTGAATGAACCATTTATTCAGCACATGTTCCTGGAACATGATGCAAACATGCAAGCAGAGGTAATACCTTATAATCATTGTTTCCTGTCACATATGTATGAATATGAATATATTGGTGTGATGGATACTGATGAGGTGATTGTACCTAAAGGAGGTATGACCTCTTTGAGGGATCTGGTAAACACTGCCCAGAAACGAGCAACATCTGAAAACCTATCACCTGGTTCATTTATTGCAAGGAATTGCTACTTTTTTGATAATGCTACCATCAACAACATGAAACCTCACTTCCCTAAAGATGTTTATGAAGATATCCACAGAAATATTGATGATCTGGACATACCAGCTTACATGCACATGTCCCAGAGACTCTTTAAATCTAAAAACTGTACTGGTCCTGGAATGTATATCAAATCTTTACATTCAACTGAAGCTGTTGTTGCTGTGCACAACCATTATCACTTCAAAGTTTTAGATCCTAAATATATTAATTATGATCTGAACTTTGATGAAGGTTTCATGCACCATTACAGGAATGGATGTCCTGGTGAAATGAAACCTGTGTGTTATTCTGATTATCAAAGTGATTTTGAATATGATGATTCCATTTTGCAATATTATGACAGGTTAAAAGAAAATGTCATCAGGGTCTTGGATGATTTAGGATATTTTTAATTTTATTTTATTAGAGAATAAGTTATGTTTAAATAAAATTCCATCACATTTGAACCATTTGTACACTAAATTTGTACACACCATCAAACCATTTTAATATAACCTAAGAAATTGTTTGTTCAGGTAGGTTTTCAGGTATGGTTATCAATCCCTGAATCTTTCCACTTTCTTTATCAACTGTATTCTTTTTGAGGTTAATGTTCTGCGCTATTTTGTTAATGTCCAGAATCATATCTACATTCTCCAGGATACTGACATGGTTACCTTCGTAGAACCTCACTTCTACATCACGACCTACCACCTGAGAAAGACCATAATCTTCTTCAATGTCTAACATGCTGGAATTACTTGGTCTGAAGAGGAGTACTTTGAATCAAGTGTTCCAAAAGAAGGTTCATAGTTGTAGATGGCTTTCATCCGTTTGAAAGCAGCTTGGCATACCCTTTTCATGTATTCAGGGCGATGTGGTAGTTGTTTGGGAGCTACTGCCAAAGCAGCATCAATACGTTGGTCATAGGTATCACATTGTAACATTTGATTCTGTAACATATAAAAAAATTATAGTAAACCAGGTTTAGGAGGGATATTTTGATGGTACCTTGTATTTAATGATGACATCAAAGGGTAGGTATACTGACATGAGTGAACATAGTAAACTTGTTTGAAATTCTGCTTCAGTTGTAACCACAAGTTGGTTTTAATCAGATCTTTCATGAAAGAAGGTGCTCCATCCAATAAAATGAGGGTACCTTTAAAACCTAGTTTTTCTAACTGGGCTACAACCTCCAAAGCTACTGCTGAACCAAATGAATGTGCAGCAATACAAAATTCTGTTTGAATCAATCCTTTTATCAACTAAAATATAAAAAATTATAAAATGTGGTAAAAGAGGTTAAAAGAGGTTACCTCCACTTGATTTTTTGACATTTCCAAAATGGTATCTTCAGGATCAGTATAACAAAACTGTGTACACATAGTAGATACTGTCAGGTGTTCTACCATCGGATCAAAAAGTGTAGCCATACCTTCAATACCAGGTAACAGGAATAATTGAACACCATTTTCCATGGGATTACCTTCAACCAAATGAACAATAGGTATATCCGCTTCGGATTCATTAGCGATGAACCTCAACAATACTTTAACACCTTTTGGTAGGTCTTCAACAACTTCTTGTTGATCAGAACTTTTCTGTAGAGCAATTTCTTGTAGTCTAGAAAAGGTCATACCACGAATATCTTGTGGAGATAGGAATACATCATATTCTCTTTCTAAAGTTTGTTTGATTTCAACTGCCATCATTGAATCCATACCCAATTCAGGAAGGTTGAATGATGACTAACTGTTTTCAGGTCTCTAAGACCTAGGATGTTAACAACAGCGTCTACAATGTTGTTTGCCCCACCTGATCCACTTTTCTTCTCAGCTACAACCATACTACCAACAATAGGATCTTTTTGTCTTAGGAACCCATCTAGGGCATCTAAACAAGAATGTATCTTTTGTTGGAGGGTACCACCAATTACTAACTCAGTGTTTTCTTCTTGCATATCAGCTACAAGCCCAACATCTCCAATAGCACCCCATTGGATAGCCAATCCTGGTAATCCATCTGAATGACGTTGTTCACAAATCCTCTCCATGATAGAATTAGCTAGACCATAGTTTGTTTGACCTGCATTACCTCTTCCACAGGATACTGAAGAGAATACCACAAAATGTTCCAATTCTGGTGTAATAATCCTTGATACCTTGTCTAAATTTATAGTTGATGTAGCTTTAGGATCTAGAACGGTTTTAAATTGTTCCTGGGTTTGGTTCTCAAACAAAGAATCCTTCAACAAGACAGCTAAATTAAAAATGGCTGCCACAGGCATATCTAACTCTTTTGCAGAGGTTAAAAGTGATGTACATCCCTGTAAAGTACTCAGGTCTTCAGTGAATACCTTAATATCAGTCCCATAATGTCTCCAGGTTTGTAACCTTAGTTTCTGGTAAGCTGAAGAGATACCTCTACGTGAGTTGATTATGATATGCCTTGCACCTCTGAGGACTAACCAATCAATCAACTCAAGACCAAATCCTCCTAGACCACCATTAATAATATAGATTTTATCAGGGCTACAATAAAACCTCGCCTGGGCTTTGAATTTCTGAATAGGCGGAGGTTTAATCAGGGTAGGTTCCTCAGGTCTGACTTCTATGACCACTTTACCCATGTGTTTACCAGTTGCCATGTATCTAAATGCTTCTTCTAGTTGATCATTGTTGAAACACGTAGTTGGTAAAGCTTTGATGTATTTTAGGTTGATACCTTCCTGAAGAAGATCACTAATTGATCTTTTTACAGTGGGATCTGCTTCAAACAGAGCATCCAACATAACTCCATGGTAACAAGCTTCTTTTTCAATAAGGTCTAATGATAACCTTGAATCTGCAGCAAGGTCATATTTTCCTATCTCCACAAACCTACCACCTTTTTTCAGGCACTTTACAGATGCCTGTAGTTTTTCATCTGCTAATGAATTTAATACCAAGTCAACACCTTGATTGCTGGTGTGTTTTAGAATCATCTGGAGGAAACTTAAATCCCTTGAATTCCCTATATGGTCTTCTTTGATCCATGGGAAGGTCTTCTTGATATATTTCTTCTTTTCTTCAGTTCCGACAGTTACAAATATTTTGCAGTCAAAATAACTTGCTACGTAGATAGCAGCATGGCCCACACCACCAGTAGCGGAGTGAATTAATATACTTTCGCCTTTACGTAGGTTTGCCCTTTGGATCAACCCATATAACACTGTCCCATATACAGCTGGTACTGTAACAGCGTCTTTCATACTCCAATCATCAGGTACCTTCCATAATAAATTAACATCTGCAGGGACTAAGGTTGCCATTGCATTACGGGTCATCATACCCATAACCCTTACACCTTCTGAAGTCCTTCCAGCGTATTCAAACCCTTGGACACAGTCTTGTTCTAGTCTGTTTCTGGTAACAACATCAGCTTGAATCCTCCCTGTTGCTGTCATAATATCCCTGAAGTTAATAGCAGCGTAATAAACATGAACCAATTTTTGTTCTGGTTGTAGGTTGGTGTCATGGGTTAAAGGACCTTGTATCCATTTCAGGGATGAGAGATCTCCACGGTTTGTTACGTTTACATAACAATGTTCTACGTTTACATGACCAGAAGAAGCTGGGAGTTTGAAATGGCGGTAAGAACCCCATTGGTTGTCCCTGAGGATGTTGACAGCTAAGTTTTTAGATACCTGTTGTTGTAGGTTTAGGTTTTCTGATGAAAATTGGTCTTGTGGTGGTAACCAAAAGGAGGTAACTCTTTCAGACATGTTAGGTTCTCTTCTAAGGCAGTTACCAAGACCCAAAATACCACTTTGTGGATCATTAGACCATAGTATCACTGGATCATCGGTTTTTAAGGTGGTCTGTAATGGATCAAACCAATCCATTTCAGACAATTCAATTATTTGATGTTTTTGGGTTGAATTCAGGTTTGTTTTAGGTTTTAACAACACCAATTTGTAATGGTCTGTTGAATGAGAAGATATCACATCCAATCCTTCAATATCAAAGCTGTCCCTGTTTAGGTCCTCAATGGAAACAACAAAACTCTTGGGTTTCAATATGTTGATCAATGATCTTGATAAATCTAAATCCTTTGATAAATTTTGTGCGATCCCAAAATAACAATCAAACTCAGCATTGATCTTTTTATCTTCTACAGATATTCCAATACCAGCATCAACATCCCTGTTACTCAATACAATCAACTGGGCTTTGACAACTGGTTGATCCTTCTAGAGCCATTTTAATATATTGTGATAAACATACAATATCACCTTGTAATGGTTTCTCATTTAAAACTTCTACAGATTTTAGATTGACAACAGGTTCATTCTCCAGGGCTATCTGAACAAATTGTCTCACCACATCTTCAATTGGTTGCTTTTCTGTAGTAAAATATGGACTGAATTTGTAAGTTTCCAAAACTGGGTCTGCTTGATTACGTTTAGCAATTGATGAAGCCCATAATCCCTAACCTCAATTCCACCACACCTGATAATGTTTAAATCTTTGTAGAAATACACAGGGACATTTGGATGATCTTCAATATCCTTAGCTAAAGATTTGGCTGTTTTGATATGTTTAGCGCTGTCAATTAAAATTTTTGAGATTCTGGTTGGGACGTAGAGGTTCCTGGTGTCTTCAGACATGATTTGCATTTGTAACATACAATCCATCAAAGGGATCCAGTTCCCTGTCCATGTTATTTTACCCATTGTAGTATCCAACTTACACATTTTAAGTGCCCTGAAGTCTCCTTTGTAATTATAACCTCTCAAACGTAGTTCTTTATAAATATCCTTCTCATGGAGATATTCTAAATCTGAAGTGGGTTCTTGAGGTGTACTCAATGGTTCCCATTCTTTGGACATACCAAGGTCTTCATAAATACGTCCAGTTACAACTTGGGACCCACCTTCAACTATTTCAAAATAACCAGATCCTTTACGAATGTTTAGGATTAGTTCCAATAGACCTTTAGTTGGTACAGTGCATGCCCTGAGAAACTTGACATCTTCAAAAACTATTTTCATGTCAGTTGTTAATTTACCAACGACCCTGGCTAGGGTTTCCCAGATTAAGATCAAATAGCCTGTAGCTGGGAATAGACAACGTCCATCTATGACATGCCCTTTCAAAAAGGTCCATTCATCATCACGTAGGGATAGTTCAATGACACGTTGACCAGATTTAGTCTTGTCTTCTGCTTTGTACACAGTAACAAACCAGTTTTTACTGTGATCCCATTTGATTAAAGGTGAAATCATTGCGGTACCACGACCAACGGGCCAATGAATCTTAGGGTAGAGGTTTTCTAAGGTTAAATCATAACCTTGTTGGTAAAGTTGGCCAAGACCTTGGAGAAAACTCAAAAGTGAATCAATTTTAGGGTCAATCAAATGTATATCGTATTTGGTCACAGTTTCATGACCTCCAATCACTAGTTGAGTATAATCCAATTCATTAGAAAGGTTTTCAGGGTCTTCATTTTGGTCAATGTCAGATTTGGTGGTAAGAAGTTTTAATAAACATTCCTCTAAAGATAATAATGAATCAAAATATTGGGCAGCTAATTTTCCAGGTAGGTCTAACCCTGTAACCACATCTGGTTTAATACCCAACTCTTTCAGAATATGGGATATCCCAGAATGTAATATGAAAGCACCTAAATGGTTATTCTGAAGATTTTGATAGCTTGGTTCAAGTAGATTTTTGGTTTTCAAGAAATTCTGCACCTTTTTAACATGGGCTGCAAACATGGGTATATTGAATAAATGCCTTCCAAATTTCAGGTATTCCTCCAAATGTCCAAATATAAGTTTCAAAGGTTTAGTGTCTTCATCATGTTTAAAAGTTGATTTTGCCAAAGTGGCTTGTTTGGTCACCACTAAAAATCCTCTATAACAATGTCCAGAAATTGTATTCTGGTAAGCTTTCTGCAACAGAGCAATCATCTCCTGATCAAAATAACCTTGAATATTGTCCATCAAATAAACCAATGCTTCCAGGGTACGTCCACTTAAACAAACCAAACGTGGTAGGGCATCTCCACATGGTTGTTTTTGTTTCTTATTCCAACGTAGGAGTAGATGACTGTTTGCCCCTCCAAACCCAAAACTGTTAATACCAATTATCCCTTTATCATCTGGCAGAGGTGTTTTGGTTAACAACCCTCATACGACCAGTTTCCAAGGCTTCCACACCTTGTCTCGGGGTATTGTAGTGAATATTAGGTGGTATGTACCCAGTCTCAAAAGCAAGCACCACTTTGACCACTGAACACAACCCGGATATGGGTTCATTATGCCCGATGTTAGATTTAACAGAACCAATCAAAAGAGGATGTTTACGGTTCTTACAAAAGATCTCATCAAGGGTTCCCAGTTCTTCAGGGTCTCCTACTTTAGTTCCTGTACCATGAGCTTCAACATAGGTCAAACCAGATGAGTCAACCCCACATTCCTGATAAAAATCTTCCAGAAGGACTTTTTGGACCTTCCCAGATGGATAGGTGATACCTTGTTCTTTATATCCATCACAATTGGTTTTACTGTGGACTATCTCAGCGTAGACCCTCCTGGCATCTTTACTTTTCTGGAGAATCACCACTGAGATAGCTTCTGATCTAGCATAACCATTTGCAGAGTTATCAAATGACTTACAAGCTCCATCAAGACTTAAAACACCCAGTCTAGCAAATTGTAGTGAAACCACTGGATGTAGACATAGGTTACACCCTCCGACTATAGCCATGTTGCAGTTACCTTCTTTGACAGCTCTGTAGGCATGCTCCAAAGCAAACAGGGAACTGGAACAAGCTGTATCAGTGATGAAACTTCTCCCTTGAAGTTGGAACCAGTAACTGATGCGTTTTGCCAACATGGATCTAGTACAACCCATGATACCATACTTTTCAGGATCTAAATTTTCATAGAATGAAGTTTTCTCAGATTCTGAGAAACAAGCTCCTATGAACACGCCTGTGTCAGTACCACGTAGTTCTTTAGGGTTGATACCAGCATCCATGACAGCTTCAAAAGTACGTTCTAGGAGCATACGACACATTGGATCCATGGTGTGGGCTTGACGTTGATGAACTCCGAAGAAACCTGCGTCGAATTTTTCAACTAAGTTGACTTTTCCGGTGCGTTGGGGATTTCGGCGTGGGTAGCAGCCCAACGACGGGCATCATCACTCACAAGGTCAATTTTGTTGAAGAGGTTATCACGGAATTCGTAGATGTTGTCAGAATTCGGAAAACGGCCAGCCATGCCTGAGAAAAATTAAATAAAGGAAAAAAATCTAATTGACTTAAGTCACTTACCTGAAATAACAATGGTTTCAGGTTGAAGCTCGCCATTTTCTTCAGATTTCAAAGTTGAGAGAGACATTTTGGGTTTTGAGAAGGATCTGACCACTAAGACCACTTTGAATAAAGTGTTTTATCCTTAATTTTACGCTGATTATATATTACTTAAGAAACAATGGTGGAGCAATAAAAAAATAATTTGTAAAATAAAAGTGAAACAATCGGGTTAATCAACTTGACCCAATTCCAAAAACCTAATTTTTACAACCCAAAACATTTTTGTGTCTACTTTGACAACAATAACATGAATTTACATACAATGTTAATTAATATGACTTAAGTCCAGAAATGAAGTTCAAGTTTAATTTTATTCAAAACTTGATTTCTGGTATAAATAGCGGTAGGATTTCTAATGATTGTTAGAAGTGGGTCATAATGGCTGAAGACGAACCTCTGGAACCATGGTTACGTGCGGGTAGGACCATTGCAAGTCCATCTCAAGGAGAAGATGTTGTTATCACAGGTAAGTCAAAATTATTCAAAAAAAATTTTTTTCTTTAAAAATTAAAAATATAGGAATTTCTGGTTGTTTCCCTGAATCGGACAACATCCATGAGTTCCGTGATAACCTCGCCAACAAAGCAGATATGGTTACATACGATTGGCGGCGTTGGGAAGCAATCCACCCTGAAATACCAAAAAGAGCTGGTAAGATCTGGAACGTAGAAAAATTCGACGCTGGTTTTTGGTGTACATCAACATCAATGTGATGCTGTAGACCCATTATGTCGCATTGTTATGGAGAAGAGTTTTGAATGTATTCTGGACGCAGGTATAAACCCTAAAGAACTTGAAGGTACCAAAACAGGTATCTACGTTGGGGCCTGCGCATCAGAATCTGAAAAATACTGGTTTTATGATAATCCTGAACTAGAAGCATTTGCCATCACAGGATGTCATAGATCCATGTTAGCTTCAAGGGTTGCATATGCTCTTAAACTCCAAGGACCCGCTTTTGTAATGGACACAGCATGTAGTTCATCCTTTTTTGCTTTTGAGCATGCCTACAGAGCAATTCGAGAAGGAAGATGTGAAAGAGCCATTGTTGCAGGGGCAAATCTATGTCTGCACCCTTATGTAACCCTTCAATTTTCTAGACTTGGGGTGTTGAGTCTAGATGGTGCTTGTAAGTGTTTTGATGATTCTGCAAATGGTTACACTAGATCAGAAGCTATCTGTGCTATTTTATTACAAAAATCTTCAGAAGCAAAAAGGGTTTACGCTCATGTTATACACAGCAAAGTCAATTCAGATGGATACAAAGAACAAGGGATTACATATCCATCAGGGATACTCAAAAGAACCTTATCAGGGAAGTATATCAAGAATGTCAGATACATCCCAATGAAATTAGTTATATGGAAGCCCATGGGACAGGAACCAAAGTAGGAGACCCTGAAGAGCTTAAAGCTATTGATGATATCTTCCTCAAGGAAAGAAACAGACCTCTTTTGATTGGATCTGTGAAAAGTAACATTGGGCATACAGAACCCACATCAGGGTTGTGCTCCATAAGCAAAGTTATACTAAGTTATGAAGGTGGTAAGATTTTACCAAATATGAACTTTAAAACACCTAGGAGAGGAATTGAAGCTTTGAGTAATGGTCAGTTGAGGGTTATTACTGATAACACTGATTGGCCTGATGATAAGGGTCTTGTGGGGATCAATAGTTTTGGCTTTGGAGGTGCAAATTGTCATACTATTCTAAAATGGAATGATAAGATTAAAAAAACTCAAAATTTTATGAAGACAAACCCTATTTTGGTTTGTATCAGTGGAAGAACCACAGAGTCTGTTAAAACCATCATAGAAGACCTCAAACAGGAAAAACAACATCAGGACCCTGAATATGTCAGACTCCTACATGAAATCTTCAAGTATAACATCCAAAATCATAATTATCGAGGTTATGTTTTAATCCAAGATGAAAAACCATTATTGAAGAAATTGAATGGTGTCCAGAGATTGATGACCTGAAAATTATCTTTCAATTTGGAGAATTAAACATAACCTCTAAATTTGAAGACTTTTTAAATATTCCTTTGATAAAAGATTTTCTTTCGAAGGAATTTAATTCAAAATCTTCTTTACACTGGCAACTTTTACTTGTAACAGTATTCAAATATTTGGGGACGAAACCTGATGACCTCAAGGGTCTAAACAGTAACTTGGTACGTCTTTACATCCAAGAAATAATTTCCTTAGAAGAAGTTCTTAAAAATGGTTCTGAATATAAAGGACCTCAAAAGAATACAGATTTACCCAAAAATGTTGTGGTTGTAAACTTTGGAACCCCAATTTTGAATGACCCTAAAGTGGTTAATGTATTTCAATCAAATTTCTATAAAACCCTTGGTAAACTTTTTAATTCCGGGGTTAATTTTGATCTAAGTTTGCTTTACCCTGATGTGCAGTTTCCTGTATCAAGGGGTACATCAATGATCTCACCTTTAATCAAATGGGACCATAGCCACGATTGGTATGTGACTAAATACCGTGCTCAGGATATCATTAAAACAGGTTTTGTCTACATGGCTCTTGATCTTAAAGATGAATACTGGAAATATCTTTCTGGACATGTTGCTGATGGTAGGAACTTATTCCCTGCTACGGGTTACTTATCCCTGGTTTGGGACGTGCTTGGGATGATAACTGGCAAGATTACCAGCAATATGAAGATTGTTTTTGAAGATGTCAGATTTCTAAGAGCTACTAATATTCCAACTAAAGGCACATTATTCTTTACCATCATGGTCCAAAGAGGTACTGGTAATTTTGAGGTGGTTGAAGGTGGAGTAGCAGTTGTAACAGGTACCATCAGAGAACTACAAGAAAATGAAGACCTTCCTGAAATGCAGGAACCTTCTGATACAGAAATAACCATGAATCAGAAAGATATTTATACTGAGCTTAAGTTCAGAGGTTATAACTATAGAGGGACTTTCAAGGGTCTTGATAAAGTAACTTTAACCTGTGAAAAAGGTTTGATTGAATGGACAGGGAACTGGGTTACCTTTTTAGACAACATGCTGCAAATGCAAATTTTACAAGCGGATACCAGAAGTTTGTATGTTCCAACAGGAGTCAAGAGGATTTGTATAGATGCCTTAAGTCATTCTAAAATGGGTGAGAAAATGTCCCAGATACCTGTTTGGGCTTACAAAGAACTTGGGACTATCAGAGCTGGTTATATTGAGTTAAGGGGAATAATGGCCAATGTAATCAATAGGAAAAAACTACCAGAACCTGTTATAGAAAAATATGTCTTCCTACCAAATGAGGTTACATTGGATCTGAAGACATCTTTAAGGGTTGTGATGCAAATTGCATTAGAAAACTACCCGTTGACTAAATTGAAGATAATTGAACATATGGAAAATGTCCCCAATACAGGATTTGAAGAAGATACTGTTGCTTTGTTTATCAGGGATGCTTTAGATGACCTACCATTGATTGAAGCTGATCTTAGGATATTTACAAAAATAATCTGGATTTAGGATCAAAAAGGGTTTTTGTTGAGGATAAGACCTTAGGAGCTGAACTTGATTGCTACATGGTTATTGTACACCAGGACCAGGACCTTAACTCTAAAATTGATAAGATCTCAAAGGTCCTAAAACCCAATGGGTTTCTTTTGATCAAATCCAATGAAGAAGAAATAGAGGTTATAAAGGGTTTTAATTTGATTGTTAAACATAAACATTCTTCAGGTATGATTACTTTGTATCAACGTCAGAAACCTGATCTGAAGACCATTTTTATTGAATACCAAGAAGAAAAAGAAGATGTGGTCTTTAAAAAGATCCAAAAAGCAGATAAGAAATCTAACATTATTTTATACACTACACATAAAATTAATGGTCTTCTTGGATTCACGAACTGTCTGAGGAAGGAACCTTCCCTGGGAACCAATGTAAAATGCTTCATCCTCAACCAAACATTAAACATCAATGACCCTGAAGTAAACATTCAACTATCAAAACAAATGTCAGTTAATATTTGGAAAGATGACCAATGGGGTACCTATAGACACCTTACCCTGAAGAATGCCCCAATGGTTCAAGTAGAACATGCTTATGTCAATGTTACAACCCGTGGGGATCTTTCCAGTCTATCATGGATTCAAGGACCTATTACTACATCCGATGATAATTTGATTAAGGTTTATTATGGAGCTGTTAACTTCAGGGATGTGATGACCGCTACAGGAAGGGTTTCAGTTGATGCTATTACCAATGACAGATTAGAACAAGAATGTGTGCAAGGATTTGAATATTCCGGGATTGATTCAAACGGTCGAAGGGTTATGGGTATGTTAACATCAGGTGCCCTGTCAACTATCCTTACACCAGACCCGGATATGATATTACCTGTGCCTGAACATTGGACTTTGGAAGATGCTGTGACTGTACCTGTTGTTTATGGGACAGTTTTGTATGCATTCTTTATGGTAAACTCTGTTTAAATTAATTTTAATCAAAATATTATTTTTGTTTTTTTTTTAAATTTTAGAGAGCTGGTGGTTTGTTTCCTGGTATGTCTGTTCTTATCCATTCTGGGACAGGTGGTGTGGGTCAAGCAGCCATTGCAATAGCCCTTTTCTTCAAATGTCAGGTTTTTGTCACAGTTGGTTCCCTGGACAAGAAAAACTACATCTTGAAAAAGTTTCCAACCCTCAGAAGTGAAAATATTGGTCATTCCAGAGACACAACCTTTGAAAGTTTGGTTCTGAGCAAGACCAAAGGTCGTGGTGTTGATATAGTGTTAAATTCTTTAGCTGAAGAAAAATTACAGGCATCTTTAAGGTGCGTGGCCCAAAATGGACACTTTTTGGAAATTGGTAAATTTGATCTATCAATGGACAACCCATTGGATATTAGCATTCTTCAGAAAGGTGTTACCTTCCATGGAATTATGCTAGATGGATTATTTAAGACCCTACCAGCAACCAAAAACTATCTAATGAATTGGTTACGTAAAGCTATCTTGAAAGGAGCAGTTGTACCATTAGAACGCACAACTTTTGAAAGGGATGAGTTAGAGAAAGCATTCAGATTTATGTCTACAGGAAAACACGTTGGTAAAGTGGTCATCAAAGTTAGAGATGACCCTAAGAATCCAAGAATGATGAAACAAAACCTATTCCTGGCAGTTCCAAGATATTACTGTCCTAAAGGTATGACCTGTTTAGTTGTTGGAGGGTTAGGTGGGTTTGGTCTAGAATTATGTGACTGGTTGATCCTTCGAGGATGCAGAAACCTTATTATTACATCCCGAAATGGGTTGAAAACAGGTTACCAACACCTAAGACTGCAAATCTGGAGAAATTATGGTGCAAATGTCACTGTTTTAACAGAAAACCTATTTACTTCAGGATCCTGCACAAGGGTTCTGAAAAAAGCTGAAAAACTTGACGCCATTTTTAATTTAGCTGCGGTTTTACATGATGGTCTCCTTGAACACCAAACTTCCGAACAACTAGAAGAAGTTTTACAGTCAAAATACACCACAACTAAATTTTTGGACCAATTAAGTAGAACCCTATGCCCTGAATTGAGACACTTTGTGGTATTCTCTTCAGTATCCTGTGGAAGAGGTAACATCGCCCAGGTCAACTACGGCCTAGCAAATTCTTTAATGGAAAAACTAATGGAAACCAGAAAACAAGATGGTTTCCCATCTCTGGCAATACAATGGGGATCAATTGCAGATGTGGGACTAGCTGCAGAACTAATAAATGATGACCTCAATGAAAGACCCATTGGAGGAACACTTCCACAAAAAATATCAAATTGTTTGGAACTATTAGACCAGTTTATGTCCCAACCTGAAACAATTGTAGCATCAATGGTAGTCGCAGAAAAAAGAGGTGGGCTATTCATGGCTGATAACATGATTGATACAGTTGTGAATATAATGGGTTTGAGGGATCTGAAAACAGTAAGTCTTCATTCCTCACTTCCTGAATTGGGCATGGATTCTATGATGGCCGTTGAGATCAAACAAACTTTAGAAAGAGAATATGAAGTATTCTTAACACCACATGATATCAGGACTTTGACTTTTGCAAGACTACAGGATCTTCAATCTGAGAAGAACCCTAAAAGTCAAGAGACATCTCTGGAGAAGAAAGATTCCAAGTTGGAGAATGTTAAACTTTTATTGAGGTTCATCAATGATGAAGACTGTTCTAAACAGGTGACTATCCCCTGAAAAACGCCCTGAATTGGGTTTATGTTGAAGGTACCCCAAAGGTATTCTTCATACCTGGCGTTGAAGGTTTTGCAAGTATTCTGGAACCTTTATGTTCAAAACTACATTGTGAAACTATAGGTCTTCAGTTTACATATGATGACCCTCCAGATACTATTCTAGAAATGGCTTATCTATTGGTACCATATATCATCTCCCATTTGAAGGATGACGACACCTTCAATTTGGTAGCTTATTCTTTTGGTTGTACAGTTGCTATTGAATTAGCTGGTATTCTAGAAGAATCTTTTGGTCTTCAGGGAAAGGTTATCCTTATTGATGGTGCTCATGAAATGATGTTGAAGTTGACCCACCAGCAAACTAATGTTAACTCACCTGCTGAATTTGAGACTTCTATTCTTTGTAATATTTTTACTATCTACATGCCTTTGGAAGTAGTTGATACTTATAGAGAGGAACTTCTTCAGATGGAAAATTATGAAGAAAGGGTTAATTTTGTTCAATCTAAGAGCCCAGAAGCTCAATACAGTAAAGAGTATATCAAAAAGGTCTGTATTGCTTTCCATAAAAGAGTAAGAGCAGTTTTAACCTACAAAAAGAGTAATTACCTGTTGAATAGTGAGCTTATTTTGATAAAACCCACGAGGCAAAGTGTAATTGACATAGAACCTGATTATAATCTAAGGGTTCATAGTGCCAGAGGTGAGGTTAAGGTTAAAGTGTTTGATGCAGACCACTATAGCATTCTGGATAATGATAACGTGGCAAAAGAAATTGATCAGATCATCAAACCACAGATTTTGGAGAAAACTGGTCAAAATCTTGGGAAAGAAGTTAAAATTACTATTTCTGATAAAATAAAAACACGTTAGATTTAGTTTATTATTACAAAATGGTTTATGGTTATAAAAAAGGGTAAAATGGTTTAGGGTATGGTCATGTTGACCAGAAAATGGTGCTTGGGAAACTGGAATAAATTTTGAACTGATATAAAAAGAAATAACATATTTTGTTTTATTATTTTTTTTCTAATTTTTTAAAACCAAAATTTTTTTACTAAAAAAAGGTTTAAAATTATTGGAATCTTCTTTGGATGATTGCCCTTGATTTGGGCAAATGACATCCGGATACATTATGAACCACTTCATTAAAACCACGTTTTTCTATAGCTTCTTCTAATTTCTCAGCAATTTGATCTTTTTCCATTACTTTCTGAAGAGTATCAATTACATCACTGACCAAAGCTTGCTCAACACAAAGAGGACAAGGATCTCTTGAAACTAAATCTGTGATGGTTATAATTGTACGCGTCATTTTTTCAGCATTGATTGTTTCAGATTTTTTGTATTTCTGCAAAAACAACAATAAAAAAATCAATAATTTTATAAAAATTTAAAATTTGATACATACCTTGATATCTTTATAGTAAACAGTGACAATCATATCGTTAACCTTCTTCTCTAATATTTTCAAATACATTAAAGCATTGTGAATGTTAATAGTGCTATTTTGACCAAGTAATTCCATTAATGGAGCATTGGAACACCTGCAAAGTTGGAACAATCCACCTATACCATTCAAAAGCTCATTTAATGTTTCTTCATTTCTATTAAAATTATTTTCAGCTAGATCTGCCTCAGCTTTTGTTCGTTCATATTCCAATACAAGCGCTTCTATAGTGTTTTTTTGTTGTGCTTGGTAATATTGATTCTTGGCATTTGCAGCATCAATTCTAAAATGAAGATCTATGAGATCATCACTGAGTGATTCCATTTCTTTGTTTAATTCATTAACATATCTGAATTTAGAAAAGTTGTTTATTTCGTTTAAGCAAAAACGTTCGCCAACTATTTTGATGTTTGTTTCGCCCATGAATTCTCGAATGTTTTCGATGATATTGTTGTAGTTTTCTAAAAGTTCTTGCATTTCTTTTCGTTGTAATTCACGACGTTCTTGTTCTTTACGCATTAGATTACGCATTATTCTGCGTTGGCCTTTTGTGTTGAGGAAGTTTTGGAGTTTGTCACCGTAGTCTATTTGGCGTTGAATATTAGTCATTTCCTAAAAAAAAGAAAATTTAAAAATTTAAATATTTAGAATTTAACTAAATTTGAGGCATAGATTAAAGATTTTATTCTCTATAATTTTGTAAAAAAATAATTTAATTATAGCAATTAGTTTCGGAGTAATTCAAGGTCAAAGTCAAAATTTAAAAATCAAGTCTGTCTTTTAACACATTGTATCTCAGGTAATTTTTAACCAATTTAAATTGTTTAAATTTTACGTTACTTCAAATTTATTGTTATTTAATTGTACTAAATATTTATTTAATATCTTTAATACTTTTGCTTTTATAAGTATTTTACTAAAAAATTGCATTTTGCACTATTTTTGCTTTTTTATAACATAGGTTCTTATGGAGAAAATTTTACCAACACAAAAATATTAATTTTTCTGTAAAAACCAACGAAATATTAAGTTACTTACAGAAGTATGACTTAAGTACTCATTATAAGCCTTAGTTCTTAACGCTGACAGCTTCTGACACCATTCCTCCCTTTGATCATACGCAATCGTAGCTTGTTCAATCAAATCCAACATAAATTTCTTCCCATGCGACAAATTATTACACAACCTATCCCATGACTTATTAAAATTGGCTCTTTCAATTAACAAATGATCAATATCCTCCCTCAACTTCCTATTAGAAGCAATTGTAGTACAAAACCTCTTTGTAGCTGTATCCAACTTATTTTCTAAAGCTTCCAAAGTGCTTTGTTCTTCGTAAATTTTAGCTGTACATTGCACTTCAGTTAAAGTCCTTCCTCTTAACTCAACAATATTTTTCTTCGCCATAACAATCTGCATATCCAACTCATTCAAATAAGCTTTTTCACGTTTAATCTCACATTTAAAATGATTATGCTCTTCTAACAATTTCTCCAATTGTCGAGCAATTTTCTGATCATTCTTAGCATTTGTATCTGATCCAGCTACGCCTAAATCCGTTAAGATTTCTTCGTATTCTTTTTTAAGTATGTTTATAACTTTTCTTTGTTTTTGTCCTCCACCTCCTCTGGTGATTTTTCGATCGCATTCTAAGATGTGATATTGACGTTGAAAGCGCAATAATTGTGTTTCTGTTTGTATTTCATGTTTGTATTTTTCTTCGGGTGTGAGGACTTTTTCTGTCCTTTAAGGGCAGCCATTTATTATTTTTATAGAATATAAAATTGTATAATGATAAATAAAATGACAGATGTGTTTATGTTGACATGTAAAATTAAAATGAAAGTCGCTTTTGACAGAATTGTCCTTTCATCTTTGATAATTTTGTTTGGAATCGCGTAACTAAATTAAAAGGGTGGTTTGGGGCGCGCAACCCTTGCGCGTAACTAACTAACTAGGAAAATTGTGCGATGCTTTGTTAACGACGCGCCATGTGAAAATTACAAAACGAAAATGAATCTAAAGGGTGTATTAAATAATTTTTAATATTTTTTAGTTTTTGTTAATAACTCAAAAGTTATCAATAAATTTTAAAAATTTAAACGTTTTTAGATTAAGGATTAATTTCTGTATAATATTGGTGAATTTTATAATAATATGTTTTATATCTCTAGAGATATTGCATTTTAAAGTTGAATAAAAGAAGAAAAAAAACTTTAATCACAAATCGATTGCACACAAAGAGCACCTCCGGGGTTCGGGCGACATTTCGCCTAAAAGCAATCCTTTAATTTCCTCCCTCATACTACGATAATGGTAGAAAGGTAGAGGAGAGCTTGTCCCGGGCGTAGGAGAGGCCGAAGGATGCGTGGGCGCGCGTGAGGGTAGCCATGGCGACACACGCTCGCCCTCGGGGACGCAGAGCGATCGAGTGGTCGCGCCGGTTGCCAAGGCGACAGCAGGCGGCCAGGTGGCGGGTGTCGCCGCCGCCACCGCCACCGCCGACGCCGACGCTGCCGCCTTCGCCGCCTCCCCGGTGCGGGGAATCGTCGCGCGAACGGTGTGCGACGCGTCGCCTTCGCCACGGATCGATGTTTGCACAAAACGCCCCGGAAAATGCTCACCGACACGCGCACACGCACCCTCTCGCCCTCTACGTATCTCCGAGAGTGCAGAACAAGGGATGGCATCCACTGCCGCGAGGGCACAATTTGATAACAGCGACAAATTGATGCGATGCGCACATTGCGAAAAGTTTTAATAGGAAAAATCTAGAGGGTGGATTATACCAAGGGGTGGAAATATTGTTTAAACAATAAACATTGTTTTTATGATTAGGCTTTTATATTATTTATAGTAAATATTTAGTAGTTTTTTGTAGAATGAATTTTGAAGTTATTTTCCCATAAGAAACAATGTTATCGAAAACTGAAAACACTGCAAAATGCAATATTTCACTATATTGTTGATAAATACTAAAATAATAAAGACACTACAGTGGAATTTTGCACCATAATAGAGAAAATATTTATAAATGACATTGATGAAGAAAAACTTAAAAGTTGTTAATGAATTAAAAATTACAGGGTGTTGAAGTTAAACTATTATTTTGATGTTCCAACTTTGATAACCAATAACTAAAAAACCATAATATTCCTAATATTTATTTTTTTACAGCATGATTGAAAAATTAATTAAAAATATCATGTATTAATTTCTTCTATATCTGAGTTTACATTTTTTGCAATTATTTTTTTTTTCTTATATTAATTTTCCCTTTAAATTTTGATTTTAACGGATACGACAATGAATCGCAATTTATTCTAACAATATTTTGTAAATATAATATATTCAAATTAAATTTAAGAGTAAATTTAACCCCCTATCACCCTTATCAATTTCCTTATCACCTTCATCATCCAAACGTTTTTGCAAATCTCTAGAGTATCCAAGGTAATGAATACACCGATAATCTGTGAAATCCTATACTTTCCCTTTGGTTTTTGTTTCCACCCCTAACGCAATTCATGTTTTACAACCCCTAACAATCAGTATTTCCAATTAATTTCAAAACCACAAAAAAATTCTAAAAATCAATTTTATCAAAAATAATTTATCATCTTTAAACACAAATAAATTTTAGAAAATTGTTAGATATTATTAAGGGTAGTTTTTAAAATTAACATACTGGTTTATTATTACTTGCCGCCATGTTTGTACGCCATCACAATTTACAACCGCGTCGCTGCTTTGTCCTTTGTCACAAACCACCCTCACTGTCATCCCCCACGGGGGTGGATACAAGGATCCTCCCTATAAATGACCCCTTGATGTTTGGATGCTCAGTGGAGTGTGTTTGTCATCTGCTGCTCTCATAGCATATAATTAAAAATCTTGCTTTTTTGGAAAAAAAATGAAAAAAGCATTTTAAGGGTGCAAAAACTAAGTGCAAATAATTTATAAGGGTAAATAATTGCGTCGGTTTTTCTGGCTGAAAACTGACTAGCCAAGGAAATTGCTTCACGCTCCCCTGTGGCTTCTTAATTTTCTTCGAGTCTTTCATTCTCTTTCTTTTCTGCATTTTTTTGTTGATAAATAAGGAAAGTTTTTATGTTTTTATTAATTACTCATAAACTAATAGAGATATTTTAAAGATTTAAAAAGTATTTTGAAGGTATTAAAATATGTCAATCGATTGTTTTTATTTTGTTTATATAGGATTATTAGTTTATGAGTTATTTAATGTTAAAGTTTTACTTTATAAAAAATTAGCTATTATGTAATTACTTTACAAAATAATTAATTACTACTAAACTAAAATAGATATTTAAATTATTTAAAAAGTGTTTTAAAGCCAGATAAAATATTTGTCATATATCTAAATTTTGTTAATATACCTTTTATAGTTTAGGTTTTATTTTAGTTTAAACTTTCACTTTCTGAATTCTCAAATAAAACTTTTTGTAACTTGGCATTTTTTCAAGTACCCCAAACGAAATTCCCATTATCCACCAGATGTGTATCTCATAGCAAAATCTACAACTCCCCAGAGTATTTTTCAACTCCCTTATACTTACTTACGTCCTCCAAACACACAAAAAACCGAACCTCTTCGTCCTGCGCGTCCTGAAAGTCCTTCAGCCGTAATGCGCCATTCGATGGCACAAAGCGTGCGCCAGCTTAGCGCGGGCGAAAACACCCCCGGCACAGAGGGAATATCGCGGCGGCTTGATTACTGATTACGCGCGACTGTGCATCATCCCCTAAAATTGGAGCTTTGCTAGGGACCGACCCGGCTTGCGCTTATGAAATGGATGAAATTGATGCGGACGGCGACGCTGCACTGCGAGAGAGGGATGAATGGCGTTGGGCGAGATGGGGTGGAGGGTGAAACGTAGGGATGAATTCTGGAGGGTGTAGTGTGCCGACGATACACATCTCGACGGCTACGGTGACGTGCCATTTAATTACGACACTGCTAGACTGAACGCCGGATTTAGTCATGGATATAGTCGAGGTTGGAATAGGGGATGAAGGGATGATTATTATACAGGGCATGGATCTTAAAGACAGAAATCTTTAAATTTTGGGGAAATTTTAAGTTTAACTTTAAAAAATCATGTTTGTAGTGATAAAAATTATTGTTTATTTAACAAATATTATAAACAATTTTATTGTTAATAAGTGACTGTTTAAATCATTTTGATATCTTTATTAGTTTTTGAGTTATTTAAAAAGAGTTTTAGAAAACACATTCAAAAAGTTTTGTCAAAACAACACAATTTTAATTTTGACAGCTTGTAACTTTGTTAATATTGATTTAAATTCTTAAATATTTATACTATATTGTTTATAATTTATTAGCCTATATATTGCATTTCAAAATGTCTGGCTATCTGTTACATTTCAAGAGTTACAAGTAATTTTATACAAAAAAGCAAGATGCAATGAATTTATATAAATTTGACATAAATTAAAGTTTAACATTAAATAACTTTATCAATTTTTAAAGTAATTTATCAATTTAACTTTTACATGATTCATAATTTACCTGGCTATAAACATAAGTTTATAGCTTTCAAAAATCTGTTATGGTTTTTGAATAATTCGCAAGTTTATAACTTAAATCAAAAATATTAAACATTGACAAACTTACAATATCAATAACTTTACTTCAACTTCAAATAACTTGTTACAATTGTTACAGTACGAAGGTGATATTAGCATCAATTTATAGATAATTTAATTGTTCATACTTTTCATCAAATATTTTGTTAATTTTCTTCAAAGACCATTAATTATTTACAATAATATTCGCAAAAAACTGCCAAAACTTTTATTTAATTTAATTTATTGTTTTACAATTTTAATCTAATATAACTCAACAAATATTTACGCGATAATAAAAATTTAAAAAGCAGTTGATAGAGAATTTAACTATCTATTAATATACCTTAAAATATTTAAGTTATCTTTAATAATTTCAAAAATATCAAGATTTTTATGACAAAAAGTAAAAAACAACATTTTTCACAATAAATTCCAATTTAACCTCTAAATAACTAAATAAATAAAGCTCCTAAATATAATATTTTACGACTATTTCTTTCCAAATTTTATTCTCTTTAAAACACATTTTGAATTTTAACGCTACCGTTATTGGTTCCGGAATAATCGTGAATATTCTCACTTGATGAACAATGCCGAACAATGCGCATTGAAATTTACGGGCGTAACATGCTCGCAACTAAATTTGAAAGCTTGTTATCATCGCCGTCGAGCCCGAAAGCGATAACACGACACACGGCGTGTACATCCATGGCGCGTGTTCCACCCGGGCGAACAAAACCACCCTCGTCACAACGCGCTTCACAACGCGAAATTTCTTCACAAATAAAGTAGAATTCAGGTACATTAAGGGATGATAAAATAAATCCACCCTCAAAAAAACAAAAATTTAAAAAATAACAAATATTACTAAAAGTTTAAACGAATTTATTGCTGTTAACAACAAATAAAACATTTTAAATGTTTTGAAAACGTTTCCCATGCGTAAAATGTAAATAGGGGTT